GCAGTTTCACATGTTTTATTGAGCCTGAAACAATCGCATACAATCAGCCCCAACTCACATTACTATTGCATCCTTCTCTGACCAGACAATCACTCATTGATATTACATCCTACAGAAACACATACATACACTCCAGGAATGTTGTTCCATCCTTTAATCATACAAAGTCTCAACAATACACGTACAATGGGGGTTCTGGACCACCCTGCCACCAGATATGTTGTACACCAGCCTTGTCACCAATCACTGGCAATGAACATTTTTTCATGGAATTAGGGAATCCTGACTAATAGGAATATGTTTTCTCACTTCACTTTGTACAAGTTGGTTTTACCATGTTTTCTCACCAATCTCATTACAATCAGACCTTGGTCCTTGCTACCGCTAAACAAAGATCTGAGGACATCCCATTACGCGAACTTTGACCGGCCAATAGCATGACCAATCAGAAGGCAGTTTTCTCGTGCTTTACGGCACTAATTTCAAATTGGCGACTACGCTTCAAACCTTATTTTGACAAATTCTCGATTACAAATTTGAAACCTAAACGAAAGAACATTCTGGAATGGCTAAAAGATGGTCTAGATTGTATGGATTCAGCTTTAAACCTGTAACTATCGTTCGGAATACCCCGTGTTAAAGTTTTCAAGGTTAGAAATCACATTCCGACTGTCACTTTCCTGTACTTTTCACACTCAAGACACTGGTCATTACTGTTTACAAACTGAAAAAGTTAGAAGAATGATTATAGATGATAAATATATTTTCACCCATGTGTCTCTTGATATCAAATATATCAACTCTCATTGATAAAAGCTTAAAACTCCTCGGCAAGCCTGGGAGTTTTAAACATTTATCAACATGTGTTGATATAGTTGATATCAATGACACTGAGGTGAAACTCTCTGAATATTACCCAGATGCTACTAAATCAGGACCTGATACATTGCTTAGCAATGCCCTTCACCTGCATCAGGTATAAGTCAGTGAAAGTTTAATATGCGAGTCAAGTACCTGTCACTTGCCCAAGGTCTCTCTACATCCAAGAAAACCTGAAATCATTCCAAGATCATGTGGCCAATAGGCCAAAAGGGCAACCATGTTACCAGTCAGGCCCTATCAGGCCCTATCATGGTAATAACAAACCAAACACACCCTGTCTGGAATCTGATGTCTCCTTTAATCACTGTCTGCTTGTCCTAGTTGTTCATAGGTCCAGGATAAGTTTGGACTCGCTTTGTCTCAGCCAAACCTCTGCTCTTGAGAATGTTTCAATTCAGGCTATACTATGACATACTACACTCTCTGACTAGATTTCATAAACCAAGTGCAATACGGAACGCTGACACACAGGATTATTGTGGAAGCAAAATTTGTGTTATAACATAGCTTATCAATATTTCCAGTCATGCAAGGCCTTTTCATGCCAGATGTGCAAAACATATTCAAATTATGTACAGGACTACAGTGTCTTATTACAGCCTCATTATAAGCTCTAACGAGAGGACAAAGTCATCGGTATCCCTCACAATGATAACTTGTTGTGAATAAATATATGAAACTTGTTGCCATGGAAACCAAGAAAATATTTATTTAAAAAATCCCGAACTATCAAAAGGCACCAGTTCACCACTAGGCCTATACATGTGCCAAGTTTGGTGATAAAATAAAATACATTTTTCAAGATCAACCCCGGAAATTACATTTTGCATGGACGGCCAGACTGACAGTGTCCATATTAATACCCTCCGCAAAACGAGTTGCAGGGATAACAAATATAAAATGTCCAGTCTAGTCAGTTCTGCTGATAACAGTTCTTCTGATGTCACTAAAATCTACTGAAAATGATACCAAGAGACATGATAGGCTTGTTGACTCAAAACCTTCAGGTACAGACTCTCATGTACATTTGATAAAAAGGACAACTTCTGACTACTTCTTGATAACCAAATACAGACGACATTCACCAGATTGCCATTAACTAATGTTAAATGTGAGTTGACAAAAAAGAAAGAAACAGTAAACAAGACGTATAATAAATATTAGAAGAAGCTTACAACCAAGCAATCATACAATTTGAACAGGAAATATTAAACAGATTTTTATAATAATTTATATGCATTGACGACATGAATACACACATGAATACAATGATGATAAATCATGATATATGCCAATTGTCAATACTTCACAATGGAGAAACATAGTGTAAACATGGTAAACAAAGCCTTGAAATATTGATAATGATATGTATATTCCATGATGAATATTGTTTTCCTGAGGTGATGACATTGGTAGATCTAGAAATGTGAGAGAAACGTGTTAGTAAATTTATCAGCCGAAATCATCAATACAGGGTGAGGTAACGTATGTTTGATAAACTCTCCCACTTCGATAGCATGTTACACTATTCATCATGTTGACGTTGAACATGAGTTAATTTATGTCAATTATTTATCATGTACTTGCAATATTATTAAAATTTGAACTCAAAGATCTCATTTCAAACATAGATGTTCTTGATAAGGGTGTGATCACTGCAATACCCATTCAAACAACATATTCTAAGTCAGTTGTGGATTGGTGCAGCCCAGCACCAAACTAAAATGAAATCCTCAAACATAGTGCTGTACTGGTGTATTTAACAAGTGAAGTGTCCATCAGAAGAAACCCAAGAACTTGCCCTGGCTGTAAATCTGAAAAACATACCATGCTTAATTTTGTTAACTGATATATACTGAACTCTGAGAACCACATGATGAAAATATTATCTGTATGTCGAAATGAAGAATAGTACTTAGGGACTGTCATTTACTACGGGGGTGGTGGGGGTGTCATATACATTTGAACATTTAGGGACTTGGGTCATGCTCATGACCAATCTTACCACCCACTCCAATAATAAAAGCCCACTCCCTTAACTGTATTTGAGTCTAAGGTCTTTCATACAATGAATGAATATATGATTTGAACAATGGAATTAATTTCCATTTTATATCATAGCATAAAAATCCTTCTTTTGTTCAAACTAGTACTTATTTTGCTAAATTCTGAGCATGTACCCCATATATTTCGGAAGACATCTGGATCTCAATCATCACCATGATGAATCAAAATAATAAATCAGTTGTCATCAACTGGTTGTGATGAAATAACATACATTGATCATGTTGATTGCTTATCACAATTGCATGTTGCAACATGATTAGACATTCAATAATTGGCATCATAATTTTTCTTGATACATGATGTAGTTTGGACAATGATAATAAAGTACATGATGATAGTGAAAAAAACACATCACAAATGGCAAAACAATTTTACAAGCCACTATTTCTGTCAATGGTAGACATTTGGCAACATGGCTAATCATGGTTATCACTTCAGTCTGCAACTTTGACAAGTACCCAGAAGCCCGAGTCTAGTCAAATCTGTTTTAGCCTAGTAAGCACAACTAATGACAAGGCCATTTATACAACTGAAAAGAAGTTAAGGACCACCCAAATATTTCAGAAACAGTCATATAGTTATTCTGTAATACCATGACAGACTAACTTCAGTAATATGAAAGAATCGGGTGGTCCTTTACTTGCTTTGGGTAGTATATAATAAAACTAAAATCTATTGAAAATGAGACAAAGAGCAAGGTTTTGGCTTGCAAACTCAAATGACTTCAGCTAAGATTGTCACTTGAAAAATTCTTCATAAATAGCCACTGGGCCCTGTTCCACAAAGCGATCTACAGTAGTCGTAGGCCTAAGATCGCTTTGTGGAACAGGGCCCTGATCCAGTTCATCGTGTAAGCAAAGTGGGGAGGATGGGTGAACGTTGTTAAACACAATAGCCCAACTATATCACAGCATTAATAATCAACTCTGGACCAGACAAACCAGTGGTTACACTTATGCGCAATATCCCATGATGTGAAGGTACAATGACACCTGTCAACCAAGTCCCCATGCCTGACCATTTAATCCATTGTAGAGACAGCATGGTTTTACACCCCTTTTGGCCATATTACAACAATATCACGGTAGGGGACATCAGAAATTGGCTTCACATAATGTGATCCATTGTAGTTGCTGCTTACAAAGTTGCTGGGGACAGATTTTACTCCTGCATCACCAAAGGGTGTAAGCTTGTAAACAGGGTGTAAGCTTGTAAACAGGGTGTAAGCTTGTAAACAGGGTGTAACCCTATATACAGCCCCAGGTTCAATTACTGTTATAGCAAGGTCCCCCAAATTCAAACTGTAACTAGGCAAGCTAGGATACGTAAACTTTCAAAAACTGGTATGGTAGACATACGGTTGAAGGCATTGTGCATGTCATGTTTTTAACATATATGTACTAACCTCATGGTACCCTCCCTCATCACCATGGTTACAGAAAAACTTTTGTGGATGAATAGCTCATAATTAGCTGAACATGATCTTAATTTAAGAAAAAAAAACATTATACTGGTCAATTTTGGTAGTTCCAGTTACCGTAACAGTCTGAGACTTTACATGCTAGTCTGATGCCTTTTTCTCAAGTAATATTGCTTACAGTTTAGGAAGATCACCTTGTACTAGTCAATATATAAAGATACTAATATCTAAAAGATTTAACTACATGTTTGGGCTAGTGCACAGACTGTCATAGTAACTTGTGCAGTTCCATTTAATCAATTTCATTAATATGTGTAACAAATTTGGACATGTAACAATGACAAAATGGCATGAATGATCAAGGTACTTGCTTGATAACGGTGTTGGAATCTATGCTGAAACCTTGCCACAATTGCAATAAAGTAGATAATCCACACATGTCATTAGTTATCTGGTGTTACTAACAGTTGGTTTTCAATCATAAAATCTGTCATTGACTATGTTCCAATGATATATGTTCATTTTAATGAAATTTCGGGATAAAGAACTGATAGAGATAGAGTTGAGCCCTAACCATAAAAAATCCCATGTATGACAAAGGGTGTGATGAGGAATTTAGAAAAATATAAGAATAAGAGTCCTGCTATCTAAACTGTCGTTACTTACTTGAATGAACAAATATTTCTCCAGATGATTGCTTTTTTCAAACCACTGATCAATCTTATGCAGACATTATGTTGTACACTTGGCCTTTGGTATTTACACGACTGAAAATCCTCAGGGACTAGTTGTTTTCTACCAAAACAACAAGTATCTTAAACATAGTAAATAAACAACTCATCTGAAATTAGCAGTGGGCAAACACAAAAAAACACATACCCAGGAAGGACATTTCCTTGCAGCCTTGTGGTCTGCCACCTTCAGAATGACATAGAATTCTTTCCTAAGTTGACCCTGCATGGAGTCAACCCTTGTAAACTGACAAATGCCACTTCTGAAAACATGTTAAACCACATTGCTGACACCAAAACCTGGGTTACAAATGGCTTGGGAGAGAGGACAAAAACTGTCTCAAAATATAAAATATTGCACCACTTAATATCATTCAAAACAACCAATTTTCAAAAAGGATCATAATAATGAAACTTGAAATGATTCGTACTGATGAACTGAACGCCAGATCTAAATCTAATTATCCACACCTGTGTATGATCATGATGATCAGTGTTCAAATAAAGATGAGTTTTGGGGTCCTTAAGGTCTATCTCATGGTATATCTCATGATCAATCTAGCATGTCTAAGGACCCTAATACACAGTAACTATTGACTTAGTAAAACAATGAAATAACATACTACACACATGTTGACTTTGAGATAATGCACAACTCATAAATCATAAATAGGTCTCTCAATGTCACATCAAGACACCACTAATAACAATAATAATAATACTTATCAAATCATAATTTACATAAATATAAACCTTGGTCTCTCTTCAAATGATACAAACCAATGGTAACATACAAAGTAAGGCAAACAGCATTAAATAAGTTAACTTAAATGAAAAACATGATAAACAAGATAATCTCCTAAAGTGCACATCATTAACTACTTTTACTTTGTTTGGTAACCTTGTAAATTTTATCCAGGCACTTCTGCGCTTGATGTGCCGATATTGTGTCTTTCATTTTCTTTGCCAGTTGTAAAGCCTTCTTGCAGGCACTTTTGGCAGCTTCAAATTCCGACTTCCGTATATACAGTGCTCCCAAGTTACAGTATAACGCTGGCACCTCACTTGACTCAACCCTTTCCCCAACCTCTATGGCATATTTCAAAGTTTTTTCTGCTGGTCCGTAATTTTTACTGAGAATATTCAGTGTAGCTAGGTCATTGTGCAAGACGAGCGTCTGTGGGTGTTCCTCACCCAGTGTCGAAGTCGCAACTGTCACAGCCTTCTCAATCAACGGCAGTGCCTTGTCCAGTTGTTTCTGGTACATGAGGTACCTTCCATAACTCTCTAACGCAAGACCCAGAAGTGCCACTGTGTCCTTGTCTTTGTCATCCAGCTCATTCACTTTCTGCTCTTGTGTCTTTATACAGAACTCAAATCCTGTCCGTGCCTCTGCATCCCTATGTTGCATGGCATAGATACTTGCTAGTTTGATGGAAATTTCAATCACTGAGTTATCATCTTTCTGGACTCCTACTTCAAAGCAGCATTTCATTGTCTCTTTGTATAACTTCTCTGCCTTGTCAAACTGACCCCTGGATAGAGCCATGTCAGCGAGACTGTCAAAGATGTTTGTTTTGGCAAAGAGGTAATCACGAGTTGTCATGTCTGTTTTTCGGTGATTTTCCGCAGCAACTTTAAGCGCTTCATGAAAATAATATTCTGCTTTGTCAAAGTTTTTCTCGTGCTGTGCCAGTCGTGCTTCTCTGAACAAACTTATCACTGGATCCTCCTCTTCTTTCTTTCCCAGGCCAAGCAACATGAGCAAGCCCCGGGAAAACGCAAGTGTTCCAACAGCATAGCCTGCAGAGAATCTGAAACAACAATATTTTTAACATCAATATATTTAACATGTATAAACATTGACATGACCAACACCAAGAACATAGATTCAGATAACTTTTCAATGAACAGAAAACATAAATTTGACATGTCAAACATGTTAAATGTATATCTTATTTCCCCATCCCACCCCAACGTTAGAAATTGTCACTTGTCCGTAGTCCTTGCCAAACTACCCAATAGTTAAGGTATCATAAGCACCATAAGGACTAGTAAAATTTACCATTTTTAAGGGTTTTGCTATATGTTATCATTATAGACTAGTGGACTAAAACAGTTAGTTTCTATCCCTGAATGATTGCTTATATTAGCATGTATTAGATCACAAATTCTGTTAGTAGTAGTACATGGTAGTATGACCATGTTAAATCATGTACAAGTCATGGTGTATGTTGTCTTATACCTTACAATACACACTGACATAATGGTGCTTCGAGTTTACAAGTTTTCACCATGTTCACATCAGCCGCATGACAATATCGCCTCCACCACCACCCTTAATTTCTGACACTGCATGAAAAGTAATGATAAACTCATCACATATTTATTCATTCAATATAATCCTGAAAATGGCAATAATGTAAACATTGGTAAATAGCTCAGCTCAGTATTTTGGTCAGCAAATGATCAGGTTGGTTAAGAAGGTTGGGCATGTTTTGTTAAAATAAAAACTGCGACATTTTGACTGGTATATTCTTATAGGCATGATTAGTATATGGTTATGATTACATCATGTATATCATGTTGGTCACATTTTCATCAAACTCAAAATTTGCTAATATTTTGATTTATCAGAAATGTTTACCACAGTTCACACATGACAACAACAAGTATCAATGGTCCTTCGTATTGTCAATTGCCAGGCTCCCTAACCACTTAGAGTGTAAAAAATGAACAGGGCCCATCCTTTTTCACAGCTAAACAATATTGGTGTGATTACCGAATCTGTTTGCCACCGAATAGTATCAACAAGATGTATTTTAAGAAAGATTATTTAGTATGGCTTTAGTGATCTTCAAATCTTAGGGCTAGTTATGTAAGGGTTATAATAGGTCATACCAACTCAATTCTCAGCCCTTGGATCTTTGAATGAAAATAGGCTAGTGGCTTCCAAATATATTTACCCCTCTGTGCGTCCAATCAGTTTTCAGATTTCAGTCTAAAATTATCAATTATGATTGTACCAAAGTTAACTACATTTAGAGACATTGTGAAACATAAAACAAAACTATAGGGGTCATCTTCGTTTATGAATCCGACAGTGATGACGCATTGCATCACTTCATTGCATACGGCGACCGAGTATCATTCATTGACAAGGTCACAACTCACCTCGATTTACGCTCTCGGTCTGAGGAGAATCTCTCTTGTGGTGGCATTTGACCAAAGGATCTCGATTGTTTACAACATCTTTCGGTCAAAAACGTTTGATTTGACCTTCTAGTAGTGTTACATAACCTGTTAAACAGATGTTTTGTGCATGAGGACACCGCACGTGTGGTACAGACCGCCATTTTCTCTTTTAGCAGACGACGTCACTGTTTCGTATATAGAGCTTAATATTTTTTATAAAGATAAGTCTATTTCATATAAATTATTCAATTATACATTTTTTCTAAAATATGGAGATATATTCCGTAATATTACAATCTGAACTTTCACTCCTAAAAAGGAAACATATATTATACGGATTTGTGGCTAATTAATTTCTGTAATAAAAAGTAGAAATGCATAAGGAATGTTTACGAAATTAGATTCATTTACGAGGCAAACATTTTGTTAAGTCAAGAAGAAGTCAATTATAAAACGACTCGTAATTAATAATTTACTTTATATTCATATTGCTGAATATTAATAAAACTACATCAAACTGGAGAACATAGACACGTACACAAGTGAAGTCGTTGAAGTTACTAATATTATGAAGATGGGACGAAAGGGATATATATTTGTTCATGTGCGTATATTTATCATTATTTACATGCGCTTCAATACACACAGAATGGCGTTCCTTAAATTTAACAATATATTTAATTTATAGTTAACTTAATTACTTCATTTGTAGTTTGGAATTGTCTAAAGCTGAATTGACTGTCTACAGCTGGTTTTACTGAAACTCGGAAGCAAGTTATTAAAGTTCTTTACATGTTTTACTAAACTCCTATTCAAATTAGATACATGTGATAGATCTAACATAAACGGCCCTTCTTTGTAAACGTGTACATCTTCGACACCCTCCCGTATATTTTATATGCCCAAATGACATGATTTTTGTTTGTTTGTTGTGTAATGCCGCACTATGCAATATATTCCAGCTATATGACGACGTCTGTAAATAATCGAGTCTGGGCAAGACAATCCCGTGATTGATATCATGAGCATCAGTTCACGTAACTTGGATAGATACATGCAATTAAGCTAGTCAACGAACCTGACCACCCGATCCATTTATTTGACTCTTACGAGAAGTATATATAATAGGTTGTTGCCAACTTGTTGGGACCTATTTTCTTACACAAATCGCCAACGAGTATGCAATGCACATATAAATATTCACCTAATCATGCAGTAATGTGTTTGTGCACACCTATTTGAGTTAGGTCAGAAGGCTGTACGTTATTTATAGCGTGACCCGGGTCACTGACCCCTGAGGTTGACGACATTGTGTACTCTCTAACCCATCCTCGATTATCCAGTGAATTATATCTCCTATAAATGGCATTATATATACTGATCCCTGAGGTTAACGACATTGTGTACTGCCGTGTCTACGATTATCCAGTGAATTATATTTCCATTCCATATATTTATGGCATTACAAACACTGACCCCTGAGGTTAAAGATATTGTGTACTCTCGAACCCAATCTCGATTATCGAGTGAATTATATCTTCATTCGATATTTATCATGATAAATATTATATGGACCTAATTGCTACCATAGTCTCGTTTTGAACCCTATTCGAATAGCACGCTAATCATGGCTGTCCAATAACTATAAACGCCCGAATGAGAGAATCCCTTTGCTGGGAGAGTGGTCAGGGAGATGGAGATGGTGACATCACTTCCGGAAAGAAGCTATGGTGGCGAATGTGTCATTATACAAGTGATATTTATTACACAGGATGGAGGATGGTCGGACACATGGCTGATCAACCAGGTCCTGTCGATCATTTATTTATATGAGACATTCCTCACTTCAATCAAATGAAGTCAGTGCACTCCGTTACTATCCTAAATTATACAATTTATACATCAAGCAGGGATGATGTATCTTCAGATATATACAAGAACATGTATTTTAAAATGAACAAGTAATTATTCCCACAGCAATGATTCTATGCATAAACTGCCCCGCAAAAATATACACACAAATAAATAAGAAGCGAAAAACAACGTTCCCATAATCCATTCCCATAGAATAGACTCCACTGTCCGATTCCGTCTATATCATGAGCAGTTGTTAATGAATAATTATCAAATAGTGATGGTACTAGGTGTTCGCGAGACCCGTGAAGATCCGGGGTAGAATAGGTCTTCAGCAACCCATACTTGCCGTAAAAAGCGACTATGCTTGTCGTAAGAGGCGACTAACGGGATCGGGTGGTCAGGCTCGCTGACTTGGTTGATGCCTGTCATCGATCCGAATTGCGTGGATCGATGCTCATGATGTCATTCACTGGGTTGTCTGGTCCAGACTCGATTATTTACAGAACGCCGTCATATAGCTGGAATATTGCTGAGTGCGGCGTTAAACAACAAACCAACAACAACAACAAAGGTGTTCGCGAAACACACATATCGGGTTTTAGTTGTTGACAGTTACACCACTTCTGTCAACATTCGCCTATTGGCTGAGTCGCATTCTTGTCTTCTACGTTAAAGAGTTAACGAGTAACGGTTGATAACTTTTACAATGTCCCTAAATTGTTTATTTTACCCAGTAGTCCGACCGGCGATCAGGAACTACCTTCTTTATTCGTCACCACTCGCCCCTTTCCGTAACCGGTTTGTCCCGGAATAACACGAGTTGGTCACCAATGCGCTATTTGGCTTGTCCCGGAATAACACGAGTTGGTCACGAATGCTACCTTCTTGTCATCTGATCCCGAGATTACAATGTACTTTTGTTTTGTTGAGTTCAAACATGCAGTTGACAGCGTTATCTCGAACCCAACGGGACCGTGTGGTAACTTCGAGATATCCCGACATTCGAGATAACCAGGCATGATGAGGCGGTCGGGACCTGAGAATATAGGTTTAAGATATCGGTACATTCGAGATAATGGTGTTCGAGAAAACGAGGTTCGAATGTATATATACTTACCCGTGCATCCACGAGAGAACACTGCATTGTATAGGTTTTGGAACTGGTGTAAGGAATTTTCGTTTTATAACCGTATATTCGAAATTTTCACTTACTATACCCATAGCACATATTGATCTACCCAAAAACATACGAGGGGTGTTCATTACAGATTTCCCCTAAACCACTTAGGGTTATCATATTTGGTTGAAATTTCACATGTGTAATGATACATGTATCTATGGGTTATGTCTGAATTTGCAGCACCGAACTATTAATCTTACCACTTTTATAGGTGTTATGATCGAGTAGGGTGTGACAATGGAGCCAGTAGAATACCGAGCAGTGATTAGGTTTTTATATTTGAAAGGTCGCACACCAAAAGAAACTTTCGATGAAATGAAAGCAACTTATGGGGAAGATGCCCAATCATATGACGTTGTTAAACACTGGCATCGCCAGTTCAATGCTATTTTCTTTCGACAGTTTGAAACATTTTGTTTTTTCAAGTATTTTCGGGGACAATTTATTTTTTTGGATAAAATTTCAGCCACTGTCCTACACGTTGGTTCATTGCAGATGCAACTGAACTGCACCCTTGGAAGCTGAAAATGCATCGCTTTTTGATTACTTTTATCTCTTATTATCGTCCTCAATAACGACGGGTTAGAGTAGGTGTTTAGCAACCTATGCTGGTCGTAAGAGGCGACCAAACGGATCGGGTGGCCAGGCTCGGTGACTTGGTTGATTGCGTGTCCTGCGTGGGACGCTGCTCGTATCAATCACTGGTTTGTTTGGTCCAAACTCGATTGGTTACATATGACTTAGTTATCGCTGAGTGCGCCGTAAAACAACAAACCAAACTAATTAACCGTGGGTGATAAGCTTTTGTTGGTTTGTTTGTTGTTTAAGCCGCAATCAGCAATATTCCAGCTATATGACTGCGGTCTGTAAATAATCGAGTCTGGACCCTACTATCCAGTGTTGATATCATGAGCATCGACATACGCGATTGGGATACGATGACCTGTATCAACCAAGTCACCGAGCCTGACAGCCCGATCCCGTTTGTCGCCTCTCCCGACAATCATAATCGCTTTTGCGGCAAATAGGTGTTGTTAAAGACCTATTCTAACCCGGATCTTCACGGGTGTGGATGATAAAACAAAAATGAAAGATCAGCATTATCACGACTGTAGATCATAAGCCCATGCATTGTAGATTTAAGGGCTTCACTAGTCTGTCTTACAGACCCTGATACAAATATATATCAAATACAGCCCATGCAAGTCTATAATGTTTGGCAAGTCTAGATCACTGCAGTATCAGGATGAAGAGAGTCACTGGGCTCCTTTTTATTATATTTTTATTAAGATAACTGAACAACTGTTTTTTTATGTACGATATGTTCATTTCAGAGACTAGATTTTAGTCTAGGGCTTCACATACGACCTCTGTTATTCTGTGTTAAGATTCGAACTCAGACAATCAATGTGATAAGCGACAACGCTGAACCATATCTGTCCACAAAACCGCGGCAGGTATAACATAGAGAGCTGAAAGTTAATTGGGTTTGTTTTCAAGCCCCTTTTAGCATTTTTTTTCAGTTGTATCACGGTGTGTCAGCGTTATGTAGGAAGATGCAGGAAGTGATGCAGGTCACAGTCGTTACCACGTTGGTGAAACCCACGAGCAAGTGTATCAAGCACATATCCAGGTCGAATCTTGGATTCTCACCCAGGATCATGGGGACACGCAAGGGGCGCAACTCAGCATCGCGGCATCAGCGGCGACTGCACTTGGCGTGGCTTGGTTTCGCACTTCTATGCATGGTTCGCATTAAAATCGCCGATTTTGATAATTCCAACTGAACGAATCCCTGTTGTGCGGAGTTTTTATTGTTATTGTTATCACAAAGCAGACTTAGAAGAGGATTTCCCGCGAGTTGACTCATACTTGGTAGAATGAAGGTCAATTAAAAGAAACACAGTGAAAAATATTATCGTATTTTATTCAAACAAAAAGTGAAAGATTTATAAATTCCAGTTTCAGGACAGTATTCCGTGTATGCATGTAAACTAAAGTTTTGTCACACTTAAACAGGTTCCTTTCCGTATATGCCGGCACAGTTCTACTCTAGAACTTGCGAACTACTCTGTGATGACAGCCACACGGTACTCTATAGAGGAAGGAGAGTTGCACCCCCTTGCACCTAAGGCAGTTCAATGTCTGACGTCACCAAGAACGTTTTCAACTTCCGTTTGCAGTGTTCAGTCCTTACCCATCAACGACATCTTGATTTGCTCAGCTGTGACACGAACTGGCCCACTTATACCCACATCAGTGGAGAAAAGTGTTTTAATTTCTTCAAGCGTTAGAAATCCCGGGGGATAATTTTTCAGGGGGATGTTAGTCGGCTGCGTGCCGTCCCAGTAATCCCTCCCATCCGCCCCGGCGAACCCCACCACACAGATCACAAGGCACAAGGTCAGAAGTGACGTCATGTCGAGAGTGTGAAATCAAAGAGTTGCAGGAGCTGAAACAATGATAAAACAATGAAGAGTATATATATACCAGCTGTACTGACTGTATCAAATTGAACAAGCGACCATTTTCACAAATTAGACACAATTTTATGGATAACAACTTCTTTAATACTGTGAAAAGCGACGTTTGGGTATAGATCCTTATACTGTTGTCGAGCAAGACAGTATTAAAGAAGTTGTTACCCATAAAATTGTGTCAACCTTGTCATCCGTTAACTTCTAAGTAATGCCTATCAAACAATTTGACCATTTTCACCTAAGGAAGCCATCGGGGCTATACCCCAACGTCTAAAGACCTAAAGTAACATGTGACCTAATTACGTCACACTTTTTGCACACGACACCAGTGTGAAAACTACCATTACAACACCTTGACACGAAGTATCTGGCAAACAAGAGTGAGTGAGTATTGTTCTACGCCGCTTTTAGAAATATTTCGGCATTATCACGGCGGGACATCAGAAATGGGCTTCACACATTCTGCCCACGTGGGGGATCGGACCCGGGCCTTCGGCGTGATGAGCGAACGCTTTAATCAATAGGCTAATCAAACCCACACACTCATTCATTCTTGGTCGAATGTTTAACGTATATGTCCATCTTCATTTAATGTAAATACGTTTCCAAGTTAACCATTTTTTTAAAAATATATCTTTTACAGTACAATTTGCCACTTTTTGTAAATACTTTCCTTTCAACCTGTGTCAAAGGGTAGACAAGAAAACATTAAAAGTTAATCGATTGTCTCGTCTAGATTGGATTATTGACAGGCCGCCGTCATTTAGCTGGAATACTGCGTGAGGCGTTAAACAACAAACTATAGTTCAATTCATACCGCTTCATGGACTAACGCGTGCAATTCGCTGCGCAGTGTTACGTCCTTTAATTGTAAAAGGAGCCGGAGAATCTATGTTCGAATTCGAATTATGATCCTTGGTTCATCAAAATAATCATTGGTGTTAACTAACGAATATCGATGGTGTTGACAGGCCACGGTTCTTAATCGGGAAGGGGCATATGTATCCCAATAGGTACAGTGGGTTAGCCTAGTGGTTAAAGCGCTCGCTCGTCACGCCGAAGGCCCGAATTCGATTCCCGACATGGGTACGATGTGTGAAGCCCATTTCTGGCCCATAATAGGACTTTGTAAATATCCTGTATGTATGTATGTTTCACTGTTTTATGGTTAGGATTTCCGTGTGATTTCCTTTAAGCTTAATCTATCTCCTGTAAACTGTCATCCTATATGTAGGATTTCACATCTAGCAAATGGAAGCTGTTTACCAGAACAAGACAAACGTGCACTATATCGGTATGGCCACGTGTCAAAAACAGATAGATAGCATCAAACACATTAAACAAACATCCTTGAAGATATGTTGATAGTAAATTTTTCATTGCAATCTCATTAAAGTCAGTTCTCCAAAGATTGCCCTTTTCGTCACGATCTGAGGAGCTGTAACCGCCCAAAACAAATGAAGAAAGCCTGGCGTCATTCACTCACCCATAATCTGGATTCGAACCCACGATCAACGGATCCCAGTACGACTCTGAGACAAAAAGTGACCTAACAAACACCGGCCCATACCCGCCTTCATTTATCAATATCATAACATAAACATCAACAAGGAAATAGTATTGACCAAAATGTGAATACGTACATAGCATTGTACAGTCACCACTCGCCCATTTCCGTAACATGCTTGCGGAATGACACGAGTGATGCCGAATGACAACGTTTCTTACCTCAGTGATAGGTTTCAATGAAGGTACCTCTGAGAGCTGGTGCTGCTATTCTGCAAAGGTGGACTATAATGACATCTCGTGTCATCTCATATTTATATAGCTGAAGAATCAGCTTAACCCCATTGCATCATGGTATATGTCCTAAGGATACGGATGTCGACCTTGTCTAGGGTAGAAGGATAAACAACTGATAAAGACCTAGACGTCTCTATCGGTGCCACGAATTACTGACCGGAAGAAATTGACCATCTAAATCTGACGCCAGTCTGATGTTACAATGATAATGAACTTCTGGAAAACAACAATGGGCAAACGATAAGATACATTTTATTCATGTTTTACATATTCACTAAAAAAACAATAAACATGCACTGAAATATGTATAAGATCGATTAACAGAATGTAATCATAGTATAATGAAGCTTTTTTGCGAACGAACAGATTGGATAACTACGTTTTTTCTGCAATACTTCGTTATTAATCCAGAAAGGGTCCTATTTTTGTTACAGAGATAGTTAATAATAAGATGTTTAATTTAAGATAATTGATTGTAAAAAAAACCCCACACACATTGCATGCGTGTCAGATTGATGTCTTGCTTGTGACTGTCATATTCACACCCACCCTTCCTGATTTAGAATAGTAAACCTTCCTTTAAACTAAAACACTCCGTACAGACTGCTCAAATGTTCACCCTTTCAAGTCGTGTTTTATTTTGTCTCATACAAATATTGACTACATGTACCTTAAAATCCGTAAATGCTTGGTAAAGCGAAACTGAATTGTAACATTTTCTAGAAAAAGAACAAGAATGATTTGCACATAGGCAACCATTTTAAAAAAACCATCAAAAAACCAGCTAGCATATTTTCTGAAATAATTAATTACATGCAGAGTTTTAGCTTTTGCATGAAAAGGGCAAAAGTCCTTCACTCTATTAAAATGAAATTACCCCCAAACCACATCCCTGTTTTTATCTACATCTTTTAAATATCACTTGATATGATTTAAAAAAGAGAAAGGATATAAACGACAGCCATTTGAACTCTTTTGAAGATTTTCAAAGAAGTGTTCGACAACATGTCTCCATTTGAAATTTCTCACTTCTAGTGGGTCGCAATTTACCGTTATCATACATGGTCCTCTCAAGGATGTGCGATCAATCTCACAGACGTTCATGTCTACACATCGCGGTACTTTATATTTTTATATTTATCCACCATTGACAATAGGCAGTTAGAACCAATATATATATTTATATATATATATATTGATAGATATGTCTAAAACACTGATATGTTTATACACATTGATAGATAGTGTTCTGCTTAAACTTTATGTTGTTCTCTGTACGATAAATCATGAAAATGAAATGTTCTTACCTAAGCTATCGTAGCTCTACGACAGTCGTAAGTCCATTATACCTAAAACAAAACCACGTTACCCACGGCTTGCTTTATATTTCCATATCAAAAAGGCATTAAATGTTTTATCCTGTATTAACTATCTGCCGAAACAATATTGTATTTGTTAACGGAGCGACATATTCATGAAGTGATGATCCGTGGTTGTAAAACATATGCTGTGACTCAGTACTCGTGACCATCTGGAGAAACATCGGTTTTCTTGTACCAACTTTTCATCAGGTATCCTTGGTGCCATGGACACTATTCAAAATGAGACGAATGTCATTTGTAGATTTCCAAGAGATACAGCGGAAGTGGAGATATGTGAAAATAAAGAAGGTGGGACTTAGCTTTTATCGCTTTGTGAATATGGACCAAGATGTGACAGTAAAAGTACGGATAATATAGTGTGTCTCTCTATGATTGCGGGCTCTGTATTGTCGCGGTATCGGTAAATCTCGTAATCCACACCCACTGCTGACTGTTTACTATCGAAATCTAAGCACGACATTTCATCGCTTGATCAAATAACGGACTCGTTGCGCTGTCACGGCTACTCGTAAGTATACACGTCAACTTTTTTTGTGGAATGTTTTTAAGTGGAATACCTCCATTCGAAATTGGTTAGGAAAGAACCCATTTGTTTGGACGATGTCCCTTGACCCAACCTACAGGTCGTATGCATGCTGATTATGCATAATCCCAAACAGAAAGTTATTTAAACAACACAATCCACTCGTATCACACCACATAGTGATACCGCGATGATATATTGTTGCCCGCCATTGAGTCGCTATTGAACTCGGTTAAGAAAATCAACATCGATCAATAATAATTGATGAGTCATAAAAGTGGGAATACAGAACAAGAAACATTTTGCGTGTGACATGTTTAATAGGTTAGTAAGCGTTCGCCACTGCGATCCATTATAAGTTAACTACCGCGATAATATAGCGTACCATGCTACATGGTACAACTGCTAACAAATACAGTTTTTGTTACCGTCATGAAAGATGACGTATTTTAAAGAGTTGGTTCCTAGTCAAAAAGGAATAAGCAACGCTTCAGACGCAAGCATTTTGTTATCTTCTTCTTTGCTCTAAATTGCGACATCCTACACTGTCTTCGACTTTTGTTGTTGTTGTTGATAGTTCATCTGAAAACAAACGGCGAATGAGAAATATATATGATACTACATTTATATACGCTCTCACATATATAACAACAATGATTGCGTGGATCGATGTTCATGATCTCAATCACTGGATTGCCTGGTCCAGACTCGACTATTTACAGACCGCCGTCATATAGCTGGAATATTGCTGAGTGCGGCGTTAAACAACAAACAAACAAACAAACAACAATGAAGGTGAAAAACTTTCTCATTTTCATAATTGTTTTCCCGTCGTTTATCATTGCTACCTTCTTCAATATCGACGTTATATCGACGTCGTTATCAGCGTTAGACGCTTAGTTTAGCATTGTATCTCATTCTACCGGGTACCCATTTGCTGCTGGTATCATTTTACCTTTTTGACAAGCCACTTAATGTTCATCCTTTGCCACCCTGTCCCCGACCGGAGTCCTGGGAAGAGCCGGGGAGACTTGGTGCCTGGTAAATCCAGGGGGTGGATTCCTCGCTTCGGGCTGAGGCTTGTTCCCGGGGGGTCCGAACTTCTCTATTATCTGCTCAATTGTCAACCCGTCCAAATTCGGGCGCTTCGTCTGCGTGACCACTTTGTCCGCTTGTTTGGTTGGCTTTCTCAGACTGTCCTGTATGTTCTTAATTGAGAGTTGTGGAACACCCTGAGCGTTCGTGGCGAAGGGAAGGAACTCGGGGACGTGGAGGGGATTTTTAACAGTGTTTTCTCTGCCAGAACTCTTGGAGTATGGGATGCCATCAGGGAGTCTCAGCTGAGTTCCAAAATCCGGAAGCGGTGCAGCCGCGCGAGGAACCGCACCCCCGCGAGGATGTGCATCTCCGGGTGGGACTGCCTGCGACTCTACTAGGTGTAGACAACAGAGGAAGAGCACTACCCACATGCTGCCTGAAATCTCAAGGAGAATTGTTGTATAGTAAATAGTATATTCTGCTGGTCAGTGAGTGAAGCGTAAAGCTGAAAAGGGCACTGACAACTTGAATGTAAGTTTACATTCGGTATAAAAGTAAAATCATAATCATAAGGACGCATAGTTTACTATAATAACACAAAATACAATTATTATTGGGTTTTTTCTTGTTGTTTTCCACTGCATATTCCAGCAATATCGGCATGTTAAAATGTCCGGGACCAGACAAACCAGTGATTGTCAGCAACAAGAAACGTCACAGGGATAGGATGACACACAAACAGAAAAATCAAATTGCAACCACCCAAATTTCATTTTAATCGGTTATGAGTAGGATAAAGCCCTTCCGATGTTTTTTTATGATGTCTACAACCCGCATCCGCGGGATAAAGCTTATAGATATCATTAAAATCGGGGGGGGGGGGGGGGGGGGGGGGGGGGGGTTGTTTGATAAACCGAGAAAATTAACTTAAAACAACATTTTTATGTTTCAAACATAATTTTTTTCGTTAGATTTTACATTTTAATGCATGTTACAATATGAATATGAATTGAAATTGTATTAATAAAATACCCGAGATATTGTAACAGATTACATAGCAAATATGTCTATAGTATCCCATTACAACATCAGTGTTTATGAGATTTAACCTGACTAGAGAACAATAGGATGACGTCACTGCATGAAGGTTTATGAGGGTGTTTGGTGACTTGATTTATCCCGGAGAATCCCCTCTTGTAGTCTCTCACAGTCTCTGAACCAAATGATTTCCCCCTCTGCCCTTCTGTGATACTATAGCCCTAAATGAAGCAAGTCTAGATTTTCCACAGGTTCTGAATCTCACTTCTCACTTCAGCTCCTTTTCAATTTAATGGAGTTGTTTGTTTCTATCAAAATATATATTTTCAGAGACAAAGCGTTAATCTACCCCCTTGTAACGGTTCTGCTATTCTAACACACGTTTAAACACCATTCTGCGTGTGTGAAGACGACCCATATTTCATTGATGTTGAAATGCAACCGATATAACGTTGATGGGCGCCACCCTGCCATGCTGTATGTTGAATGCCCAAAATGAAATAAATTTTAACGTTTAAGTCAAGTTTGCCCTTTCAAAGTCTAACTCTACTGACACGATAAAACTCGATTTGCAAAGGGCTTATGTTTTAAACCAACAGTGTAGCTTAGCTTACTTTCCTAAAGTACTTGTTTATTTATTTTAAGTTAATATTTATCAGTACAATCATACAAAAGTCTGAGTCAACTTTGAATAAGGCCCGCTCGAGATGCTATCAGCGCCCTCTTGTGACGGGGCAGATCTATTAGTGGGCTTTTATCGCAGGGAAGTCAGTCACGGAGGTCCCGTTATGTCTAGCGTGAATATGACCAGCTGACATATATATCTAATGCATATACTAAGCCACTCGTTGATCTGTAGGTACAGTATTGATAGGATTAGTGCCGGTGTCAGCTAAAGGACGCTCGAGGTCAAGCGTCATACGTTATTCGTACACCTATATTATACATACATTGACTATTAATTGCCGGGCCAAAGAAACATACACTTACTTACAAACGTTATTAAACCGTTACTAGGCTGAAATCAGTCGCCGAAACTCTGAAAACTCAAGGTCCAAAACAGAACAATGGCACCTGTATTAAATGCATCACCACTGTAAAAATAACCATTTTTGTAAATATTTCAGTATTAGCCACCATTAAACATGGGTGTATACTTTCTTTTGTCCGGCAGTTGAGTTTGTGTGTGTGTGTGTGTGCGTGCGTGCGTGTGAGTGTGTGTGTGTGCGCGCGCGCGTTTGTGCGTACTTGCGTGTGTGTTTGTAAATGCCCCAAATAATAATAAAACATCCTACAATCAACTATGTCAAAAACTACATTGGTGCCCTCTTCAACCTGGATCATATCGTGAGGGTAACTAAAGAGCAATACGGTAAGGGTGGTGGGGAGTTTTCGATACGTTACGTTGCAAGGGAGGTTTCTCTAATTCCAACATGAAACGATAAGTGAGCGAATGAATGATGTTTCAAGCCACAGTCAACTATTCTAACCATAACTCGGTTGTTTTATTGAGGGAGAGAGGATTTAATTTGTATTTTAGTCAAGGTACAATTTGTAACCTTTGGGGCATGTCCCAGAGGCTCGGAGTGAGCGGCCTAACTTACTCCAAGTTGGGTTTTACGCCGCTTCCAGTTATGTCACGGCTTGTCAGCTTGAAAGCCCGAAGTGATGCAGGTCTTAGACATTCACCACTTTGGTGAAACCCACGAGCACGGGTATGACGCCCACAAACCGAGAAACTAAGCCGGGATTCGAACCCACAATCAAAGGTTTCTGGCGTGCCAAAGGGACGCAACTTTGCACAGCGAATTGCGGCGTCTTATACTTTGAATCCCGGTTCGCCCCGATTAAGTTTTTAGTGTATCAGTAACATACCCGTGCTCGTTGTTTTCACCAAAACAACCCATGCTTGCCGTAAAAGGCGACTATGCTTGTCGTAAAAGGCGACTAACGGGATCGGGTGGTCAGACTCGCTGACTTGGTTGATACATGTCATCAATCCCAATTGCGTGGATCGATGTTCATGATATCAATCACTGGATTGTCTGGTCCAGACTCGATTATTAACAGACCGCCGTCATATAGCTGCAATAGTGCGGCGTTAAACAACAAACCAACCAACCAAATGTTTTCACCAAAGTGGTAAACGTCTACTTTCCTCCCACGTTGAGCTGACACGCAGTAATATAACTGGAATACAACTCAAAGCGGCTTTAAAACCAACTCACTCACTCACTTTAACTTTCGACCCCTTATGTTATACCTGCCGCAGTTGTGTGGACGGATATGGGTTAGCGTTTTCGCTTATCACAATGAATGTCTGAGTTCGAATCTTAACACAGAATAACAGGTGTGTGTGAAGCCCTTAACCCAACTCACTCACTTTCTCAATGAGACGACATTTGCCCTGTGATACACATCAAGCGATTATAATCGACGAATTCACATGAAAACCAAGTGTAGCGAGTGTGAATACTACGAACGTCTCAACAATATATAGGGTTTGTACAATCAATACACTGGCCAACAGCACTATCACCAGAGGTCTACAAAACTAAGAATCATCTAATTCAGTGTTAAACTTTTAAAACGAAATTCGGATCTATACTCACCGAAACGTTACAACGAAATACACACAGTGCACAACCAACCCAATTCAGTATGCAGTGTAGAATGTCTAACTGTGGTGAGACCAACATGTATATTCCTCAACCACCCCTCCCCACACACCCTCTACCCCTCTGCGTGAGGGTTGATAACCCTGCTTTTTGTCTCTGCTTTAGATGGGTGTATAGAGTAAATAGATAACGGTGTCCATACACGGAATGGGATACTGCGGTTTAGTTGGCCTGTAGATTCAAATCCTTATTACCATTGTCGCAAGTTTGAAAACATGTCTTGTTGAATACGCAACGTCACTGCATGACTCTAATGATGATTAGCGTTTTGAGTTTCAGCTGACGATTGTGACGATAGGACAGATGGGGCCATGCAGTCCTAAATGACGTTATTTTTTAACATACGACTGATTAGGTATAACTGTTTGGTTTGTTGTTGTTGTTGTTGTTGTTGTTGTTTTTTGTTATTTTTTGTTTGTTTTTCATTTGCTCGTTTGTTGTTGTTTTGTTTATGTGTTTTTTTTGGTTGTTTTTTTTGGGGGGTGGGGCTGGGGGATAAGGGGCGGAAATCTCAAATGAAACCCCAGTGAAACCCCAGTGAAACCCCAGTGAAACCCCATTGATCCGGACCCGTCACAACGGACATTAGTTCGTATATCTCTCAATCGTCAGTCGGGACACTTGTTAATCCGAATGGTAATGTCCCGATTATCGGGGTCTGACTTATGCGTCTTTATCTGCAAGGAGACATCATACCCATGCTCGTATGTTACTTCTGCATCACTCCCACTTTCCTTCCACATTAACCTGTTACTCCTTGACATCACAGAAATCGTGTTCAGAGTGGCGTTAAACCTGACTGACTCACTCGCTTTAAGAGTTGTCCTGGAAGGGTCAACTTTATTAAGTCAAAACACTCTTTCTTAAAGAAGTAAGGCATCTTATATTTAAAAAACAACAACAAGAAACCATTCATACATGTATACATTTGCTTTTTCTTTCCTCCAGTTTAACGAATTTCGTAACAGAGATATATTTGTGGATTGTTGCCAATGCTATAAATCTCTGGACTGAGCCGCTTATTCACAGACAGCTGGGATAGGCAAATCAAATCACCCACTCACTGTATTCACTATAACAAAATGACGATTGATATTAAACCTGTTTTCGTAATTATTACTCAAAATCTCCATCTTCTTACCGAGGTTGAACTTTAGTACTAAATAACGTAATTTGATGCGAGTGAATAACAAAAATGTCAATTACATAAAGGAATAATGTATAAAAAGTATGGATGTATACAGGATTCGACCTCATGTCTTCTAGAGGTTTCCTGTATGTAGGCAAAAACACCTTGTAATAATATCGAGAGTTACTTCCCTTGATCTTAACGGTCGTTCTTTTGGAATAAAAGAACACTAACATATGTTGTTGTTTTTGACTTAATAAAATTTGCTGTTATAACATCGAATTAATTTCAGTCAAATGTCCGATTTTGAGTTGTTAGTTTTAAAAATCTGGTTCCGTAAAGAAATTTTCTGCCGGACGTCGAAACTTGACTGACGTCGAAAGACGCTGAACAAATACCTCATCTGTCATAACGTGTAAAAGAGGCCAGACCGCTTCCTGACTCTGTCAAATGTATTTATAAATACAACTCCGATTTGGTACGTACATTCATGAATATAAATGCATTGCCTTCCTTTCGCAATCGGCCTACCACGTTTGAAATATTCATCCGTCTCTCAGAAACGGTTTCATCATGGCGGAGCCGGAAATGTTGGGCCGAGGGCCTAGATCTCTAGGGCCAATAGCCTGACTTCCAATATCATATTGTTGGCATAATGTAACTGTTTTTAACAAATTTGGCTGTGTATGATTCGTAATAGTTCTTTATGGACATCTTGATGGTATACTTGAATTAACTGAATTCTTTGTTTTTATTAGGCTACCATTCTACAGGCGTTATTCTACAACATGTGCAAGACATACTAGGGCCTATAGCCTCCTCTTTATTTATTGATTTATGGTGATGATTTAACTAAGTCTACATTAAAACATGTAGGTATTCTATCTAATAAAATATATTTATATATATTAAATATATCTATGATTTCTATATAAGCCATAAAAGAACTAGGCTGCTCCCTATACGGCTCTGTCCTAGTCCCACACTCCACGCCCTTTCCAAAAACCTCAGCAGGAATGAAATGTATTAACCTATCATCTGTGACGGTGTTATTTATAACGATAAATGATTTTCTCTGCAGGATTCCAATTTCGTTAATACCTGATTTAATTCCAGAAATACTTATCCCTTGGCTCGTTTTTAGGCCGAGAAAAGGCATCGGTCTCATGTAAAGTTGAATCATTAGGTGCTAACACTAATAGTAATACGATTATGTCCCTTTCGAAAACTCTTCACACAATGTTTCTACAACTTAGGTTTCAGATGGCGATGTATGACAAAGAGCCTTTGCTGGACATAGAATCTGGGCAGTGTCCAGGGTGCCACCAGGACTTCACATTGGGCACCGATGGAACTCCAACATACCTCTCCTGTGGTCACTCTGTTTGCTTCAAGGTTACCAGTTTGAGCCAATGCTCTTTTCTTTTAAAAATAACATTTGTTATACTTACACCTGTTGTTCAATTAATGCACCATGTCAGCCAAAATATATTGCATTAAAATAGACCACAATAAGAGATGATTAGAAACTACTTTCATCTGAAATTGTTGGGGCAGTCATTTCCTCATGGTTTGTTCAAATTTAAATTTACTTAAAAAGTAAAATAATTATACTTTGAAATAGTTGTTTTGGATATATATATTGTAATATATTACAAATCACATCTATTTAAGTAGTCATACAAAACATATTGTTAAAGATAGAGAATATGATTGTCAATGAATTCTTGTTAATTCAAGCCCAGCATTTATGAAATGATTGGTATTATGATGTATTGTACCTACTAGCCTTTGTGATAACATTGATTTCTGTTGCAGTGCATCCAGATAGAGTGGTGTAAATCTGTATCAGAGGATGCAGACGTGATCACTTGTCCGATATGCACCGACCAGATACTCATCTGCTTTGATAAAGTAAGTGAACAACACTTCATGGATTTGCATGGTTCTAAAATGGAACACGACCAGAAACATCTTATATCTAACTAATTCTCCTGTGTAGACTTTATTTGTCTTTATTACATTATTAATGTAATTGGTAATTCGGTTTAAATATATTAAGTAGTATGGCAGTATGTAAAATGTACTTATGCATCATCTTCAACCGTGTGCTTATCTTCCTTCATGGTAAACTTATGTAAACTCTCATACCATTTATTTCAGTAGCAAGTGACAATGTCCCAATGAAACCAAAAGTTAAATTGTTTTTAATGTATGAATTATTTGCTTACATTTCAAGTTTGAATAACAAACAAAACATCATTTACTCATCTTACTGGTACCATGGTTTGACAATTTTAATTTATATTGTTACTAATTGGAGACTAAGTAACTTACAATTTTACATAATATATTGAGCGATCCTGCAGAAAGATGAGAATTGGTACCTGAAAATCACACAAGACACTGACTAGTATGTTGTAATGTTGAAATCATCAGTCACCATATATAATATTAAATGAGTACTAACCGGCCACTCAAAATTGCAAACATATTTCACGTGTCTGGTACCAGCTGGAAGTTGACATCAGGTATACAGTCTCAGGTATCCATTTTCATACATTTAAAACATTTCCAAAACAATTACAATGTATGATGCCTAAGTTTGTGTTTCCTTATTTGATAATGTTGTCATAATATAAATATTGTCTCAGGAGTTGAAAGGCCAAACTGATCAGACAACAACTAAAGTTCCAAATGAACTTCTGACATGCAACTATTATATTTCAACTTCTTCTCTGAACTGGCCGAAGGCATGAGTCTCAAGGAGGATCTCCAGAACCATAATGGGACTCAGATTTGTTCAAGGCATTGAAAATGTGAATGTAATTCAAAATATCAAATTTGGAATATCGTTTGTAGGAATGATTACGGCCTCGGGATCTGAAACAGACATCATATATCATGATATTGTTGAAATATTGCTAAAGGCAATTTAAGACCATACTACTAAATTTTATTTTGCATAAAATCTAAATTAAATGTTTATTGAAAGTAGAATTATTTTTTTTTCTAAATTGCTTTTGAAAACTCAGTTAATTTACTTGAACACAGTAGCTAAGAAACTGAACTGACTTTCCTTTTGTAGGAGGCACCCATGAAAATTGAGGAACAACCTTTAGAATCTGCAAGAAATAACATGACTGATGTTCTAAGGAAGGCACAGATGGACAACCAGATTTCAGCAAGCCTTTCCGACAGTCATACAAATCCAGGCTGCAGAGATGTTTTAATCAGCCAGACAACAAACAAGTGTAGTTCACATTTAAATCCAACTTTGTCTGATTCTGATATGGTGCATATGGATTCAGAAATATCTTTGCCTATCCTTGATGGCCCAGAGAACAAGTGCCCCAAGGCTTGGACTTTGGATGTGATGAACCTTCAAGCTCTGCTTGAAAAAGAGACTGGTATTTCCGGTTTAACACAACATATCAGCCAAGACAGTATGTTCAGTGACCATGGAGACAGTGATATTGGCACTGTACAGGATCTTCTTAAGCTCGTGAACATTCCAGGAGAATCACTATTTGAGGATAATAGTCTCAGTAATTTAGAAACACACCCTCTTATGGATGAAACTTCAAATTCCTCCAGTTTGAAAAATTCATTATCAAGCTTTGAATTATCTGAGCTGTCACAATTTCTTCAACCCCATCCAGGGTCCTACAGCTGGCAGATGCCATCTTCAAATCTGATGAAGAGGCATCCTGAAGATGTTGATATTCATATTGGGGAAGAAAATGATGATCATGTTACCAGTGACTTACAACCATTCTCTGTTGACCAGAGAGGGATATTTGAGACGTTGGAAGGAGGTCACCACTTTGATGGATTTGTTCATACACCACAGGCACAAGGGAGGAGACAAGGCCACCACAACAAAGCAAGAAAAAAGAGTGTCTTGTCTAGAGCAGTAGATATTGATAGTCTCAACTTGGAAACAATGACAGCTGTTAATTCCATCGAGGTTGATAAAGCCGCAGGCAAATCTGAAACTGAAAAAATACCATCAATGAAAGAAAGTCTCTACAAAAGATTTTATCCAAAGTCTAGCAAGAAGCCATTCCGTAGAGGGCCGGTTCTAAGGACACATGACAGAAGCTATAGCACCATCAGGCAAGAACACTATCAGCAAAGTAGAGAAGAAATCGATATTCCAGATATGCAGATGGTTAAAATAGTATCTGATGTACAGATCCCAGAGGAAGAAGAGCCTGCTCCACCAGAAATGGAAGAAACCAGTCGGCACAATTATGGATATGTCAAGAACTCCATGCTCCCCAATGGAAATGAAATAAAGAACCTCTATGTTGTTCCTAAAACTTGGCTAAACAATGATGAAGTTGAGGTACAATTTACACCAACAGAATCAGACAGTGCTGAGCCCTACCAAGCAGAATGCTCAATGCAACCAGAGCATGACATGCAGAATCTATCAGCTGCTGTTGCATACCCAATGACATGTATCATGCCCTCACAGCATTCTCTACTGCAGCCATTTTCAAGACAACAGATTACCATACCGAAAGTATCACGTACAAAGCGAGACACATCCAAATCTAAGTCAACTGTGGGTCACACTGTCCCTGTTTCAAAGCCTGTTAGGATATGTCCAAAGGAATCTGAGGACGAAGCAGATGTAAAGTCACTCCAGTTCACAAGCCTACCTGGGACTGATGATTTGATTTCAGGGGAGAGTCCATTTGAAACGGAGATGGTACATGTTCGCTATGAAATAAATGATGGACAAATAGTTTTTATTCCAGAGCCGGCTGAAGGGTCATCCAGTAATGATACAGTTGCAACTGAAAGATATTGTGACAAGGAACAAGGGCCACTGCTTATACTTACAGTACAGGACAGTGAATCATCTGATGGTGAGAAATGCAAAACTGAAGACAGGAATGACAGTGCCAAAAGCTCAGAAATCCAGGGATCTCTCGGGGAAGAGAAACCAGATAAACATATAATCACAAAATCAATCATTCAGCCAAATTGTTTTGAATCAACGACACTGCAAGAAGAAAGTGTGAAAATCAAAGACAATATTCAAGATTTACAAGATTTATGCATTCAAACTACACCAACCACAAAGATTGCAGAGAGTGTACACAGTTCTGTTTCCATTGTGCCCTCTGCAAGCAGTTCTTCTGAGAGTTGTCAGAGAGCATTCAGCTCACCAGAGTCGATTACACCTGAGGACATTCTGGGGTGGCACATGTCTCACAACAACAGCAGAAACAGTTCAAGATGTGAACTGAGTTCAAGGAATGAAAACCATATCATATCCCAGGGATGCAGTGATACCAATTTGCATGATTCAGTGTCACCCTGTCATGGTAAAATGGTGGATCATTCCCAAGATCTCATATTCAATGAAGATATAACATTTGATTCTGGTGAACAGCGACCACCCTCGATTGGGGATGATGAATGTTCACTGAAACTTTATAAAGACACTAATGTGTCAGTGTACAATCAAACAGTTGGTAATAATTTGGATCTGTCTTCTACTGCATCCTGTTCACTGCAAACTTGCACAGATGGTGTTGATTATGGGAGTCCTCCTGAGCTGGAAAGAATGGTCAAATTACCCCTCCCTAAAGAAACAGACAGGGAAGATGATAAAGAAACAAAATCGATCCTTGGGTGTGTCAGCTCTACAAAAGTTTCAAGTAGTGAGATATTTAATGAGGTACAACTAAGCAGACAGAATGAAATGACACCACCTCGTGTCAAAGCAGAAAAGAGACAATTAGAAATCATACTTGAAAAACTAGCTGGTCTAAGCAATGGGAAAGATGTCACATCAGATATGAACGATCTCAGCTATCAAATTGGGAAGTTGAATGAGATCAACCAAAAGTTCTTTGTGCACACTGAATTATCCTTCTACAACCATCAAAGCAAAAAGATATATGATATGATAATATATCAAGTTTCGTCACTGATTGCTTGTGAAAAGTCAGTGCAGTGTTTTGAAGATAATGCTGATATTTTAGGCAAAGAAACAGAAAAGGAGATGTGTACCCAGAGATACTTGTTTAAACAAGTTGTCAAGCAAGGAATTGGTTTTATCACTGAGCTGGTAAGCGAATATGAGAGGGTCCTAGACAAGTCGTCAACTGATGGTAATGAGCTGGAAGTCAGTAGCTCAGGACTGAAGGATCTTGCTGCATGTGAAGATGAGGACTCGAATACAGATGGTGATGGAAATGGAAATGCAGATAGGGATGGAAATCTAGATGGACCTCACAATGGAACAACAGATAGACATCTAAATGGAGATGCAGTCTGTGTACCTGAGACAGATGAAAGGGTAGCTGTAACTACTAATTCACATTGGCAAGATGACATCAGTTATCCGGATCGTTTTGAACTGAAGCCTAAAAAACATTTACTTCTAACAACAGAGTTATTTGATGAAAGGTCACCAGAGCCACAAAATAATGAATTGAATTCACTACAAACAAATGAGGAAAGTGTGCCATTATTATCAGTGATATCAGACAGAATTCCTCAGGAAAGACAGGGTTTACCACTTGAAGAGTCCACCTCAGAGATGAGCCTGACAAACCATGTGTCAGACATTGCCCTAAATGTTGAGATTGGGAACGCATCTAGCAATGAATCAGTCCTTCCATCTCTGTCAGATGTGATGAGAACTCATAACCACCAAGACAAGAAGGATACTCCTGAAGAGACAGGACAAGAGATTGTCACATTGCAGGATGATAGCAAAAATTTGTATCCTCAGTATTTCGGAGAAGGTACTTGTATTTAAGGTCACAATATAACTGGGTTACATTAACGAGTGGAAGCAGTAACTTACTTCCATGGGATGTCAGTTTGTTAAGAAAATTGTGATTCTACTTGTCTTGTGCTTGTAAGGTCTTGTAAGCATGGCCCCTTTGGGTATTCGTGCAGAATAGGATCCCAGTATCCCATGTTTACCTCAAGAGCCCACAAAACTGAGGATCTGATTGTCTGCCCTGGCTTCTGGTAAGAGGTGACTAACGGGATCGGGTGGCCAGGCTCGCTCATTTGGTTAATGCGCGTCATCGTATCCCTGTTGGGTAGATTAATGAGCATGATCTCAATGGATTGTCTGGTCTAGAGTCGATTATATACTGACAGCCCTCATGTAGCTGGAATGTTGCTGAGTGTTCCATTAAAAAACAAGCAAATAAACAAAACTCTGTCATCGTCCCCATGGAAAGATTGTCTTTCATCTCGATGAAGGGCACTTTTTCCTATATTTGAAGTATGCTATGTTTTACTGGTTTATTCAGACAAGGACAATTCGGATAGTAGTGAAGATGAAAATGAAGATGATGATGAAGCCGAAGAAAATCTTGCAGTCAGCTCTCCGGTACAGAAACAGCAGAACAAAGGGCGGAAGAGAAAGATGCAAAGCCTAGATGAAAATGATTTAGACTCGAAAAGGTCAAAGCCAAGGTCAAACTGGAAAGGTGAAGGTTATTAATGCTTGAGCAGACTCCAAATGTTCCAAATATAACTGTTGTATTACAGATATGTATGTTTTAACTTGTTTAATAGTACATGGTACCCAATGTAAATCAGTCGTCTAAGGCGCCAGAATTTGCTGATCAGAGTTGCATCCCTAAATAATCCCAGAAACCTATGATCGTGAGTTCGAATCCAGGAATCGCCCTGATTTTGTTTCTAGGTTTATCCGCACCATACCCGTGTTCGTGGGTTTCACCAAAGTGGTAAACCTCTTATGCCAGCATCGCTTCTCATTTTCCTCCCACATCAAGCTGACACCTCAAATACTGATACAACACACATTTTTATTGTGTGGTTATCAATTTTTCATATTGAACAAAACTGTAAACACATAAGATTTGTTTGATCAAAGGTAACCATCAATCGATAAACTCAAGCGCTGCTATACCCAAAAATAGCATCATGAGTTGTACCCACAAGAGCTTTATCAATAAATCATGGTGCTGATCATGATTGTGATAACATGGTGTGGAGAAAGGAAACCCATTGTAACGTACTTAAGTCACATGTTACTTGGGTATCGCTCGATGGCTTCCATTAATTTCGGTGGAAACATAGAGTATAATGTATGTTGTAAGATGATGTGTATCTGGGGTGTAGTGCTCACACCATATGTCATTGTTTTCTGTATATCACTACAGCAGAAAGTGGGTCAACACCTAAAAGGCAGAGGCAGAAAAGTGGCAGCCAGGCTCCACATACATCTTCCAAGTCTCCCGCTTCAAATGCTGTGAAGGGAAAGAAGAAGAAGGTGAAGAAGAAAGACATATATGCATCTTCTTCAGAGGAAGTTATACCTCCTCCAATAAAGCGAGGCTTCCAGTACACTGATGTGAGTGCGATTCTGTTTCAGTAACTGGGATGACATTGGTCACCAGATGACAAATTCCAGATCGGGTAAAGCCATTAGTAAACAGTCACATTGTTATTTAGACTTTCAGTGGCGACGATTTGGTAAATCTGGACCTTAATCTGACAGTTAATATGTTGATGCGTTTGTCTTTTGAATCGTATTATAAGATAATGTTATTTAAGTCGATATGTTTACCTTTAAATCATTTACAATATAGTGAAGACAACTAACTTCCTCATAAGTATGTTTCCATGTTAGGTGCAAGAATAATATACACTCCTGGGCAAAAGAAAGTTTATACCCATGTTTGATTGAAGCTAAAAATGAAACAAACATGAAATGGTTATTCGATGTTGATGTATTTGATACTGGTATTAGAGTTGTTTTGGACCTTAAGTTTGCAGTGTTTCGGTGACTGTTTTCAGCCTTGTAACGCTTTGATAACGTTTGTATTTGTTTGGTCAGCTCCAATATTCAAGTGCATACTTTCTTAAGATAGTTCCTGGTATTTGAGGACAAGACTTACTTTCCTTATACACATGATATTAATTGGGGATATTCTGGCTGAATATGGCCAAATAGATGATCACTTTTCATAGTTTCTACCATACAGCAATCTTTCCCTATTCAGGCATGTTTCAAGGTTTTCAACACTGTGTACAATCACGAGGGAAGTGACCCCTTCTGCAAGGAGATCAAATCTAAAGATGTCCCTGACTACTACAAGGTGGTCAAGCGTGCCATGTGGCTAGATCTCATTGCCCACAAGTTGAGGTCAAGTAGGTACGAGCGTCTTGAAGACTATGTGGCCGACATGAGGCTCGTCTTCATGAATAGCCATCGCTTTAATAAGGTGAGTGCCCCAAGCTTCCTTACCTTCGATACAAGAATCATTCGTGACCACTCGCCCTTTACTGTATTTGTGTTCTTTGTCCATCTTTTTCTAAATTATTTATTTACAGATGTTTCCCAAAACCATTGAATAGGTGGTCGAAATTTCAGGGTTTATTTGTTTTTTAACTAAGTAAACCCTCACAGCGGGATAAAAAAAAAATTATTTTAACATTTTCATGATTTGGAGTCGGCGAATACTTAGTACGTGATACAGGTGATTTTTTATTTTAAAAATTAAGCCTGATTTTAAAAAATTGCATTTTTATTTTAAAACGTTTGTATGGAACCAAGTTGAAGGCTACCTTACTGAGCTGAGGTAACATTCGTCACCGATCGCCCTTTTCCTAAACCTGCACGAAGATACATGATGTGGTCACGAATGAAAGTAATCCTTCTTGATGGGCACGAGTCGCCATTCGGTCTGTCCAGGAATGACACGAGTTTGTTACGAATGACTGAGGTTCATGCCAGGAACACGTCATACATACCCTATCAAATATGTATTCAGAAACATGTGCATATGTACCTGAGTCACGAGGTGAAGTTTACCTGTTCGGTAGGATGGTATTCTAATTGTCAGAAACAACTGCAGCAATGCTCTTTTTATTGTGACACCAGTTGTAGTCAAACATCCATGATCCAATATGGCCGCCGCGGCAGCCATGTTACATTTCGCAAAATGGACTTCTCCGAAACAAAGTCTATGAAGCGGAAACATTTTGCTGCCATTCCCAAGAAAACATTATCGAGACAAATTGTTCTGACGCATTTGTTTTTCACTACATCAAATTAATTTACGAAGGCTTGAATAGTAAGCGCGGTGCTTACATGATCACTTTCGTTTTGATATGGTCCAGGCCGTTGATTTCATTTAGAGCTTTCAATGTTCCTAAACTTTCCTGTCGGAAATGTGTTTTAATTGTATATTTTACAAGTTACGGTGATATTGTTCACCATGTTTATTTTCTGTTTTATCACCAGGAAAACACAGAAGTCTATGAGTCCGGTATCACATGTGAGAAACTGTTTGAGAAGAAATTAGCGGAACAGTTCCCGGACAAACAGCTCTAAGTATGTACAAATACCGTCTTCCGCCTAATAATCGACCCTGTCCAAAGTGCAACCATATGTCTATACTTGGGTTGAAGAGATACCCAGTGTCCAAGTACCTAGTACTAGAAAAACATCACCTTCCAACCTTATACTAGCGAATTTATATGTGCAATTATTTGCCTCATCCCCAAATTTACAGCTTTCTAGAAATCATACTGTGATAATAAGGGCGTTCACATTGTGGGTTCTGTGGGATGAACTTGTGAAACCAGTCGCTCGTCACGATGAAGACCCGGGTTCGATTCCCGCATGGGTACAATAAGTGAGGCCCATTCTTGTTTTTTGTCGAAAAGTAACCCACTTTTCTCATATATGTGAGTCATTTTGTTTCAGGAGTGGAACGGTTACTGTCCCGGGTACGTATCGGTCAAGCAATGGCATAACCAAGACTTCACTTGTAATGGTCAAGCTTGGCCATAAGGAAGATATGCAATGGTCAGGTTGGACATAAGGTAGACACGACGCTTTAGAATGGGACGACCAAGCATGGCAAGAAGAGCCAGGAGTCAGATGAACGCGTGTGTTATTGTACATCCTGCAATAATCTCATTCTTGAAGCTGCAACTGTTAAAAGGACTCATTTTGAGAAGTCTTCGTTTATGGCTGTAAAATACATGAGAGGCAATTATTCACCGAATCGTTTTTAGATCAACTGATAGCGATTTGCAGATATCAAAATGCAAGATAGGAGTGTATATGTACATAATAGACTGGAAGTATGGTTTCTTCACGAGTTGGACACTTGTGATATCAACATATCTCAAAATATTAATACTAAAATGATTATTTCAAAGAAGAGTATCACCTGAAATTGTATGAAAGAGTTTGAATTTTTATCAGTTAATTCTTTTTATCGCATCGGCAATATACCAGCATTATGACGATGGACTTTAAAAAAACGACCCACGGTTAATAATACAGATTCAGTGAAGTCTAAAATGTTTTCTTTTGATTTTAATATTATTGTTATTAGATCAGTTTTTAATTATGCTTTAGTGGTTAAAATGCAAGTAAGTAAATTGATTTGTTGTCTCTGCTGTTTGTGTGTCTACGATAACAATTTACCGGTTTGTCAATTTTAAAGGAAATTAATATAACGCAACATCAAACGATACTTTCGTGTTATATCCAATCATTGACAATGACTACAGCACACCAAGGCATACCGATTTAGTTCAGATTTCCATAAACCATATGGAATATTGTTCTGCAGTCGGATTTTAAGGTCTTTCTGAGAGCAAAACAATGGGTTTTTCATGTGAAAGGAGTAGTCATTCGTATTATCCACATGCCCGACTTTTGTGTTCACCCATGGATGTATTCAAGACACAAAGGGACAAGGTATGATTTTGAAGTGATTACAATGTTATATTCTTAACTGATCCTTGAAGTTAACCGAATAAGTCAAAGATAGATACGCCAATGGTGTTTGTCATTATGCTTCAATCAACTGGCTATCGATATTGTTTTGCATTTTGTATTTATGAATAAAGTATTCATGTTTCGTTGCTTGTTTATTTGTTTATGGTTGCAGCAAAAATCGTTTCAACATAACTGTCACAACATTTAAATCTAATGTAAGTAACTCTGATATTACAATGGTTGGGGTAGTTACTACCTGGTCGTTCTGAATTTAAGTTCAAGTGCAACAATTAGCATCGTCAGTGCTTCACGGTCTTACACGCACGCACGCACGCACGCACGCACGCACGCACACATAAAACAGCTAATATGAAAACACCCATTTAATGGGTGAGTGAGTGAGTTGGGTTTAACGCCGCTTTTAACAGTATTCCAGTTATATCGCGGCGTGTCAGCTTAATGTGGGAGGAAAGCCCGAAGTGATGCAGGTCTCAGACGTTCATCACTTCGGTGAAACCCACGAGAACGGGTATGGTGCTGACAAACCTAGAAACATAATCGGGGCGAACCGGGATTCGAACCCACAATCATAGGTTTCTGGCGTGTCCAAGGGACGCAACTCTGCACAGCGAATCGCGACGCCTTAGACGACTGGGCCATCCGTGTCCTCCCGACACCCCCCCCCCCCCCCCCCCCCCCCCCCCCCCCCCCCCCCCAGGAGATCAGGTAAAGGTTTAGAAATGTCACAGTTATAACAGGACCCAGCTCCAACGAAGTGTGATGACAGCAGTCTATCGCCTTGTGGTTGTAATATGAGGAATGCAGTCACGCGCAAAAGCTGTACGCGCATTGACCCGTCAAAGCTGTATTGGCTCGCTCAAATCCCGTATTGGTAAGCCGGTGTTTCTAAACGATGAGGGCTGATTTGACCGTATGGCGGACAGTCAATCAATAGTATTAGGTTATTATATAATGAATATTCACTCTGCTCATTACTCTGTCTTGTCGTAAGAGGCGACTAACGGGATCAGGTGGTCAGGCTCGCTGACTTGGTTGATGCATGTCATCGATCCCAATTGCGTGGATCGATACTAATGATATTAATGACTGGATTGTCTGGTCCAGACTCGATCATTTACAGACCGCCGTCATATAGCTGGAATATTGCTGAGTGCGGCGTTAAACAAACCAATCATTACTCTGTACTGTGAGGTGGCACGGGTGGCCCAGTCGTCTAAGGCGCCGCGATTCGCTGTGCAGAGTTGCGTCCCTTGGGCACACCAGAAATTGGGTTCGAATCCCGATTCGCCCCGATTATGTTTCTAGGTTTGTCAGCACCATCCCCGTGCTCGTGGATTTCACCGAAGTGGTAAACGTCTGAGACCTGCATCACTTCGGGCTTTCCTCCCACATTAAGCTAGCTGACACGCCGTGATATAACTGGAATACTGTTAAAAACGGCGTTTTACCAAACTCACCCACTCACCCTGAACTGTGAAATTGCGACTTGAGACGCCATATGTCCTACACTAACACTAGTATTACATTTCTAGCTATAATTCCTTATGTGCCGAAAGGACGTATTGTCTGCAGAACCTCGAAGTATTGATGAATATTTGGCTGTAGGTATCTACAAAAACGCATTTCAATGAAAAATCGTTAACTCGAAGTACTCAAGGCCATGAACATGCTGAAAATCCGTAATCGAGACAAGCGGAGTGGTTTTAGAAAATCGTGTCGATATGAAGGTTGCCAGGAACATAGAGGAAAAACCCTTGACTGTTCAGTTACATATTGTGCAAGTAGTGGTGTTTGAACGACTGCTGTGTGAACAGAGGCATATTTCGAACGAAGTCACTTGTCCAAGGAGACATCACATGTGCTTCTGTGTGGGGCAGGACCGAAGACCTCGATAAGCCCTGGGCCCACTTGCACAAAGCGATCTTAGCGCTAAGATGATCGTAACTCCCATACTTTAACATAGGCTTACAATAGTTGTAGCGCTAAGATCGCTTTGTGCAAGTGGGCCCAGGAGTCAAGCTGCCGAACACGGTCACCCATCCATCTCCTCTTGTGACCAACGTCACGTGCCACCACAATTGAATTCGTGGAACTCAATGATATATCGAGTGAAACACGTGTAAGTGAGGCTTCCCTGTATACAACAGATCGACAGAGAAGAGGTGGTCGTATGCTAATTTTGGTAAATACTAGATTCTGATTGGTCAGTCAAGGGTTTCAAATGACAAAAGCACCTAATTTGAAGAACACGCCAACGCGACATTTAATATTTATATTTATAGAAAAGTTGTTCTTTCTCAATAATTGTCACTGGGCGTTTAAATAAAGACATGAACAATTAAAGATTTCAAATGCTGAGTTCCGTGGCAATGCATTTTGAGGAAGAATTGCTATTGAAAACTATGAGATTTAATTACAGGTAATTTTATCAAAGTAATACAAAGGAAAGTTTTAGTTGGGGTGACCTGGTACCTTATAAATGTCCTTGTAGTATACCGTCACGAATTCTGAAGGGAACAACTGAATGAACTGCCAGTGTTTGACAGTGCAACATTTTTAGATCTGTGTCCGGTTTAGCAGTTATCCGATTTCAGATTTTAGAAAGGTGTCCCGGTTAACCAGCCAATACGAAAACACATAGACAGCGAAGAGTCTCTATGAACGAGTGGACCCGGAAGTTTACAATCCCCGCCAGATTGCGAAATGTGTTGACGTTCTTTGTGCCACTTTTTCGACTCAGTGATAATAGCTACTTATATCATCTTTCAAATGGGTGACGTCGGTCATGTTGTTTGACGAAATAAAGGTGTGAACCATTGATGGAAAAAAAGAATGGCCGATTTGGCCGCTCCCGTTAGCATCAAGAACAAATTGTTGTCATAAAAAACCGTAGTATTTCCTTAACGCACGACACTAATTCGTGTTATTGACTTATTATTTTAGCAGTTCTGATTGTAGTACATTTATAAAGAATATCTATAATGTACGCATACTGTTCGCGCTATCGATCAGTTGTATTGAACGTGAATTAAATTATGAATTTTTCACCATGCTCACTTCGGCACACTCCGGATCAATGTACTATTTATGTTTACAGTAATTACACTGGGGAAAAAATCAGCAAAATAGGAAATTACAATAATGTCGATGATATGACATTGAAATTGAATTTGCTTTCTCCACTAAAATATTTGTCAAACTTGCAATGTTAGTAGTTTCAACGAAGAGAACGATAAACTCATTACTCATCAATATATTTATCACAATTTTAGAAAGTGCTGAGAAGACATTTTTTTATTTATAGAACACATGCCAGTATATGCCAGCTACAACTAGATCAGACTAGATTTAGCAATATATACTGACAACCAACACTATTCCCTCATTCATGTTCTATACTCTGTGCATGTATAGGAATCTCACACAACCAACTGTGAGTAAATTCTGTCACTCACTTTAAACTGGATTATGCTACTTTGTATAATGATAAATATTTTGAATAGATGTGCTTAATAAACTTAATAACAATGGATCAAGTTCTGACGTTTTGAGGTATTATCATGAGGTATTGTGCTTCGCAATACAATGTGCCATGTTATGAGGATTGTATCATTAGGTGAGATTGTATTGATACAATAGGATAATGTATCTACAAAAGGGTAATGTATCCATACAAAAGGATAATGTAAATATACAAAAGCATAATTTGTCTATACGAAAGGAAACAACTATGGTTAATTTAATACTTAACTATTAAGAAAATGAATTGTCAGAAACTAATTCTTGACAATATTATTTACAATCATTGTTTGTTTGTTCTCTTTGTGTTCTTTTGATGATGGAATAGAGAATGACCATGATGACAGTTGAAGATATTTTAGGTATGTCATGAAACTAATTATGATATATTTATATTTCTTGTAAAAAATTTGGTACAATGGATAATTTTTCAGTGTCAATTCTATACATTTCTGCGTAGTGGGCACGCATCTCTGTGTCGCGTAAAGCCATGCATATGATTCAAATAATATGTATAATAGAAACCAACCTATGAAATGAACACGATGTATATGTATAAATTAATACAGTAAGCAATATTCCACAATCAGTTTGTTATTTCTAAAGTGTTCTAATCGTATGAACCATATAATTAATAACCATTATGCTGGGATTAGACGTTTTCAGATAAATTTGCTGTGTACAGCTTACATTTATTCCCTGCATGTAAATGATATGAACATAATGAAGAAGAATTTCTAACCAGAGAAATTGAGACACCCACTTATATTTCAAGTTGTGTGGCGCTGTGGAAATAATGTGGTAGTTGTGAACTTCTAGCAAGACTTTTATCAGTGTTTGAAAATACAGCTGCTCAAGAGGTGATCTATTTATGATGAGAAACTAATACATTTTCTATAACCATTTACCATTCCTATTCTTTGGGAAATCGGGGGCAGAATAGACAGGCAACTCTGACAGCTGAAATATTGCTGACTGAGGCATAAAACAACATCACTCACTTTGCTGAAGAGTCACTAGTCATTTACTGATAAGATGACATGAGTAGATAATATACAATCTTCTATAATATGGCATTTGGACTTCTTACTAGATGAGGGTCGCTGGGGTAGCCTAGTGCTTAAAGTGTTCGCCTGTCACACCAAAGACACAGGTTCGATTCCCGACATGGGTATAATGTGTGAAGCCTATTTCTGTTGTTCCCTGCTGTGATTGTGCTGGAATATGGGTAAAAGTGTCGTAACACCGTACTCACTCACTCTTACGGGACAAGGGGGCACGGGTGGCCCAGTCATCTAAGACGCCGCAATTCGCTGTGCAGAGTTGCTGGAATATTGCTGTGATTGTGCTTGAATATGGGTAAAAGTGTCGTAACACCGTACTCACTCACTCTTACAGGACAAGGGGGCACGGGCGGCCCAGTCGTCTGAGACGCTGCAATTCGCTGTGCAGAGTTGCAGGAATATTGCTGTGATTGTGCTTGAATATGGGTAAAAGTGTCGTAACACCGTACTCACTCACTCTTACAGGACAAGGGGGCACGGGCGGCCCAGTCGTCTGAGACACTGCAATTCGCTGTGCAGAGTTGCGTCCCTTGGGCACGCCAAAAACCTATGATTGTGGGTTCGAATCCCGGTTCGCCCCGATTATGTTTCTAGGTTTGTCAGCACCATACCCGTGCTCGTGGGTATCACCGAAGTGGTAAACGTCTAAGACCTGCATCACTTGGGGATTTCCTCCCACATTAAGCTGACATGCTGTGATATGACTGGAATACTGTTAAAAGCGGCGTTAAACCCAACTCACTCACTCTTACTGAACGAAAAATAAAGGGAAATGGTTAAGTCTTTTTACAGCAGACTTTTGGTAATTTCAGACCAGAAGTTTGATCATTTTTCCACAGACTTCGTCTGGGACTGATTATAAACTTGGGCATAAAACAACAATACCCAGTATGCTGAAGAGTCACTGGTCATTTACTGATTCAGGTAGATAATATACATATGGCATTTGGACTTGTTACAGGACGAAAGGGATTGTATGCATAATGCCACGGAAAACAGAGAGAGGAATTCTGGGATACAAAAAAGACCCCAAAAAACAAGTCCTGTTTTCCTTCAACCCTCGAGATGGAGATGAGTGTCCCACAAGTGACTCAGAGGACTCGGATTATCTCCCTTCTGATGAAGAGCGACCATCTTCATCCAATAGGTACTGGTCTGATATAACTTGTTTTAGACTGATGGTAAATGGTGGGGTACCTCGTGGTTAAAGCATTGCCTCGTCACGCAGATGTTCCTCTCCTCACATCAGTACAACTTTTCTCTCTCTCTTTCATCCTATAGAAATGGAAAATGAATTGACTCATTGAATAACATTTTGCAAAACAAAAAGTGACACCCAACTCAAAAGAAAATGTCATGTTTGGGTATTGCTGTTCAAAAGACTGTGCTGTGAGCAGGTCTTGATGACGAGTTAGTACCAACTTCATAACTAAATAAACAACAAACATCGAACGAAGCCATAACCCAAGTTCAGTAAATTGATAATTATTATCAAAAGAGTTTTACTCAAAAGTCATCTTTGAGAGAAATTACAAACCATTGAGTACCAGCACTCTCATTTTTGTCACTCTTAAGAGTGTGTGAGTTAATATCTAACGTCACATCGGCAATATTTCAGCCACATCGTGACGATCTTAAGATAATTAGCGCTGTGTGGTATAGATAGTACAAGATGCTATGCCCATATTTGGTGTCCCAGGATGATTGATTGGTTTGTTTTGCAGAGTATAGTGAAGTTTCAATGAAACATTTTGTTATTTTGTTAATTGTTATCTACACGATGGATACAGAGAATGAAACTCTAAATGTGAGATCTATACTGTAATGCTATTTCTTGATCAATCATTGTCATTCATTGATTGCTGACCAATCTTAAATTTTTCACAAAATCCCATCACTAATCCTATAGGTGTGGTAAGGTTTGTTTTGTATTATTTGTTGTTCAAAGCAACACTGTGCAAATTCCATCTGTATGACGACAGCCTTTAAATGAACAAATCTGGGCCAGACAAACCAGTGATTGGCATCAAGAGCATTGTCCTATGCCATTGAGTTAGATTATCATGCAATCAATCAAGTAACTGAGTAAGACTTACCAATTAATTCATATGAGTTATCTCTCACAGCAAGCTAAGGTTACTGGTTAGAATTGGTCTTTAGCCACCCATGCTTGCCGTAAAAGGCAACTATGCTTGTCTTAAGAGGCGACTAACAGGATCGGGTGGTCAGGCTCGCTGACTTGATTGATGCATGTCATCATATACCATTTGCGAGGATCGATGTTCATGATGTCAATCACGAGATTGGCTGGTCCAGACTTGAATATTTACAGACTGCCATCATATAGCTGGATTATTGCTGAGTGCTGCGTTAATCAACAAACAAAAAAACTCGGGACATAGTCTATGCCAGAAGCACCACAGGAATCAGGGTGTGTATCATCAACTACACTTCAGTCGGGTCCAGCTTGATTATTTACAGCTGTAATAGTGTTGTCTGTGGCACAAAACAACATTCACTCATCCATCAACTAGTCACTCTAAAAATAGTATTACTGTTTCAGTAAGAATATTACTAGAAAGCAAGCATCAAGAAATAACCATGGTAACAAGACAGGAAAAAGGAAGTCACATGACCAGTCTGACACACGGGCCAAGAAGGTAGCAAGACTTTCACAAAATGAAGCATCTCTCGTGTTGACATCTGACTTCCAGGGCCGTCTGCCACCAGAAGTGTGGCTGAAGATATTCAAGATGGTGGTGTACAGTGATGGAGCTCTGCCTTTCCTTTGTCGGTAGGTGATGGTGGAACCCACCTTCTTCTTGCTTCTTGGAATTATGTTTACGGGGATGTGATTAGTTAATATTTTTTCATGACAATTTATCCCTTTTGTATTTTATCAGTTTTCAAATTTGTTGGCCAAAAATTCAGTGTAAGTGGTAAGACGGAAAGCTTTCAATTTAACATTTCACTTTTCACAATTGATGAAGTAAAACAAACACGTGTATCACATCTGTCCAGAGAGCAGGTCAGTGGTTTGATCCCCAGCCATGTCATAACATAAGATGGTTCTTGTTGTTACCCTGCCTATTGCCCATCATTTAGGGGATAAAACAAGAACTGGTGGATGCGGAGTCGGTATACTGTGTCTGAGTAGGGTATTCATGATAAACTTTGGCATGGTATCTCAGTGGGCTAGCACTATAAAACCAGCATTAGTCCGGGCTAGTACAAGCGGTCACACATTCATACAAGGTAAAAGATCGCTTTGACAATAGAAATAAATTCTGGGTTTACAACAACACTTTCAACCAATGACATCACACTCCCGCTTTTACATGTTGTCAGAGCAGCAAAAGTGTGTTGCATGTGGCGGGAGCTTGCAGAGAACCCGTTGCTATGGGATACAGTGGACCTATCATATGGCTGGATCAAGTCACAAGACCAGACTCTGATATATCTAGCCAATCAACGTCTGAGTCAGTGCCAGACATTGTCCTTGTCGATGTGGAAGAACCTCACAAATCAGGCTGTCAAGGTAATCCTTGTGAATCAAACTGTAATACACCAGTTTCATTCTGTCTTTGGTATTATAGACTACCGTATTCGCTGAACTAAGCGCCTGCTCCAATAAGTGATCCCTTATCAATTTGTAAGTGTAGTCTTTCTATGCGCCCTCTACTAAGACCGAACATTTAGAAAACAGTCTGGATTTCATTGTGTATATTGCATTTATCATCCAAAACTGGCTCGCACAGTAGATATCGCTTGGGTGAGATCAAGCGATATCTACACTGTATATATCGCTGCAATGAAATTACATCACAATTCATTGCAGACCATTGTGACGTCACTGGTTACCATGACGTCACAATCAAATGACATCACTAATGGCTCTGCTGCAGAAGCTGTTTGCAGTACTTTTTACACTGAAGACACTGCTTATTACTGTCTACAAACTGAAAAAGTGGGAAGAATGATGTTGGATGATAAATAGCAATGCCGCCAATGCTGGTTTTCGGCAAGCCTAGGAGTTTTTCCACTTTTATCAACTCTTGTTGTTATATTTGATATCAAAAGGCACTTGGGTGAGAATCTCTATATATTACACAGCAGCACAGAAGGGGTATATAATTGCAAAGTAACTAGTATTAAAAAAAAGTTTTACTTTCATTGACTTTTGAACTTAATTTTTTCATTACCGGCCGATCTCTGACAACAAATTTAACATATTGTGTATGGTTTTATTGTGTATTGTGGAACTTTTGATCAACCTTTTTCACTGTGAATATACCCTTTGAGCATTCAGCATTCTGCACAGATTAGTGAGTGAGTGGTTTAGTTCAACGCTGCTTTGAACAGTATTCTAGTTATATCAATGCCTGTCAGCTTAATTTGGAAACCAGCATGTTGAAATCATGATAGAAGTTGACTATTATTTTTTTTTCAGGTGCTGTCAGAAAAGTGTCCTCTCTTGAAGAGCATTAACTTGTCATATTGCAAGAAATTGACATCAGAGGGTATTACCGCTCTTGTCAACAACTGTTGTGATATTGAAGATATGGACCTGTCGTTTACATCAGTAAGTGTCATTTCTGCACAGGGGTCAGTTCCCATTGCTATTCTACGTTAGAATATGTCCTCAGTAGCCAATGATTGTTGAAAGAGTCGACTGAATGGATTAGGTGGTCAGACTTGATGACTTTGTTCATTGTGTGTCATCGTCCTAAAAAATCTGAGATGTTGCTCATCATATCAACCACTGGTTTGATGGTCCATGTTGTACATGTCACTTGCTATAACAAAATAAAGTGCTCATGTTAAAAATTTCTAAATGGCCGCCGCTGCTGATTTGGTGACAAATACAGCCTTTACCCTTCCTCTCTGAAACCATCAGACATTGTTTTCACTTGATGCTCATAACAGCCTTCTTTACAATGATGTAAGGTTTTAATTTTGAAAAATTCACAAATGTTGTTATGTACTTGTTATTGTACTCTGGTTTACGTCATTATAGGGAAGGATCATCCATAAAACAAAAACACAACTTGGTGTGGCATAAATAAATATTTGAACTTTATACTTTCAGAATGATGCTGTGTCTGTGTCGTGTCTGAAGAACTTGGTTCAGAAACTTGGCGGCAATCTACGTCACCTGACAATAGGCGGCAACACATTGAAGGGATTCCCTACATTCTTGACAACACTCATGGTACAGTATTCAATTCTATGACTTGGCCACTAGTCCCATGCCCTCGTCAGGATTCTGGGTTAGAATAGGCCCCCAGCAACCTGTGCTCGTCTACACGATGGGGATTCTGGGTTAGAATAGGCCCCTAGCAACCTATGCTGGTCTACACGATGGGGATTCTGGGTTAGAAAAGGCCCCCAGCAATCTATGCTGGTCTTACACTATGGGGATTCTGGGTTAGAGTAGGCCCCTAGCAACCTGTGCTCGTCTACACTATGGGGATTCTGGGTTAGAATAGGCCCCCAGCAACCTGTGCTCGTCTACACTATGGGGATTCTGGGTTAGAATAGGACCCCAGCAACCTGTGCTCGTCTACACGATGGGGATTGCAGTTTAGAATAGGCCCCCAGCAATCTATGCTGGTCTACACGATGGGGTTCTGGGTTAGAATAGGCCCCCAGCAATCTATGCTGGTCTACACGATGGGGATTCTTGGTTAGAATAGGCCCCCAGCAACCTATGCTGGTCTTACACTATGGGGATTCTGGGTTAGAAAAGGCCCCTAGCAACCTATGCTGGTCTACACGATGGGGGTTCTGGGTTAGAAAAGGCCCCTAGCAACCTATGCTGGTCTACACGATGGGGGTTCTGGGTTAGAATAGACCCCCAGCAATCTATGCTGGTCTACACTATGGGGATTCTGGGTTAGAATAGGCCCCAAGCAACCTATGCAGGTCTACACGATGGGGATTCTGGGTTAGAATAGGCCCCCAGCAATCTATGCTGGTCTACACGATGGGGATTCTGGGTGAGAATAGGCCCCTAGCAACCTATGCTGGTCTACACGATGGGGATTCTGGGTTAGAATAGGCCCCCAGCAATCTATGCTGGTCTACACGATGGGGTTCTGGGTTAGAATAGGCCCCCAGCAACCTATGCTGGTCTTACACTATGGGGATTCTGGGTTAGAATAGGCCCCCAGCAACCTATGCTGGTCTTACACGATGGGGATTCCGGGTTAAAATAGGCCCCCAGCAACCTATGCTGGTCTTACACGATGGGGATTCTGGGTTAGAATAGGCCCCCAGCAACCAATGCTGATCTTACATGATGGGGATTCCGGGTTAGAATAGGCCCCCAGCAACCTATGCTGGTCTACACGATGGGGATTCTGGGTTAGAATAGGCCCCCAGCAACCAATGCTGATCTTACATGATGGGGATTCTGGGTTAGAATAGGCCCCCAGCAACCTATGCTGGTCTTACACGATGGGGATTCTGGGTTAGAATAGGCCCCCAGCAACCAATGCTGATCTTACATGATGGGGATTTCGGGTTAGAATAGCCCCCAGCAACCAATGCTAGTCATGTAGGGTGACCAAATGGATCAGATGGTCACGCTCCGTGACTTGATTGATTGAGTGTCAATGGCATGGATCATTGCTCATTGGATTCAAGAGAGGATCAAGATGATGTGCTGGCTTGTGATGACCTAGCCAACTATTATGATAATGCTACAAGCGAAAGCTGCGTGACACAGAGTTTGATAGATTCACCTCTGAGGTGATACATTTTGGTGATACATTTACGACTGTACAGCTAAACAAGCTAAAGGAAAGAATGCATACTCTGGGGGTCAGGTAATGCTTACCAGTCAAAGGTATGCGGTATCTCTACCGGGCACGGAGACAAGGACAGTATTGCCAGGGATGTTTCTCATTACTTAAGGATTTATCTGAAGCCCCTTGACACCCACCTGTTTTGTTATGCCTATGATGTTACATAGACAATGTGGTATTAGTAAGCGAATAATCAACCCATTTGTGTCACTCCACAGAATTCCTGCCCTAGCCTGGAGACCCTGGATGTATCTAATGCAGTGTTCTCTGCAGACTTTGTGTCCCTCAACATTGAGGCATTTCAAGCTCACTGTTCAAAGTTACGAGTTCTCCGGCTCACGAATTCCAAGTTTCGAGCTTCATATGTCTCCCAGAGACTCAAGGTGGGTACAGAAACCTCGGTAGTCTGAATCCTGTTAATCCAGAAACCCCATCCCTTGTTTATGCAGATGTTAATCCAGACTATTCACTATAAATAGGGTGCACGGGTGGTCCAGTCGTCTGAGGCGCCGTGATTCGCTGGCAGAGTTGCGTCCCTTGGGGATGCCAGAAACATATGATTGTGGGTTTCGAATCCTGGTTCGCCCCAATTATGTTACTAGGTTTGTCAGCACCATACACGATCTCGTGGGTTTCACCGAAGTGGTACAGTTCTGTGAACTGCATCCCTTCCAGCTTTCCTCCCAAATTAAGCTGACACGCTGGGATATAACTGGAATACTGTTAAAAGCGGCGTTAAGCCCCACTCACTCACTCACTCACTCACTCACTCACTCACTCACTCACTCACTCACTCACTCACTCACTCACTCACTCACTCACTCACTCACTCACTCACTCACTCACTCACTCACTCACTCACTCACTCACTCACTCACTCACTCACTCACTCACTATAAATAAATTGCAAGTGATTCCATGGCATTTGATTGGCTAACAAAGCAATTTCTTTTGTGTTTGTGTGTCCATAATCCAAAACATTAGGCCATGTCCTTTAGTGATATGCCTTTAGCGACATGCCCTTTAGCGACAGGCCCTTTAGCGACATGCCTTTTGCGACAGGCCTTTAGCGAATGAGCTGAACTTGTGTTGAATTATTGCGTCAAACGATATCATTGATTCATGTTGTAACTACAGTTTTTTTTGTGTAATGATTCAGTAAGCTGTTTGAAATTATTGTTTACATATTTATTTATGAGAGTTTTAAGTGAATGCTGCTGCTGCTGTTTTTATGATTAAATTTCAATGTACTGAGTATATATGGTGGTTGGGTTTCTATTTATTGTCTTATGGGGTTTAACGTTGTGTGCAAGTGTATTGCACTTATATAATGATGTGCATGCACGTTTGTGCCTGTTTGTACTAGTCCGGGCTGATGCCGATTTATAGTGCTAGCCCACTGAGATACCATGCCACAATCTAACATGAATACCCCACTCAGACACAGTATACTGACTCCGACTAGACCAGTCCTTGTCCCTTAATGCCGAGCGCCAGACAGGGTAACAACAAGTACCATCTTTTAACATCTTTTAGTATGACGCAGCTGGTGATCGAACCCCTGACCTTCCGCTCTCCGGGCGGACGCTCTACCATCAGACCACGGAGGCGGTGGATATGTGTATTGTATCACTACCAGATGTAACTTCAGGCCCAGTCATAGTCCTGCTCCATGACTGTGGAATGAAGCCCAAACCATGTAGATTATGAGAAAGCAAGTCCAGCCAGCTTTCTGAAATGAGGACAAACATAATATTTTTAAGAGAAGAAAAATGAATTGTGTCACAAATGATTTTATTGACTATATGTTAGTCTACTCCAGTCGAATTGTTGTTGAATGTTGTTGACTGTTGCTTTGCAGGCAGAGTCCCCTGGGTTTCCACAGTTGGAGCAAGTGAGTCTGGCCGTCAGCACGTCGGGGCTCAACTCATCGCTAGGGTTTGATGACGACTTCCTGTCCAGGTGAGCATCGAGATGAATAATGGGTTACAGCCTAAGGCAGGGGAGAAAATTAGAATGGTGTTTTGAGTGACAAGAACAGCCATACTTGTATTTGATCATGGCAGAAGTCCAAAACTTTTTGTTTTTGGTAGGAGCCATCACCATATCTGTGGGTTGTACTAAAGTGGTGAACATCTAAGACCTGCATCACTTCAGGCTTTCCATTCACATTATACTGGTATGCCGTGATGCAGTAAATATATACTGTTTAAAGTGATATTCAATACTGCTAAAGATCAGAATTAAACCCAATGACCCACAGCTTCAGTTATCTCTTGGGTACAAGATTCCTAGCCCATGTTTGGCATCCCCTGTCTGGAATATTGCTGACAGCATGGTATGGTACTCATTCACTCTCCTATGCCTGGCCAGGTTGCTGAAGTCATCGGTGGAGTTGCGACTGCTGGACCTGCGAGGCTGCACCAACCTGTCCACGACGTCACTGCAACATCTTCCCGTCACACATCTCGTGCAGCTCCATCTGTCACAGAGCTCCGTCACCAAATATGCTGACCTTGACATGGTCTTTAGGAAGGTGAGACTTTGCTATCAGTTGTGGTAAACTTGTGAAGATTCCAAGACAGAATAGGTCCCCTGTGCACCATGCTTGTCTCTCATGCATATTCCAGGGCAGAATAGGTCCCCAGTACACTATGCATGTCTTTGAACTTTCTACAATATAGGTCTACAGTCTCCCTGTCGAGATTCCAAGGCAGAAAAGATCACCAATTCATGCATGTTACAAGAAAAAGGGCCCAACAAAGCTCTATATCTTTATTAATACTTTTACATAAGTTGTACCAGTATTGTATGGTACTCTGACCATCTTTACCTTCCAACACTGCGTAAATCTCTATTCCAGAAGGTGCCAAACCAGGTGTCAGTAAATATCCCAAAATTTGAATTACAGCTTTCCGAACTCATGCTGTATAGTCATAACTAATGTAATGGCTAAGTAGATGTGACTTTAATTTCACTCACCAATTTGAGCAACATAACAAACAAAAAGTTCCGTGGCAAGGGCACTTAATTTCGATAAATCCCTGGATTAAGAGAGGTAACTCACAGTCTAGTTTAGATGTAGACTTATTAATATGTTCTTACAGTATATGGTATTAACATGGCATGGTGATTATACGTATGATTTTCACCTATCAATATTATGAATAATCACGCAAATTGATGTCAAGTTTGATAGTTGTCATTGATGTATTGTCATCGACCCATCTTATCGGCCGTCAGTTAATCCTTATACCTCCATTGCTTCTCTGTTGTCCAGTGGAGGCACAGTCTGACCCATGTAGATCTATCATGGAACAGTTTCCCCGAGAACCTGGACAAGGGCGTGGCAGCCCTGGCAGAGGGGGACCAACCCTCGCCTCTAGAACACCTCAACATTGCCGGCACCTCGGTTGGAGTTACCCCTGTCAAGTAAGTAACAACAGTATCACAACACTTGGTTGCTGATTGTGCTAAAAAGATTCATGGATGCCCCAGTTCACAAATATTGTATCCTTTATCCTGTCGTACTCCTTGTGGTTAAAGTGTTTGCTCGTCACACCGAAGACCCGGGTTCGATTCCCGACATTGGTAAAATGTGAAGGCCCATTTCTGGTGTGCCCAGCCGTGATATTGCTGGAATATTGCTAAAAGCGCCGTTAAACCATATTCACTCACTCACTCATTCACTCATACTCCAGATAGACTGAATAAAATATCCAACATAACCATGATTCAATTTCTTTTGAGTTGCAGGAGTACAAAAGCTCATGCAATGTGAACTCTGTGCAAAAGTACCCAATGTAGCTTCTCAGCTTGCATACACTAGGGGTCAATTTAACTGTTGGCCCATTAAAATTACGAAAGACTTGCTGAAACATAAAGGAGATGGCCGTCTGGCTTGTCAGAATTTCACCCCTTCTCTGTATATTTTTAATTTTTTTAATTGGACACTGCTCATGAATCATGTAATTTCGATGAGAAAATATTTAAGCAGGATGAGTTCCTGTGAATGGTTAACTCAAAGATAATCTCGGTAGAATGATATAAAATCGCCATGAGGCAAATGGAAGCCAGGATTATATCTCAGAGTGCAGGAAAAGACGTTTTAGGGGTGAGGAGTTCTAAAATTGTCAGATCACTCTGGGTAACTCAGTCATGGCCTCCAACATTTAGTTTTGAGCCAGTTAGTCTGGAGAAGGGCCAGTTAGTCTGTAGAAGGGCCAGTTAGTTTGGAGAAGGGCCAGTTAGTCTGGAGAAGGGCCAGTTAGTCTGGAGAAGGGCCAGTTAGTCTGTAGGAGGGCCAGTTAGTCTGGAAAAGGGCCAGTTAGTCTGTAGAAGGGCCAGTTAGTTTGGAGAAGGGCCAGTTAGTCTGTAGAAGGGCCAGTTAGTCTGTAGGAGGGCCAATTAGTTTGGAGAAGGGCCAGTTAGTCTGTAGGAGGGCCAGTTAGTTTAGAGAAGGGCCAATTAGTTTGGAGAAGGGCCAGTTAGTCTGAGAAGGGCCAGTTAGTTTGGAGAAGGGCCAGTTAGTCTGTAGGAGGGCCAGTTAGTTTGGAGAAGGGCCAGTTAGTTTGGAGAAGGGCCAGTTAGTCTGTAGGAGGGCCAGTTAGTTTGGAGAAGGGCCAGTTAGTCTGTAGGAGGGCCAATTAGTTTGGAGAAGGGCCAGTTAGTCTGTAGGAGGGCCAGTTAGTTTAGAGAAGGGCCAATTAGTTTGGAGAAGGGCCAGTTAGTCTGAGAAGGGCCAGTTAGTTTGGAGAAGGGCCAGTTAGTTTGGAGAAGGGCCAGTTAGTCTGGAGAAGGGCCAGTTAGTCTGTAGAAGGGCCAGTTAGTTTGGAGAAGGGCCAGTTAGTCTGTAGAAGGGCCAGTTAGTCTGTAGGAGGGCCAATTAGTTTGGAGAAGGGCCAGTTAGTCTGTAGGAGGGCCAGTTAGTTTAGAGAAGGGCCAATTAGTTTGGAGAAGGGCCAGTTAGTCTGAGAAGGGCCAGTTAGTTTGGAGAAGGGCCAGTTAGTCTGTAGGAGGGCCAGTTAGTTTGGAGAAGGGCCAGTTAGTTTGGAGAAGGGCCAGTTAGTCTGTAGGAGGGCCAGTTAGTTTGGAGAAGGGCCAGTTAGTTTGGAGAAGGGCCAGTTAGTTTGGAGAAGGGCCAGTTAGTCTGTAGAAGGGCCAGTTAGTTTGGAAAAGGGCCAGTTAGTCTGTAGAAGGGCCAGTTAGTTTGGAGAAGGGCCAGTTAGTCTGTAGGAGGGCCAATTAGTTTGGAGAAGGGCCAGTTAGTCTGTAGGAGGGCCAGTTAGTTTAGAGAAGGGCCAATTAGTTTGGAGAAGGGCCAGTTAGTCTGAGAAGGGCCAGTTAGTTTGGAGAAGGGCCAGTTAGTTTGGAGAAGGGCCAGTTAGTCTGTAGGAGGGCCAGTTAGTTTGGAGAAGGGCCAGTTAGTCTGTAGGAGGGCCAGTTAGTTTGGAGAAGGGCCAGTTAGTTTGGAGAAGGGCCAGTTAGTCTGTAGGAGGGCCAGTTAGTTTGGAGAAGGGCCAGTTAGTCTGAGAAGGGCCAGTTAGTTTGGAGAAGGGCCAGTTAGTTTGGAGAAGGGTTAGTTAGTTTGGAGAAGGGCCAGTTAGTCTGTAGGAGGGCCAGTTAGTTTGGAGAAGGGCCAGTTAGCTTGGAGAAGGGCCAGTTAGTCTGGAGAAGGGCCAGTAACTTTTGAAAGGATTAAGCCCTGCTGGCTACATACAAATTTGTTGTTAAATCTACACAATACCGGGGTACATATTTTTAATATCTTTAGTTACTGATCAAATGACAGGTTTGTGTTAAAAATATAAAATTATTGTGTTTACTGGAAAAAAGTAGTATTGCTGTAAATAAACAATAAGGATTCACTGGTTGTTCTGAATGTATGTCGTGCATGTCTTGCAACCATGGCAACAGGGACAGAAATTCTTGTTCCAGGCACAGAAAAATATTCTGATCTCCTAAAATATCCCATCCCTCTCCCCCAAAACAGTCAATCCCTAATGAACTCTGTGTGTAATCTTTCGTCACATTGTGTGTTTTTTAACTCATTTATTTACTTCAGCTTTTTTTGTTAATTATTACTGATTCAGTATAGACATACTATTGTGCTGTTTTGATAGTCAAACTAATCGCGAGGTCGTGCATCATGCTTTTGCTGACACACTGTGATGTAACTGAAATACAGTTCTAATTAGAAATGTTATATTTGGGAAAACACTTTCTCAGTAAAGTACAGATTCTAGTACATTTTTGGTCTGAGTCCCATCTGGGATTCAAACCCATCCTGCCAGAGTGAGGCACCTAATCACCAGCACACACCTAATCACCAGCGATCTAATGAAAGTCCAACAACCGGTAGTCCAGATCACATACTTTGTGTACCCCTCTGACAAGTGTAAATTGGCACGGCTCCCATGGCTGAAAGTACTTGATCTAACTCCCTATTTTCAGACTGGTGCTGGAGTTGTGCCCCAAGCTGATCTTCATCAATCTGACGTCCTGCCGCTCTCTGCCCCGAGGGGTCAAGAGAGAGTTCAGCGGAAAGAACAAGATTGATAAGCTGAAGAAAGAGTTTGAAGATGTTTCCGACTCCGAGCTAGACAGTTTATCAGACTAGAACTTTTCACTCTGATATGAAATGTGTTTTGTTTTTAGTACTAAATGTTTTAGAAAATCACTCCTGTTAATGGTTGAACGATGGGAGGGATTTGAAGAACAACATGCTGAGTTTACAATATACCTGATGGCAGCTAATGAATAATGTATGTTGTCTAACGCCACGATCATCAATATTACAACTGTGTAATAGCATTGTGTAAAAAATCGAGTCGCGGCAGGCAAGCTGTTGTTGGTGACATGAGCTACAATCCACAGTCACACACTATCGGCCACGACCCCAGTCCATTAAGGGATCTCGGCACAAAATGTTAAGGCCAGACTTCTTGTTTTTTTTGTTTACAGATTTTTGGCCCATAAAGTAAGGTCAGTGGAACGAAAAAATTAAATAATATATAATCCAATTTCAAACATATTTTATATTTTTCCTTAATTAAAATGTTAAGTAGGTAGGCAAGTAAATGTGAGGGTGGGGAAGATAAATTTGCAACAGGTATTAATTAAAGTATTTTAGATAATTTATTTATATTGACAGCGACAGTATATTACTTTTTTTAAAAACATTTTACTTATTTCTTGTCAGCTATTTAAAAACACTGCTTTGACTTATTTTATATTTTTACCTTTCAATTTTTGTGACTTGGCGGATTTGTAAGCCAAGTTTTTAAAAAAAGTTGGTTTAAAGATACACATTGCTTTGTTGGTCACTGTGATAACTTTCACATCACAACTACTAAGTGTACTATTACAGCCCAAGTTACCGTGTATATTCGTGGCCCATTTCCAATAGGAACGTAGGAGTGATGAAATACTCAGGATTGCCTCAGATGACCTTGTTAGTATAGATTGATACACCTAGTTTTTGTCATATTAAGAATTTGTCTCAGGTGCAAAATGGCAGCAATGTATCAGTACTTTTGATAACCATGTTTCACCTTTCAACTGTTTCCATTCTGTGAATGAAAATGAACCCTCATGTTTTTTTATATATTTTTTACTTCAAGGGGCCAAGGAATATTCTCCATTTGTGATCAGGAATGGGGCTGGTACCAACTTGAAAAGTAAATTTTTGTTATAAATAAGCACAATAAATATATATATGGCTTCAAAATGCCCTTCCTTCTTTGTTTTTCTATTCAACAAAGTCACCGAGTCTGACCACCCGATCCATTTGGTTATCTCTTGCAACCAGCGAACCAATTCTAACCCAGAATCCCACAGGGTAACACTAACGACAAACATGTTGAAAAGTGTTCTTCCTTGGCATTGGAATATATTCATGTTTTGTATACAAGTATTTACAGCAGGATGATACCGGACTATAACAGTGTTTTCATTATGAACCTACACAAACATATAATTAAATTTGCCACAGTTTTTCAAGAATATCACAAGACAATAAAACTTTGAGAAATTTTACAAAGGTCTCCAAAACGTAACATTGATTTGGGATTCATTTTGCAAAAACAAATGCAAAACTAAGATTTCCATATAAACAATTTATTATGAATAAACATAAATAATAATTCATTTATTGGTGCTGGGAAACAATATATCTGTCAAGTGGTCAAACAGGTGATGCAGGTTTGGTGATGGTATCAAGATATTGATTAAAATAACAAATATCCTACTCAACATGGTCAAGTAAACAATCCTCTTCATCATCAAGCAAATTGTTATTACGGTATGTGTTTTGTGAAGATCATCAGCGATATGAAAATGGAGGCATATTTCTGTCATCAGCTGTATCGGTACCGTATCCATTTTGTACAGCAATCAAAGAAGTAAAGACCGGCATGGCAATATTCTGACCTCAAAATTAAATCCTGTTACTATTAGAAGATATCACCATTAATTACATCAACCATTAACCCTCCGTAACTATCACAACCATAAATCACATATTACATATCACAGGACGGATCTGATAACAAATGTAAGGCCATGAAAAAAGTAATGTTCATTTAAAACAACTTTATTCTAAATGGGTCAGAGTGCCAGGGATATTTTTTCCACTGGGCCTAAAACTTGGGGGTCATTTAGTTTTGAGCATGGTAAGGAAAGACAACTCTGTTAAAATTGGGAAAACCTTGACTTTCATCCAACTACTTTTTACAGCAGTTGTGGTTTTTTTTTTAAAAACCCATCAAAATACCCTCTGTCTTCACAGGATGTTTTAGATGAAGCAATATGATAAGAAACATTTTTCAAGGCCTTATATAACATTAAATATCAACCAACAAATAATACTGTTAGGACCTGTGAACTCAATTGAAACGTTTGGGCAATGGATTGACGATCATACTCTCCAAACACTCAAACACAGTATGTGGATCCTGATCAGCGTTCACATGTTGGCCATCCAAATAAAAGTCTGCAATTTCCTCAACATATGCATGGTACTGAGCAAGCCTCTTTCGCACTTCTTCTTGACTGTCTTTCGGGAAGCGCTGGAGCCTCTCTTTGACTTCGGGTGTGCGTGGGGGGTTGTAGAGCATGTGGTAGCGTTCCCCTGTGATGGGGTCTGTGGCGCGGAGGGTCAGCCTCTCAAGTACAGAGTCATTGGGGACATCCAAGAAGAATTGTCTGGTGGAGAAAATGAGGCATGAGTCTCGTGAACTGGTATTTATAACCATAATTGTTTGTTGTTTAACCCTGCACTCCCTATTCCAGTTAAATGATGGTGGCATGTCAATAATTGAGACTAGACCAGGGCCCCGTTCCACATAGCGATCGTAGCGCTAATACTTTAACATAGACTTACGACGACCGTAGCCCTACAATGGCTTTGTGGAACAAGACCCTGACAAACCAGGGACAGATATAATGAGCAATGTCTCACGCCAGGATACAATACCACACAATCAACAAAGCACCAGGCCTTAGCATCTGATCAAGTTGCCTCCAAAGACAATCATGGATTCCTGGGGACAAATTCTAAGCTGAAATCCCCATGGGGACAGTGATGTCATGTTACCATGGCAACCATGCCACAGAGAAGAAATAATTTGCACACCATTACCAGTGATTACGGTATTTGAATGGGGTTTCTTATCTCCAAGGGGGGCGGCCGGGTAGCCTAGTGGTTAAAGCATTCGCTCGTCACGCCGAAGACCCGGGTTCGATTCCCGACATGGGTACAATGTGTGAAGCCCATTTGTGGTGTCCCCCGCCGTGATATTGCTGGAATATTGCTAAAAGCGTCTTAAAACCCGACACTAGACTAACATTTAGTCTCTGAAATCTTATATTACACAATATCCTTCTTGACTCTAAAAATAAAAATAAAATTCCCTATGCTGATTTCAGGAATTTTCAGGATTTTGTGGAATAGAGCTAGCTTGAGCTGGCTAGACTTGCTTTTGTATGCATTTCTAGATTATGTTTTTTTCATAAAATAAATATATTCCACGGTCATGGTGCAGGACTAACCCGACACACTCACTCTTATTTCCAAGAATAGTGTTGATAAAAAGTGCCTTTACTTAGGTAGATGGAATAAAAGAGATGCAGTTGGACAACACAAGGTAGAAATCAATCTGTGCCCTGACTTACCTGTAAGGTTTGAATCCAGCTTTAGCCAGCTGCTCGGCCTGCTCCCTGGTTTGAGGGTATCCGTGCAGCACCCACCCCCTCGTCACACAGTCCAGCTGGGACAGACGCACCTCCAGGATGTTCATCACCAGGTTGTCAGGCACTACATAAACAGGAGAATGGTTACGATTAGACTTCTGGGAGTACAAAAGGGTTTTACAATGTAAAATACTTGTCCTTTACACATACATATTAAGAATGGACATAAATGATTTTTAACTTTTGTTTGTTTTACATAGAGAGTCCTGTGGGTCACTATATTATCATGATTGTAACGTCAATCACTAGTATGTACACATCTTCATGTTTCTGCTATAAATTTAAGGGCAAAACTATACTATATTTCACTTCACATGGGGTAGGGAAAACTGTATTGCATCATAATAACATCCCTCATTATGCTTGTTAGGTTAGTTCAATGTTTTAAAAGGGGATTCAAAATCTACCAACGTCAGAAATGCTGTGGTTTAATAGGATATGGACAGTGGTGATGATTACTCTGGTACAGATCATAAAAAGCAGTACCGGTAATATAGTGTGTGACATGAATATAACATCTCAATTCCATGGTCAAGGGGAGGTAACTCTTTACATTTAAAACGGTTTCAATCTTTCTGTAGTATCAATTGTATCACACACACACCCTATAACAAACATATCTAATAGCAAGACTAGATTTCTTCAGAAATGAAGATATTCTCTACGATCCGTTCTTATATTTTGAGTCTAAGACAATGTATAAAATAAAACTTAAACTAGCAGTATTTTCAGAGGCTAAATTTTAGTCTTCACTTGTAGATGTGAAGGGATATAAAACAAATGTCAGTCAGTATCTTGAAATATGGAGCCGATCGTTTAATTGATCATAATCAGATACATCGCATTATGAGAGCCAAATATGTAACTATCAGAAGCCCACGGGACCCTGAAGATCCAGGTTAGAAATGGTCTTCAGTATCGGATGCATGTCATCATATCTGCCATAAAAAAGCTGGAATACTGCTGAGTGCACACAAACATACAAAGTCCACAAAATCAAGCTGATATACTCACCCATGATGCCTTTTTCCACATAAGCTTTGGCAGCCATGCCGGCTTTAGTTTCATCAGCAATAGCCTGTTTGATCAGCTGACCACAGCACACTGGAAATAGGAACAATGTTGGTCTTATTTTAATGTTGACGTTTAAAATATCCAGTACTACACTGTCTAGCTGTTATCAGCTCCAGTTTTGTCTTGAAACTATCACTATAAAGAGTGAGGTGAAATGGGGTTTAACGTCGTGTTCAAGATAATTGCACTTATATAGCGATGTGTGTGTGTGTTGTGTGTTTAATGCTTCACTTATGCCCATAAATAGCGCTCACCCACTAAGATGCCATAGATTAAGCCACTGGATACCCTACCCAGACACAGCATAGAGACTCTGAGCCGACCAGTCCTTGTTTTATCCCCTTGATATCGTTAAATGTCTTTTGGTATCACACGGCTTGGGATCAAACCCCTGACCTTTTGCTTCTCAGGCAGACGCTCTATCCACTAGACCATGGAGGTGCACTATCAAGTGTAAACTGGGATTCCAGTCATGAGTGTTGAACTCAGGATCAGCAAATCATGGCACAACTAAGGGAAGTAACTCACTTAAGACCACCTGTGCCACTGATGTTGGGAGGTGAGGTGAAATGGGGTTTAATGTTGCATCCATGATTTAATGGCACTTATATAGTGACGTGCGTGTGTGTGGCTGCTTGTACTAGTTAGGACTGATGCCGATTTATAGTGCTAGTACACTGAGATACCATGCCCCGGTTTAACATGAATACCCCACTCAGACACAGTATACTGACTCTGAGCAGACCAGTCCTTGTTTTAGCCCCTTAATGCCTAATACCAGGCAGGATAACAACAAGAACCATCTCTTAATGTCTTTTGGTATGACATGGCTGGGGATCAAACCCCGGACCTTCCGCTCTTAAGGCAGACACTCTACCACCAGAACAAAGCCACGGAAGCGGTTCTGATGTCCGGAGAAGAGGAGGAGTGAAGAGTTCTGGTGTCTGCGACTCACCATTGACAACGTTGTACTTGTTGGCCAGCAGGGCAGCCTGAACTCCCTTCCCACTCCCGGTAGGACCCAGCATGATGATGCGTGGGGTGTGTGGAGCATTGGTCCTGGGCTGGCTGGACAGGAACGTGAACGCTGCAGAGAAAGAGTTCATGGTATCAACATAAGAAGTAAAGAAAATCGTGAAATTATGCTAGAAATATAAATTATCCTTTTGTATAATGATAGGAATACTGAGGACCAATGAAGATCTGGGGTAGAATAGATCTTCAGCAACCCATGCTTGCCATAAAAGGCGACTATGCTTGTCGAAAAAGGCAACTAACGGGATCAGGTGGTCAGGCTCGCTGACTTGGTTGATGCATGTCATCGGTCCCAGTTGCGTGGATGGATGCTCATGTCAGTCACTGGATTGTCTGGTCCAGACACGATTATTTACAGACCGCCCCCATATAGCTGAGTGCGGCTTAACAACAAACAAACAAACAAACAAAGGAATACTGAGATACTTCATACTGTTACTCCATCAACAACTTCTGCTAGCCTAGTGAGAAACCATGCCACAGTTTAACATGAAGACCCCACAGTATGCAGTGAGTGAGTATGGTTTAAGGCTGCTTTTAGCAATATTCCAGCAACATCACAGCCAAGGACATCAGAACACAGTATAAACAGACTCCCAGCTGACAGTCCTTGATGCAGAGCCATGCCATGCCATGCAGAGAACAAGTACTATATTGGTATAATCCCACTCTCCAGGCAAACACTCTATCCACTAGACCACGTAGGCAGTCAGAACAATATGAATCCCTATCACAAGATTAGCGGTATGTTCCAAAGCAACACAGTGCCTGTCAAGATGTTGATAGACATTGTCGTCATCTTTTTTATGCTTTCATACATCTTTCAATGATCAACAAAATATGATCAACAAAAATACCAAATTGACTAAATGGTGACACCTGCTGAAACGTTACCCCTACCCTGTCAAAATACATCTTCAATATTAATAAGAGACTTATTAAGGATATTATTTCTCAGCTGCATTTCCTGATGAGCTCTTTTTTCAATGTTGTCCACTTATTATCTCATCCATCTTTTTGTAAGGGACCGGTCATTTATGATAGGGGAAAGGAGGGGGGAGGGGGTCAGAGGGAATCAGGGTAGGGTCTCCCAAAAATATGACAGTCTCTAAGAAAGAGTCATAAAACATAATACACAGATTTGGAAAGGGTCATGAAAAAATTGCAGGGAAATGGGGCCATCCAAAAATATGAAAAGCATTAGGAGAGAGTCATCATTTTCTGCACATTAAGTGCATCAAAAATCTCTGACCTACCCCCTCTGCAATAAATAACTGGTCCCTAAATAGACACATTTTGGGTCAACACAATTCTGAAAAAGTTTCAAGCATACTTTGGCTTTTAACTTTTACATAAACTGACTAACAAAATTTAATTACTCCCAATTCCAAGCAAATAATTTGTGGATATCATGAGTGAGTGGGAGAGTTAAGATTTTACATTTACTTAATTCAAACAAGCATGAAATACTCATATCCCCCAATATGACATGTCTGGTTGTGTGCAAGGCATAAGCCCTCCGGAAACGAGCACTACCTCCATTTTCAGTCTTTGAAGTCAAAGTAAAAAATTCCAAACTATCAAAAGGCACCAGTTTACCACTAGACCTATCTATGTGCAAAGTTTGGTGAAGAAATATTGTACGGTTTTCAAGAACTGCTCCGCCATTTTCAGAGTAAGTCAAAGTCCTTGCCAAGGAAACTCGGACAGCACCCATTCCTATATCCCCCTTCCTCTTCATGGCAGGGATTAATAAACAAGACTGTTCTGATTGAAATGTTCTGAGTAGTGATGAAAGTTTTATGACTCCATTTTCTTTTACAGACTGAACATATCATTGTTATCACGTTTCAGTGATAAACTAACTTGTCCAACTTGTACAAAGTGTCTTGCAATGATCATATCAAACCATCACAAAACGTAAATATCGCATCACTGACGAAGGATTCAGTCAAAGAACTAAACTTTACAGTATTTCCCATCCAGAACAGATCATGTGCCTCATTCAAGACATTCCATGATGACAAATACTGGACATTCATGAGTGCACTAATAGAGTCTTTTATCTATTGCTGCTGCATCATATTTTGACCCATTGTAGTACCTTTTATGATTGTAAACCTAATCCATTGCATTTCAGTTTAATTTATTGATTATTCACATCTTCTGGGTTAATCTTTCCGTTTTAATTTGGGAATGAACACGTAACACATTACAGCTCTCACAGTGGTGTACCTTGAGCAAAGACGTCGGCTTTAGGTTGGTCAGCGTTGATTGTCTTGAGCGTGTCACCATAGCAGCGGAGGATGCCGTCGATGTGGCGGTGGTACATGACCAGCTTGTCCACCATCGCCTCCTCCGTATATCCTGGCGCTACCTCCAGGCGAGACTGGACATCGCTGTTGGTCGGCCAGTCAAAGGTTGTGTGGTAAACATCTAAATAGATGCAGTCATACAATTATTTTAATTCCTTGAAAAAGAAGAAATTACCATGCTGCTTCAGTGTGATCATGTGGCAAGAGACACCTCTAAGACTGAGAACAAGTCAAGTCAATCACTTCTTAAACATACATTCAAGTTCTATCATAGGTTTCTGGCGTGCCAAAGGGATGCAACTCTGCATCATGAGTGAGTGAGTTTCTTTTAGCAACATTCCAGAAACATGGCCGGGGGAAACCTGCAATGGTCTTGCCCCAGCAGATGAATCAAACCTGGGCCTCAAGAATGACACATGTGCACTCAACCATGAGGTTATCCCACTATCCTTGCCTTGTCCAACTTTAATATCATCCACTACTCACCTCCTGTTTTGGTGTCCACTCTCTTCCCAGCTGCTCTCTCTATAAGGACGGTGTCTGGAGAGTCAAGAACCACTGCAACAAGGCAACATTCATCACAACAAGGCAACATTCATCACAACAAGGCAACATTCATCACAACAAGGCATGCAAACAGCAGTTGGTACGCATATGGAAATGCACAATTTGTTCAGTGCAATCTGATACAATTTTCTTTGGTCTTAGTTTGATTACTGTCCAAATCCTGGCCCGTATACATCACATTGCAAACACTATCATGATAAATACACCAATACATAGAATACATACTGGTACTTAGGCAAGACCTTTTTGTGGTGGGTACAGATTTTTTGCTCAAATGCTAAGATTGACAGGTAAAAATAATCAACATAAAAAATCCAATTTCAAATAAAAGTTTTGCGATTTCTTAAAATGTTATGGAAATATTGCAAGCATCGTTCCACCCAATCAGGGTATGATGACACTGTAATTCAGTATATCAGTTTATTCATATACAACTGTAAGGCCACAGGCCCCTAGTACAGCATACATGACAATGTGGAAAGTCAGGGTATGATGACACACAATCAACTAAGTCACCGAGCTGGACCACCCAATCCATTTGGTTCGCCGCTTTCAACCAGGTTGGAGGGGACTAATTCTAACCTGGAATCCGGGGTGTTAGTTATTTATAGAATGACGTACCGCAATGTTTGGGGTAGACCCCGATCTCCTGTAGAGCCTGGGCCTGCTCCCTGGTCTGGGGGAAGCCCTCCATCACCCAGCCCTTCTTCACACAGTCAAACAACTTCATCCTCTCCTGGACAATCTTCACCCACAACTCAGTGGGGACAGCCTGACAACAATCATAACTTGAAATAACATTCACTGGGTAGGAAGCAGGTTCAAAAGTATTCTTCTTGTTGGCACACTTAAATCCCAATGGTCACACCTAAACATCTTTGTGAGTTCCCTGAATACATTTCTATCACTGATTTCATTTGCTTTCCATTAATGATGATGATGATGTTTGAGATTTAATGAGTGCTTCCGGACGTGCCGATCCTGCACTCAGGTTCCATTAAGCAATTAAGCAGCTGATCATAACTTGAACAGCAATTGTTAACATTTTTTCATGACCATCTTTGTAAGTGTCCTCAATATATATTGGATGACCTGTCTCATGGAACTGTCATTTATTCATGGACTGACTCATATTGTCATACACATCATAAACGATATTACCTGTCGTTTTGAAATGAACTCCTTTGCCTGTTCTCTGATGTCCAAATCTGCATCATGGATGAGGTTCTCCATTGTGATGTGGGTCGTCCGTAGCTTGCTACAGACAAGTTTAGCAATAGACCTCTTCCCTGAGGCTGGTGGGCCCAAGACAATGATCTGTGGAACTGCAACATACATATACCATGTGTACATCGGGGAAAACATTACGCACCATCCCTGCTTTACTTTCTTACATCCTAAACTTTCCTGTATCTTTTGGAACTCTCTACACATGACATTGATCATTTTGTTATAAATATCTGTGATAACACTGATACCTGCTGAAAACTTGGTACAAGAATACTGTTACAAGGACTTGGCCATATCAGACTGTGATTTAGCAAGAGACAAATGGCATCAGGACATTTCAATGATTTTAGCAATTTTTGACAGGTCTTAATTTATATGTACCAAATTAGAAAACTTTCTTCAGGACATTTTGGATGATATCAGTTATAGTCCTAGAAATTTAAAATATCTAAATCCTGTATCATATGATGTAAAGAAGCAGAGGGAGTGAATGAGTTTGGTTTAACATCGCTTTGAACAGCATTCCAGTTATATCACGGCGCAATCTCATTAAAATCAGATCTTAGTTCTCGCTATCGCTAAACAAAGATCGGAGGACATCCCATTAAGGGTCATGTCAGAACGACCTTTCATCCAACCAATCAGAGCATTGCTTACCAGATCATGAAAGTGACTGTCGGAATGTGTTTTGTAATCATGCAACAACGAAATACTTAACACGAGGTATTCCGAACGACAGTTACGGGTTTTATGATTGTATCCATACAATCTACGGCATCTATAAGCCGTTCCAGAATGTTCTTCTTATCAGTTTTAATTTTTTTAATCGAGAATAAGTCAAAATATGTTTCGAAGCGTCACCAGTTTGAAACAAGTGTCGTAAACCTCGAGAAAACTGCCTTTTGATTGGCTAATGTCGATTTCTTGTCAGTCATTTCATTGGTCGGTCAAAATTTGCAATGGCCGTTCTGAAGTGACCCGTAATGGGATGTCCTCATATCTTTGTTTAGCAGTAACGAGAACTGAGATCTGATTTTAATGAGATTGATCATGGCGTGTCATCTTAATGTGGGAGGAAAGCCAGAAGGGATGGCTGAATGCCAGGTTTCCGGGTCAGGATTAACAAAGTTATAATGTTTGATATGTTGACCCAAACAAAATAAAACACCAACATAGACCGATTAATTCCCCTTTGAAGTACAAAGAGGGGCCGGTATATTGGAAATTGGTATGGGGTTTACCATCATTGTTGTCTCGATTGAGGTTTTCTATCAGGAATGCAATTGGGTCCGTGGGACGATGGATGATCAACTGCTCCAGAAGTCTCTGAAAAAGGTAGATGATAAAAAAATGAGTTGTACAGTGCCCTTATACTCCAAAACTGTGAGGGCATTAATTCGCAAACGGGTTGAAAATAGAATGTATAGACGCAAATTATATATTCTTTTGCAAATTATCAATTAGCCTATTTGTGTAACGACAGTGATGTGCGGTAGTTCTGAAGGGAGCCTAATGGAGTTTTGCCCATCTTATCTTTACTATAAAGTATTATGTGGGATAAGAAAGAAATTTAATTTACTTATCTCGAGCCAATATACACCTAAGAATTTATAATTTTAAAAAACTAAACGCCTCAGTATTCTAGCATCTAATATGAATGAATGGAATTGCAGTCTTCCTCGGCTATCGATGCGTCCACTGGGATTATTTCGGTTAATGAATTAAAATCGTTACCTTATACATATCAAAAACACCATGTTCTTCTGCATATGTGGCAAAAGCAGGAGGAATCAGGAGCGGTCTCTTAGTCTGGTCCATCTTTGTTATTGTTTACCGAGAGAAATGAATGATGCCGATAACGATGTTTCCGGCGTGTTTGGAAAGGTTGCTATGCAAAACCGAAACAAAAATGAAAGCATCATCCCGATTGGCTCATACTATAATCTACTCTATAGAAGGGATAATTTCATTGGCGAAATTCTTACCAAGGGGAAGTAACTTTATTGTTTACGTCTCGTACTTCCGGTTAATGACAAACACGTGTTATCTTTGAGACTGATACAGCCCGGCTCCCTGACGAAAGTGACTACTTTCAAAACATTTTATGTGGTTTTGTACCAGAAAATGAATATAATATCATGTAGGCCTGCCTTTATAGCTCTGAATTATAGAGTGTGTTTGTTTCTTCTTCACAATACTTCTTAAATTGCGATCATGCTTTTTCTCCACAAAATCAAATAGAACAATAAGCATAAATATATGAAGGACTTAGAATCTTGGTCAGTACTAAGGGACTGGTAATTCATTAAAATTCAAAATAACCTATTTTTCTTTATTATGTCCATTTTTTCACGACCATCCCCAAATATGTGTATTAATTATAGGGCGTCCTTATTCGTTTTTGTGTTAATCATGTCCCCCCGCCTGCAAATGTCCCTCAAGCCGAAAGAAAAATAATAATCCTGAAATATCCCCCCTCCATCTGTTTTTGCTTCTTCTTTCGGCAGGAGGGAAATTTGCAGGCTGCGGGAGATGAGACACAAAAATAAGTAAGGACGCCCTTAAATTCATAATGTGTTTAAAATTCGGGTTTTCGGGATCAGCCTACTCTCAATAGTCGACCATACATACGTATAAATTGTCAATCATTGGGCATAGATCGTGAAAACCTTTAATAGGTATTCTGCAATAAGTAACTTTTTTACTTTTCCCTCCGAGAAAATCTTGGAGATGAGAAATACAAAAATAAGCTTGCCCTTGCTGTTACTTGCTGCATGGCTTTAAATCAGTAAATCCTAAAGTGTACGTTATGTCGGCACTTTTTTGTTATTACAAACAATATATTGTGACGTCAAAATTTGTATCTAACGTGACATTGGTTCAAAATGTTTTGGGGTAAATTGGTAACTATGATATATTCACTCTGCTACAATGATATTCTGAAAGACTGATCATATTTGCAACAAGGCATCAGACGCTCAGGATATGTCCGGTTGGTCTGTTTGTGTGACATAAAATGACGTCGCGTGATGCCAATAGAAGTAGATTAATAACGAACAATGAATCAAGATAGAAGTCAACACGTGACGATTATATAAACGTCCTTGAAAGATTATCTCGCCAGCGCGGCGTGTTGTGAAGGCGACAAGCCGTGCCGCGCCGCGCCATCAATGCAGGTAATGGTCTAAGGGAGATAATCGTGTAATGTGATGTTAATAATAAATAAGAGTAAAGTCCCTTGTATTAGCTCCATACAGTGTTTTAACTTATACTCCCGTCACCGTGTGGAATGTTCTGAGTTTACCAAGTAAACTGGTTACATTGTTGCTACGCGCCGCAAGTTTAGCTCTTTGGGCCAGAGAGGAGCACAGTCTACCAAGCCGAATTACTTCCCTTTGACCACAAACTGTCAAGCTCCTTCCCAGCGCGTGACACCTTCGTTACACTCTCGGTAACATCGCTGCCACCAGTGTGGGCGCGGCCATTTCAAGAATCTTGAAATTTGCCCTCCAACCCCATATGTAGTAATGTTTATACTTTTGTTTATGTCTTTGGGAAGGCCATCATATTTCAATTTGAAAAGGTTTACGACTGACCATATTTTCCAAATGAATTTACTTTGTTGTTTTCGTAATCAGATTGGTTCGAGATTGCAGACTAACGGAAAATCAACCAATTTCTCCCTTACATTCTTACTATATCAATAACACGATAGTTTTAATGAAACAGAAATTCAAAATGACAAACGAAGAAAGTATTTTAGCAGCGATAAGTGTATTCGGCGTCACGACAGTCGTCACTTGTTTGTAAACAAAACGGTCATTCGGTTGCGAGTTCAACTCCAAGCATGGTTGTGGCCACCTATTCACAGTGGGGAGTTTTGACTGGTGGCAGCGATAGTATAGAGAGCTCCGGGAACGTACTATCGCTGTGAGGAGCATGACAAACTGTACCGCATGGAATATTAAATCAACTGAATTGTCTCCCTTTGACCATACCGGGAGCAGGTCAAAACGGCTTTTATGACTTTTTTTTGTGGCCGATTTGACTACTACTCCCCATGACAAAAATTGCCTAACGTCGCAGATTTGTAGACCTAGATCAGGTCCATTTGTCTATTTAATAAATAAAATACAAACATAATTTAGGTAACTATTTCGATCTAAACCTGCGTAGGAAGTTATTTTCCTTGTTCGTAAATGTACAATATCGCAGCTGGTTCCATTTTGCCCGAGACTGCATGTCAGAAGATACATATTTCTTTCAAAATTAAAGTGATTTGAGAACTAATTTGAACCTGTGTTTTATGACTTGAAATAGGTCAATGGTAAGAATGTTTTTAATTACACTATGACTTGATGGTGATGGTTTCTTTTATCTTTTATTTCTTTTTTCTTTATCTACTGTGGTTTTCTCTCAGATTCCTTCCACAATGTGTTTAAATTTCATTTTTCGGGTAACTTGCCCTCAATAGTTGTTTACAAGACATAAGTATAAATTGTCAAATATATTTGGTATAGATTGTCAAAGCCTTGAATAAGTATTCTGCAAAATGCAAACTTTTTTTCCGTATATTAATTTTTGACAGTGAATAAATATACTTGTCAGGGACACGGAATTCAAAACAACGTTCACTTGTCCAAGGGAAAGTAAAATGTTAAAATATTCTTTTACAAGTCTCCTGTTTCATTTGTAGTCAAACCCGTTAATGTGGGTTTTATCATGAAGTATCAGTTGCTTTCCTTATCACACACCATAATGTTTTTCCTACAACCAGCACCCCTGTAATATCAAAATCAACATGTTAAGTAAGAAGCTACTAATGACACAAATAGCAACATTCTTAAACTTAAGGCTTATAACATTTCTACTTGTCCCGCACCTAAGCATACATAGATAGACAAGTTTGCCATTGTATTTCAACACCCTACTTATTTCACTGTGATATATAACAAGCGGTTTGTGGAAATGTAACTGTGAGGGTGGTATTGAGTGTGAGAGTTTGGTTTATTCACTTTCAAAAGAGTTTCATCACAGCATGTAAGCTTGACATGGGAGGAAATCCCTAAGTGATGCTGGCGCAAATTTACCAGTTTGATGAAACTTATGAACATAACCATGGCGACTCTGGAATTCCAATTCATGATTCTAGGTTCCTGGCACAGCTAAGGGACATAACTCTGAACAGGGAAATCCTTTTGTACGACAGCGACAAATCTCTCCAGGAAAAGAAAATATGCTTATATATTTTTGTAACAAATTTATTTCTGAAGTTCAACAAATGATAAAAATCCATAATATTAATCACACAAACCTGGTATACTGGACCGTGAAAATACATACTCAAATAATTTGAGTGAGTGAATGTTGTTTAACACTGCAGTCAGCATTTTTCCAGCTATACTCGGAGCAGCCTGTACTAATCACGTTGGGACCAGATAAACCAGTGACTGAAAGCAAGAGCAACAATCCATGAGGGCAAGACGACACACGGTCAGCTGACTGACCATGCTGGTCACCCCATCCTCTGTTGTCGACTCTGAAAACCAGCTTATGATGCCAGTGACAAAATCCCACGACAGTCATTCAAAACAATTTATCCATTTTTAATGTACACAGCTACAAAATAAATGGATGACTTAATATTTAAAATGTGTTGTATAATTCATCAACTGTAAGAATTGTAGTAGGGCTGGGACGGGTAACTCAGAAGGTTACACTACAAGTGAATAATGTCCACATTTCTTTCTGACTCTGCTCTCATTCCTTCTGACTTTCATTTGTTTGAAAAGAAGATAAAGTTTCAGTCATCTTTTGTGTGTGCATGATCAGGTCAGTTTATATGTGTATCTAAATACATTTTGCCAAGGCTACGGTCAACTGTTCCCAGCCCTAAACGCCAGAGATGGTCAGTGTGTGGCTAATTCAAACAAGCTAAATGATACCCCTAATAAAGAAAACTATTGTGTTGTCAATTTCACAGTAATGGTTCACTTGACCAGGGATTCTTAAAAGCATTATTTTATTTTTTTTAGCTTCTTTTTCATGCTCTTTAATTTAATAGTCACAGACTGCATTCAATGAAGTAATGTAAAGGTAATCCTAAAGCCTCTTACTCCTTACTGATCTGGTATCAGTACAAATACAAGCTACCCCGGCAATCTGTAACATTTCTTGTAATCATTAGGATCGTAACAACCTGCCTTGGGAAAATTCAATTTGGGAATTGAAACCAATATTTGCTGTTGACCTGGGTCTGAATGTTGGTCTCTGAAAGCAGCTTGACCAATCCCTCTTGACCAATAAGTATTCACAGCAATCTTAAGGCGACTGTAATTCTCATGTATTGGTCAGTTTTATACCAAGAAGCTACTATTCAAACACTGGTAACTATTACAGTTAAGTTTATCATTTGTACCTCAATAGTGAGTGTGTGAGTGAGTTGGGCTTAACGCCCCTTTTAACAGTATTCCAGTTATATCATGGTGTTGCAGCTTAATGTGTGAGGAAAGCCCGAAGTGACGCAGGTCTCAGGCGTTTACCACTTCAGTGAAACCCACGAGCACGGGTATGGTGCTGACAAACCTAGAAACATAATCGGGGCGAACCGGGATTCGAACACACAATCATAGGTTTCTGGCGTGCCAAAGGGACGCAACTCTGCACAGCGAATCGCGATGCCCTAGACGACTGGGCCACCCGTGCCCCCTATACCTCAATACTTTAAGGAGGGTGAATGCGTCAATAACAAATTATATGTGCATGTTTTGAGTTTTATGCAGTCCTACCCTTGGTACAACTTCCATAAATGATAGTGGGATTCTAAGAAATAACAAAGTAAAAGGAAAAGAAAAGCTATGAGGCATAATGCATCATGCATGCTTGGCGTATCATATACAGTGTTCTGCTGTAAATAGGAAATCACCTAATGTTCAGACTTATCCATTAATTGAAATTCTTCAAATGTTCGGCTGGTTGGAGAACAAGTTGTGGCCTGGCATGCCACAACAATGAATGCATGTCAATAGTCTCCAGTATTCTATCACATAGGAAGAGTTGACTGTTTTATCACTTAGTGACAGTGCCTGCCCCAGTCTTTATCAAGGGAACAGGTGCAGGCTCTAAATTCAGCTCCTTTCGAAATTCATCCAAATCTTTTTCAAAGTGTTTTTCAAAATACACAGACATCAGGAACTTGGAATTGTTGGCACTCCTTAACACCCAGGGCAGGTAAATGCTCAGGTACTTTTGTCGATGTCTGAAATTGCAAAGGTGAATTTTATTTATCAGAAATCAAACGGCTATAGTCACCATTATCAGTAGGTGAAGGTTCCCCACACAACAGTAATCAGTGGGAACTGCTCTTCTAAGAAATTATTACCAGCACCCAGTTTATATGAGTGAGTGAGTCGGTCTTACACTGCTTTTAGCGATATTCAAGCGCTTTCACTGTGGGACCACCAGAAAGGGGAATCAAACCCGGGTCTTTTGGTGTGACGAGTGGATGCTTTAACCACAAGGCTACTCCACTGCCCCCATATACTTCATGAGTCGGCATGATCACACAGATGAATAATCCAGTCTTTATTTAGCCACTTGTCAAAGCCTGAGTAAATAGTAAATAGTCAGATCAAAATAGCACATATGTATTAAAACGTAGAGCTATTAATACATCATAATTGGATGAGTTCGGCAAACAGACTCAAATGGTACCAGTTATATTCATGTTCAGTAGACCACCTCTGTGGTCTAGTGGTAGAGCGTCCGCCCCAAGAGAAGATTGGGGGTTTGATCGCCGGCCGTGTCATACCAAAAGACATAAAAGATAGTACTTGCTGTTACCCTGCCTGGCGCTCAGGAATATGAGGCTACAACAAGGACTGGTCAGCTTGGAGTCGGTATACTGTGTCTGAGTGGGGTATTCATGTTAAACTGTGGCATGGTATCTCAGTGGGCTAGCACATTAAAATCAGGATCAGTCTAACTAGTACAAGCAGCCAAACACACACGTGCACGCACAGCACTATATAAGTGCAATAATCTTGAATGCGATGGTAAACCCCATTTCACTTCACCACATTCAAGTAGTGTCAATGTAGCTCATTTCTACAACACGATCATTGTACATACTTTGGCCCAAGCCGGACAGGTCCCACCAGGGCCCCAACAGCACACATCGGTAGTCCGGTCTGGATGGCCTCAAACCACTTGACCACAACCTCCCCTAGCATGTTGGGGGGCATCCCCAGCAGCGTGTGCATCAGGTCATGCAGCTGTCGATACCGCAACATCACATACATCAGGTCGCGGTCATCCACGAAGTTGACAGGTCGCCGTGCATCAGGAGAGAACCCCTGCAATAAAAACAACCTCCTGTGGGAAATTCTCCGACTCCAAATAAAGATAGATAAACGTTGTTTCTATATCCCTTCAACAATATTCAAGCTTGATCTGATCCTTTAAATAGAATTAGTCTGCAACTTTAGCCACCAGTCCAAATCCCTAGTCCAAAAAACTATGTTTGGTCTAGTCATGTCATATTCGTAGTTCCTATTAAAATGCTAAAATCTACTGAAGATTATACAAAGTTCGACCTAGCGGACTAGAATGTTTTTGGCACAGATTGGTATGAATATTAATACAATGGATCACATTCAGCCACATTATCAAGGGGTCCTTGTCTAGGTTGCTCCAACAACAGACATTGGGTACTCAGGATCTATTCCAACCCCATATATCAACGAAGATGTTCAACTTACAAACGGTTAGGGTTTAGTGATGTGTTCAAGATTATTGCACTATATAGCAAAGTGTGCATGCATGTTGCCGTTTGTACTACCGGTAGTCCTTACTGATGCCAGTTTTACAGTGCTAGCCTATGCCGAAGTGCTCAGTGCTGAGATACCATGCCAAAGTTTAACATTGATACTCTACTCACATTGCAAACACTATCATGACAAATACGCAAACACATAGAATACATACTAATAAAGATTTTTTGCCCAAATATTCAGATTGGTAGGTCGCAAAATATGCAACAAAAAATCCAATTTCAAATAAACTTTTTGCAATTTCCTCGAAATGTTTAGGAAATATTTCAAACATCGTTCCACCTAGTCAGGGTATAATGACACACAATCAACCAAGTCACTGAGTCTTATCACCCAATCCATTTGGCTGCCTCCTACAACCAGCATAGGTTGGAGCAGACCAATTCTAACTTGGAATCCGGGTAAGGTGAAATGTGGTTCAACGTCGCATCCAAGATTTTTGGAATAATATATAATATAGCGACGTGTATGCATGTGTGTGTCTGCTGCTTTTACTAGTCCGGACTGATGCCTATTTCATAGCGCTAGCGCACTGAGATACCATGCCGCAGTTTAACATGAATACCCCACTCAGACAAAGAATACCGACTTGAGCCGACAAGTCCTTGTTTTAGCCCCTTTATGCCGAGCTCCAGGCAGGGTAACAACAAGTCCTATCTTTTAACATCTGTTGGTATGAGACAGTTGGGGATCGAACCCCTGACCCTCCCTTCTCCAGACTGACGCTCTATCCACTGGACCAAGGAGGTGGTCTAATCTTCCACACGTCAAAATTATCATTAATTATATTGATTATGCTAGTTTATTTCTGCTTAAGGATTAACTTGTAAAAGCTATCTTCCCAACAAATAATAAATGTTCTCTTTATATCACTAATGCTTATCAGTCACTTACATTTTTATCTAGGAATCTCCAATAGGCCTTTCCAAATGTATTGTCTGGGAGACTCTTTAAGTAGGGCACTGAAATTGTCTCTGTTGTTATCAGGGGTTCTTCTCTGAAAATAGAAGGAATGGCGTCACCTGATTTCTGACCTGTGCTATGCACTTTATCATGTCATGTGAGTTCGTCCATTGTGTCACACAATAGGAATCAAGGGAATGCTTGACGTCCATGAACCAAACATCAGACATAAGCTGAACTACGTGTTTGGATACTGTCCTCAATAAGACTGACCAAACTACCTGGCTCTAAAATTTGTCACTTAAAGATTTCTCTTCAAACTCATTTTTGGCAGAATTTGAATTTCATTGAAATATTTTTAACATTTGAAGATACTATCATCCAGTTCCCCAGACCAGTTTTAGTCATAATGATGACACCCCTCCATCCCCTGACCAATTTACCAATTTGAACTAAAACTTGTCTTTTATAAGCATTATAGCTAAAATGGATGGAATTATCATTAAACCGCCTGCATGTTATCAGAAATGAGCGGGGGCACTGTAACTTGATAATGCCCTCATATTGCTTGATGACAGGACATTATCCACCCGTTGTTAGGTGACGTCATAGGATAGGGATAGGTGACTTCACGTTCAATAGTGACGTCATCATGGTCATCTGGTTTGTTCTATGACGTTTCCATATTTGTAAAACTGGGTCAGTGATATTCGTGTTAATTGCATTAAATGTTTCAAAACCGATATTGTTGTTTCTTTTTATTTGATAACAAATTCCATCCATTTTAGCTATAATACCAGTAACGCTATTTTTCAGGGCATTATCATTTGCAGAAGCCCTCGGTCTTTTCAACTGCCCTCCTTCGTCGGGCAGTTAATGGAAGACCTCAGGCTTCTGCAAATGATAATGCCCTGAAAAATAGCGTTACCCCTATAATGATAAAGGACTATCTAAATATCAAATTTGGTAAAGTCTATCAATATACTTTGTAGTTATGATCCAGAAACTGAATCTTTACTGATCACATTCTATTTGATAGATGTAGCTTATGAGGGGCTGCTTTATTTGTCAGAGTTATCATGGTTAGCGTCTAGAAACTTAAATGTGATGTCAAGATAATAATGATCTATCTAGATTACCACATTGTGTTTGTACTCACTCCAGAATCTGCCTACCAACAGGGTCAGCCAGCATCTTCTGTCTCATGTAGCGCAGAGCTATGGGGCCTGTTGTCTCACCCAAAGCACATATCATGTCTGCAAGCACATCAGAACATACATGTTTCGTTTTCTAGAAATTTAAATGTTATTCGTGTACATAATGTAAAATAATGCTTGAAGAACTCTCACATTTCACTTTCAAAACCCTTTTTTAGCGACATGTGTGTCTAATTAACAAGTTAGACTTGTTGCCTTTTCAAGCATTATTCACAGCAGTAGACTAGTTCATGCATGTGTGATGCCTACAACTGATCAGTAAATAAAGATCTGTGAAGAAATATTTGGCAGGGTTGTCATACTTTGAATTTTATTAATTTTTCATGCAAATTTATTAGCAACTCAATTTAATCGGGTAATGCTGACTTATTTTGCCTAATTTATGCATATACACAGCTGAGTGGAGCTCTGGCTACATAATAGCAGGCTGTAAAATTAGGAGTCTACGCCAGGCATGTGGTTGATCACATGATCACTGATCATGGTAGGATGACCCAGAATCAGCATGATTAGCCACGTTACACATTTGACTAACCCAACATTACACATAAGTTGACTTTACTGTTGTTTGTTTGCAACAGTATTATAGATATACCATGGCAGCATATAAACGTGATAAATAATTGAGTCAGGGCCAGACAAACCAGTGACTGATATTATGTAAAGTGATTCACTCTGGCCAGGGTATGATGACACGCAATTAACCAAATCTGTACTCCCCATTCATTAAGTCTCCTCATACTACAAGCATAGGTTGCTGGTGATTCTAACCCAGAGTCTCCAAAAATTTTACTTTAAGGACAGGCATGAGGTACTGGATGAAAGCTCCTATGTGATTTACATGACGGCAAAAATTGTTGTTCATATCAATCACTGGACTGGATGGTCCAGATTTGATTATTTACTACCATCATAAAGCTGGAAAAGTGCTGATTGCAGCAGTAAACGTGGTAAACAACAGACAAAAAAATTATAAATAATTATAGATGATGGGCGACTCGGCAAACACTTGGCCTATCTAAAATATAATCTATACAAAACTTTTATTATTGATATCAAAAGCCTGATATTTCATACCATCTCTGGCAGGATTGATGATGCACATAGCTGCAGAACCCACTGCAAGTACAGCTTTCTGAAAGAGTGAAGTTGGGATATGACCAGGGTAGAGGTCATCATAGTGAAGTTGTCTCCCCTTGTCTTCATAACTATCGTCTGTTTGCCTGTCCTCATCCAAGTTTTCTGGTGGTTACAAAATATATGGTTCATATCATTCTCAAAACAATCCAGCAACGCTTTTGAAATAGAACTCAGTTAAATGAAATGAAATACCAAGGACTAAGATTATTGAAAGATTATTGTACTTCTTGTAAATCTACCCCAATCTGGATTTGATTAAAAAGTGAGGCCAGGATCTCTGAAGTGAAGGGTACCGCAAAATTTGCGCGAAAACTGAGGCACTCGCATCACATGCTACAATTTCTCGTCATTATTAATGACATAGCACATTTTACCAGTAGAATATGTTGCTTTTAAACGTCGTATTATGACTTGTGATTGCTGACAGAAAATATTCTTTTGCATTCGCCTCTGACACATATATTTGGAATATGTCAAATTGACAAGTGGTCGAAATCGCCAACAAGACGCCATTTTGAAATACTTGTACTACTTGGTAAACAACTAGTTACACATGTTTTCAACAAACATTGAAAGACACATCCACGTAAAGTATATTAGAATAATGAACATATTGTTTCTGATTATACTCAGATTGTTTATTTATTCATGTATTAATGATAGTGAAACAATACTTGGAGTTTTTAAAATTTATTTGGTTAGTCATTTTAAAGAAATAGTTTAAACTTGATAGTACAATGATTTCTTTACGCATGCGTAGTCATAAACGGATGTTGCATGTGCTTAGCAGACAACTTTTGACAAAGTTAACAATGTCGGGTGTGATTGCTAGGAGTTTCAGTTTTCGACTTATTCGTCGCATCTTAACAATTCGAGACAAACACATTGGTGATAATACGGCGTCAACAGTTTCAGGAATAGATAAAAACACAAACGCAGTCAATGACAGATGTGCAGTGAGGAGAAAAAGCGTGTGGACATTTTCTAATGAAACTAAGCCAAAATATTGTTCGTTTGGTTCTCGAATACCAGTAAATTTCTATTCCGAAGGTGACAATAAACACAAGGTCGTCGATAAAGAAAAGTCTCAAAATGTTGACAGTGTTGGGAAAATAGAACCGAAAATGCAGATTGCATACACATGTAAAGTTTGCAGCACACGGAACTTTCAAACATTCACAAAACATAGTTATGAAAAAGGGGTTGTCATTGTCAAGTGCAAAGGCTGCAACAATCACCACCTAATAGCAGACAACCTTGGCTGGTTTCAAGATGGTGGAGCTAAGTATGTATTACCTGTATATTCATTGTTAGCACCTGTGGGCTAATCCAGTAGAGATATGTTACAAGTATGTATATATGTCCAACATGTCTATGTGGGTTGGGTTAAATGATGCTTTGAACTGTATTTCTGTTATATCATGGCATGCCAGCTTAATATGGGTGGAAAGCTCAAAGTGCTTCAGGTTCTAAATGTTATAATTTGGTGAAGTCAACAAGCACTGGAATATGGTGCTGACAAACCAAGAAGCAAATATATAGTCAGGGCAAATCTGGGATTTAAACCAATAACCATAAGTTTCTGGCAGGTCTAAGGAATGCAACTCTGCACAGTGAATTGTGGCACCCTAGACAACTTGACCACCTGTGCCACCCAAATGAGTAGAAACAAAAGTCAGGAACTTCAGCATAGTTGAATATCTGCTGAATGTAGTCGGGTACAGATGTTAAAAGTATGTGAATCAGATGATAAGAGTGAATTGAGATCAGTACTGTTTTGTACTGTATTTCTGTTGTATGGTGACATATCACCTTAATGTGTGAGGAAAGCCTGAAGTGATTCAGGTCCTAGATTTTACCACTTTGGTGAAACCAACAAGCATGGGTATATGGTGCTGACAAACCAAGGAACAAATCTGGGATTTGAACCCATGATCATACTAGGTGTGTCAGGCCTGTGAATTTGCCAATCCTTAGATCACTGAGCCACCCACACACCCCAGATGAGGAGAAACAAAAGTCTTGAACTTGGCATTGCTTTATATCTGCTGACCGTAGGCCTACACTAAATTGGATTCTGTGAATTCAAACTGCTTAGATATTTTTCAGTCTAGTTATAATATTATTTTCAAATGTGATAGGGATTATGAAGCAGACTAGGTTCCCAGTATCCAATGTGTTACATAAGAGCTGACTGCTGAGGAAGGAGTAGTTAGAAGGTGTGACATGACTGGAGTTTTGCTCATGCTATCAATCAATGGTATGCCTTGCCGATAACTGATTGCAGGATGGCAAGATACTGTTGGAATACTGCTGCCTGCAGCATCAGGTGGGGAGGGAGAGGTACTAAATATGCTATGCTTGCCTAACGAGATATCAGTATAAGGTGGTGACTTGGTTGATTGTATGACGGAGTGGAATGTTGCTCATCCTCTCAACCTCTGGTTCGTCTGGGCCCAGACAAACTTAGTTACAGTCCACGATGGTGTAGGTGAAATATTGCTGACTGGTGTAAAACATCAAACCAAGGTATCCCCCGGTAAATGGCAGTGAATAAGTATTACATGCACATGATGCAGGATTATGTTATGTGGTACATTCATGGAATTTGACTTTCATGTAAGAGTTCTCTCCCTTGATCTGCAGCCATGGATTGCATTTTGAATTGATACTATGGTATTTCTTTCAGAAATATTGAAGAAATTCTGGCAACAAAGGGAGAGAAAATTTCCAAAATTACAACTGGAGAGGATGGACAGTTGGAAATAGAAGGCAAAGATGATTAATTTCTGTTCCTGTTGTCATGGTTATGTCAGCTTGCAAGAAACACAAGAACATTGTTTTTTATGAATTGGGAAGGATTGAGAGACAAGAGCTTTCCCAACATTGTGGAACTTTTTTTTACATAAAGTTGATTGTTAATGATATCTGAGTTGTTTCAAATGATTTGGATCCATGTTTATCAAGGGGTGTCAAGTTGTTGAAGATGAGACAAGCATGCTGAAGACCGACTTCAATCTCATTACTTAAAGTAGCATAAAATCATGCATGCATGCTCACTCACTCACTCACTCACATCAATCACATTTGAAAACATCCACATATACTACCAAAAAAGCTGAGGAAGGACCACCAGATTCTCTCATATAACTATAGTTACTCTCGTTACAGATGAGTGAGTGAGTATGTTTTTTTTTCACCGCTTTTAGCAATATTCCAGCAATATCACGGCGGGGTTCACCAGAAATGGGCTTCAAACATTGTACCCATGTCGGGAATCGAACCCGTCTTCGGTGTGACGAGCGAACGCTTTAACCACTAGGCTACCTGACCGCCCCGTAACAGATGAACTAAAGTAATATGAAACAATTGGGAAGTCCTTATCTATTTATTAGTATTTATGATTTTTATACACTTTAGTTATTAAAACACATCTCCTTATAATTAATTGACATCATGAGCATCGATCTGCGCAACTGGAATATGATTACATGCAATCGACCAAGTCACCAACCGATATTTAGTCTCCTTTTACGAGAAGCATAGGTCCTGGGAAATTTCCACGGGTTATTTCATTTATGTCATGGAAGCATAAATACATGGCATGCTACAGTTAAAACTCAGATTTTCTTTATCAGTCAGATGTTTAATACTCAAAATTTGCAGTGTTGTGTGCAGCTGTTGTACGAATAGGATGCGACCTGACGCATGTTCAGCTTTTATAATAAACAAAAGTAAATATTTATATACGCTGTTGTCTCACGACTTCGTAAGAGTCAGCAAGCACAGTATCCCTATCTGGGGTATTGTTTAGACTCAAGGATTGGAGTCAACTTGGGAGAGAAGTGAGCCCTATATGCAACGACGATTATCTTCTTCCCTTTCAATGTCTCAACATCCGCTGTTTAAACTATCCAATACCCATTGCGATATAACGGAAATGTTATAAAACTTCGCACGCACGCACGGACGGACGGTCTCAAGACCCGTGAAGATCCGGGGTAGAATAGGTCTTCAGCAACCCATGCTTGCCGTAAAAGGCGACTTTGCTTTTCGTAAGAGGCGACTAACTGGATAGGGTGGTCAGGCTCGCTGACTTGGTTGATGCACGTCATCGTATCGATGCTCATGATATAAATCACTGGATTATCTGGTCCAGACTCGATTATTTCCAGACCGCTGTCATATAGCTGGAATATTGCTGAGTGTGGCGCTAAACAACAAACAAACAAAAAGTATATTTCAAATGACCATACGATACAGTTAACCGTGTTTATCATGTTCGATTTGCTTAAAACCAAAATCAGCCAATCTGCTTATCGTTCTTCATCAACACGTGTTTGCTGATAAAACTAAATCAAATAAGACAAGTATGTGACGGGTCCAAATTAATTTCCCCTTGGTGCGAAGACCAACTGTGAGTAATCAGACGCAAGGTGCTGCTCGCATATCCACGCGAGTATATAAGAAGAAAGATGACTTAGTACACCACCGCTCCACACCAGACAACATGATCGCCGCCCTCGTCCTCGCTGTCGTCGTCGCAGTTGCTCAAGGTAATGGATTCACGTAAAGGACGAGATGTGGGTCTGCATAATTTCAGAATTATGGAAACCTTGAAATCGGTTTACATTTTTATATATGTTCATTTGAATGAGAACTAGACTTCGTTTATTTCAACAATTGCATGTTTTGGACTTGTGATAACACTGATGTTTTAGTAAGGATGAAACGCGTCAAAAGTCTGATTTGACCAAAGCAGATTTTCTTAGGATTTGTTCGTTTGTTGTTTAACCCCGCACTCAGCAATATTCCAGCTATTTGTTTGCTGTCTGTAAATAATCGTGTCTGGTCCTGATAATCTTGCATCGACCCCCGCAATTGGGATACGATGACATGCATCAACCAAGTCAGCAAGCCTGACTACCCGATCCCGTTAGTCGCCTCTTACCACCATCATGGGTTGGTGAAGACAATTCTAATCCGGATCTTCACGGGTCGATTTTCATAGCAGATGTAGTTACAAAAAGTACAGACATATGGTAAAATGTCTTCGTGGGTCATTGACTTGCTCAGTCTTGGATTTTCATTTGAAGTTCGAAAAGCCTGTGTAACTCATTTTAACTGTACTCATGTTCAGTTGTGTCAGACGTGGAAGTACCGCATCCGTGGTCTAGTGGTAGAGCGTCTGCCCGGAGAGTGGAAGGTCCGGGGTTCGACCTTCGGCCGGGTCATACCAACAGACGTTAATAGATGGTATTTGTTTTTACCCTGCCTGGCGGTCGTCATTGAGGGGCTAAAAAACAAGGACTGGTCGGCTCGAAGTCATTGGGTATTCGCTAAAATGCAGCATGGTAAAATCGACCTAAGTCCGGACTAGTACAAGCACGCACGCATGCACGCACGCACGCACACACACACACACACACACACACACACACACACACGAAAACGGGGTAGGGTGGTCAGGCTCGCTGACTTGGTTGATGCATGTCATCGTATCCCAATTGCGTGGATCGATGCTCATGATATCAATCACTGGATTTTCTGGTCCAGACTCGATTATTTACAGATCGCCGCCAAATAGCTGGAATATTGCTGAGCGCGGCGTTAAATAACAAACCAACCAACAAACCAACCAACATACCAACCAACCATTACTAGCGGGCCCGTATCCTACCTTGTCTTTATACATATGGGGGTTTATAAAGAAGATTGATGCCTATCTGGACCTATAGCTATGCCCCAACATTAGGCTACCCATATGAATTCGAACCGTGTCCCTGGTGTAGAGTGGATGGAGCTCGACATAATGAAAGTTCATATTATTTTCTAGCGTTCGCTTGTCACGCCGAAGACCCGGGTTCGATTCCCGACATGGGTACATTGTGTGAAGCCCATTTCTGGTGTCCCCCGCACTGATATTGCTGGAATATTGCTAAAAGCGGCGTAAAACCATACTCACTCACTCATATTACTTTCTAGTGGTCTTATTTAGCTCACAATCCAATCTCCAATTGAAGGATATTTGTCTGTGTCAGTCTCACTCCGTACAATAATATCATGGGGAAGGTCAATATTCCATATTTGACGTATGCATTATAGACCTTTATACCGTATTTATACTAATGTATGCACGATTTCATATATACTGTTTTCATGGTTATAGTTTGCCATATTAAGCGCATTAAGATAGACAGGAGCCCAGTCAAGCATATGGTATCATCGAAGTAAGATGATTGCGAATCTGTCTGTTGCATGTTCATCCAGCTCTCCTTTAGTATAAATACCGGGTATTATTCTTCACAAACTATATCTAAACCTGCTATGTTTCTGAAAATGTAGGTTGTTGGATTTTAATGTATCGTTTTTCTGAAAATTATTTCAGGCTGCCCAGACAGATATTCAAGTGTTGGAACAATGTGCGTGCACCCGCATCGCATACAGTCGACATATGCTGAAGCTTACGTAAGTGGGCGTGGAATTTGTAATCAGGAACATGGGACACGGAGTAAAATATCAGTTATAATATACATGTATAAATGCCGACTCTACTATTTAAACCACCACACGTAGTCCAGTGGATGGCTTTGTGCCCAGATAACACCGTAAAATGCTTAACATTCCTATCGAAATAGACATAAAATGCCAAATTGAAAATAGAGAATTTAAAGGTTTATATATGAAGAAAAGTGGTTTAAGCATTCGTTCGTTACGCCGAAGACCCGGGTTCGATTCCCGACATGGATACAATGTGTGAAGCCCATTTCTGTCCCCCGCCGCGATATTGCTGGAATATTGCTAATAGCGGCGTAAAAGCATACTCACTTACTCCCCCGTGGACTGGGAATGAAAATTATAAAATAATAATTATTATTATTATTATTATTATTATTATTATTATTGATGTACTTGCTCCTTTCAATGCGGTTTCACTTAAGATGTGAACGTCGATATGATTAAAATACTGTTTGAAGTTCGATCACTCATATACTTTGTATATTGAACGAGACAAGCTGAGGATCATTTTTAGAATATTTTTAGGATTTTTCTTTATGAAATTGCGTGCTCAGTTTTCACTAAAAATAAAACATCACCAAAAATATTAATGATCCCTAACTTTCTTTGTTTGAGATATTAATTGTTCAAGACCTAAAATTAAGTCTATTATTCCCGTGGTTGTTACACGGTGAAACACCCCTATCCGGGCAGTACCAACGTCGTCCAGATAACTAATCATTGCAACGTAGTCTACATTTGCAGGTATGGAGACTCTCAAAGCATCCACCGTTCTATATAAGAGGGTTTCATGTTGATCATTTGAACAAAGGGGTTAAGGGTGGCCTTGTCGTCTAAGGCGCCGCGATTCGCTGTGCAGAGTGGCGTCCCTTGGGCACGCCAGAAACCTATGATTGTGGGTTCGAATCCCGGTTCGCCCCGATCATGTTTCTAGGTTTGTCAGCACCATACCCGTGCTCGTTGGTTTCACCGAAGTGGTAAACGTCTGAGACCTGCATCACTTCGGTCTTTCTTCCCATATTAAGCTGACACGTCGCGTTATAACTGGAATACTGTTAAAAGCGGTGTTAAACCAAACTCCCCCTTTGAACAAACCTGCCTGGCAAAAAGAAAGTATACACTTGATTTGACCAAAACTTACAAACGTCATCAAAGCGTTACTTGGCTGAATACAGTCGCCGAAACACAAATATGGTATCAGATACATCACCATCGAATGTCCATTTCTTATTTGTTTCATTTTGAGTCGCCATCAAACTTTTCCTTTCCCCCCTGATATAATTCACCTTATCAATGAAGGTATAACTAATGCAATATAATACACTTGCAGTGCGGTAGCATAGTGGGTAAAGTGTTCGTTTGTCAGCCAAAAATCCTTGTTCAACTCCTTACATAGTGTTAAGCCGTGGTATTTCCAAAATATCTATGACTTTGTATTCATGACTCAATTATATATATATTGTTTTCGACGCTATATGGCTGAAATAATACCGATGCGACGCCAAATTTTAATTCACTCATTCACTCAAAAACATCCATACTCCATACTCACTCACTCTTTTCTTTGCAGAGCCTCTGCCGTTTAATGAGGAGCCAGGTGGCTGCCCCTACCACAGACGCCGATAAGCTCGCTCTGTCCACATTCCTCCAAACATTGAACCTTAATGGTAGGCTGGAGAACATTTTATCTCTCGACCAACTATTTACAAACACAAAACTCAGTCGTCTGAGGCGCCGCAATTAGCTGTGCAGAGTTGCGTCCCTTACGCTACCCACCCACTTTCGCGACGTTGGCCGCGATATATCACGATGTTAAGCTCGTGTGAAAGATCGTTAGACACGATGTGAGTACGATGTCTTCTCGATAGACACGATGTGAGTACGATGTCTTCACGATAGACACGATGTGAGAACGATGTCTTCACGATAGACACGATGTGAGTACGATGTCTTCACGATAGACACGATGTGAGTACGATGTTTTCACGATAGACACGATGTGAGTACGATGTTTTCACGATAGACACGATGTGAGTACGATGTCTTCACGATAGACACGATGTGAGTACGATGTTTTCACGATAGACACGATGTGAGTACGATGTTTTCACGATAGACACGATGTGAGTGCGATGTTTTCACGATAGACACGATGTGAGTACGATGTTTTCACGATAGACACGATGTGAGTACGATGTTTTCACGATAGACACGATGTGAGTACGATTTATACGAGCACAACACGTTTTAATTTTCATGGTGAAGAGCAAACTGCGTCCTTGTCACGAGCATCATACGATGTTTATACGAGCTGGACCCGTAGTACGAGCTAGCTGAATACGAGCTTATCGCGAGTGCGCTACGATATGATCACGTGGGGACGCACAGTTGACGCAAGATCATCATGAGTATGAATACGGGTCGCGTCACCAACACAGAGCCAGGACCAGTCCGAGGACCAACTCTCTACCCTCAGTCCCAGTTTGAAGAGATTACCCACACCCACACCCTAACCCACACCCACACCCTCACCCATACAGAGCCAGGACCAGTCCGAGGACCAACTCTCTACCCTCAGTCCCAGTTTGAAGAGATTACCCACACCCACACCCTAACCCACACCCTCACCCATACAGAGCCAGGTCCAGTCCGAGGACCAACTCTCTACCCTCAGTCCCAGTTTGAAGAGATTACCCACACCCACACCCACACCCACACCCTCACCCTCACCCACACCCACTTCCACACCCTCACCAACGCCCTAACCCACACCCACACCCTCACCCACACTCACACCAACACCCACACCCGCACTCTCACCCACACCCACACCCACACCAACACCCACACCCACACCAACACCCACACCCACACCCATACAGAGCCAGGACCAGTCCTCTACCCACAGTCCCGGTTTGAAGAGAATACCCACACCCTCACCCACACCCACACCCACACCCACACCCGCACCCGCACCCGCACCCTCACCCACACCCACACCCTCACCCTCACCCACACCCACACCCACACCCATGCAGAGCCAGTACCAGTCCTCTACCCACAGTCCCGGTTTGAAGAGATTACCCACACCCACACCCGCTCCCTCACCCTCACCCTCACCCTCACCCTCACCCTCACCCACACCCACACCAACACCCACACCAACACCAACACCCACACAGAGCCAGGACTCTGGAAGTTCTGGAACCCTGTCCTGTCTTCTCGTGCCAGCTTCTGCAGGAGGGGTAGAACCTGTGCCAAAATCAGATCTTAGTTCTGGCTATCGCTAAACAAAGATCTGAGGGTATCACATTACGGGTCACGTCAGAACGACCTTTCATCCGACCAATCAAAGCGTCGCTTACCAGATCATGAAAGTAACAGTCGGAATGTGTTTTCTAATCATGCAAAACCTCGAAAACGTTAAAACGGGGTATTCCGAACGACAGTTACGGCCCGTACGACTGATTCCGTCAAAGTTATCGTCTGTCTCTCGCTTCCGTGGGATAAATATTTGAACGGAGGAGGCGTTGCACAGTACGCGAGAAGCACTGCCAAACAATCGCAACCATAATTATATTAGACATTCCGGAATGTTCGTTTGCTCAGTTTTCAAAATTTCAATCGAGAACTGTGTCAACATTTTTCAAGCGTAGTCTGAAATGGAAGTAGCTAGGCTGCTTTCTCATTGGCTTATCGACTTCTTGTCCTTCGTTTCAGCTTTCTGTCAAAGTTCACGAAAGGTCGTTCTGACGCGACTCGTAATGGGATGCCTTCAGATCTTTGTTTAGCGGCAGCGAAAACTTAGATCTGATTTTAATGAGAAGTCTTCTTCCCTTCGCTTAGGTCTCCACATACCGTCTGTACTGGAATTCAGATGACATGTTGCTGCCGTAAGCACTGTGTTGTTTGTGCTGCGAATACCAGTAAAACGCCCCCAAATTAGGTCCTATTCCGGTTTCGGTTTAGACTTGTTGACATCGTGACATTCGTCACCACTCGCCCCTTTCCGTAACCTGCAAGAAGACGAGTCGCTATTCGGCTTGTGTCGGAATAACACGAGTTGGTAACGAATGGACATCGTGATAAACTCGTGGAGATCGTGTCATGTCGTGGGAAGCTCGTAACTAACTCGTACACAACCCGTATTCAACTAGTCCAGTCCATCATCGGTGTGATTTCGTAGTGACATCGCACTGACATCGTAGTAAACTCGTGTTATATTCGTAGTAAGCTCGTGGTGTGCTCGTATGACTCCGTGTTAGTGTCGAGTGTCGACATCGCAATATACACATCATACACATCGTAATATATCGCGGTCAACATCGCGAAAGCGGGCTGGTAGCCAGGCGTGCCTGAATCTTTGGTCGAGTGATCGCATCCTTGATTCGGTCTGATTATAATTCTTGGTTTGTCATCACTTAAACAGGAAACGTCAACCATTCGGACCATCTTCACCGGATTCCTATTGACGTAAAGTTATCAATCTGTGACGTCATGAACAATAGATGACCTCATATCGTACTTTCTAAAAAACATTCGGCACCTCATTTCGCTTAAACTAATCAATCAGACGCAAATAGTTAAATGCACGTGCAGATATCGGAAAGTTGTTTCAGTCCCTCCTTCTAACCTATATTCTCTAAATATTCCCCGGGACGGTCGGGTAGCCTAGTGTTTAAAGCGTTCGCTCGTCACGCCGAACACCCGGGTTCGATTCCCGACATGGGTACAATGTGTAAAACCCATTTCTGGTGTCCCCTGCCGTGATATTGCTCGAACATTGCTAAAAGCGGCATAAAACCATACTGACTCACTAGATATTCTCCAAATATTTATTTCAGACAGCTTCTACGTCAAAGGTTCAGCCGGCCTAGGTCTTTGCAGTATCTTCGTCAAAGGAGAAGGGTATGAACAACAGTCAACCAAGTGTGAGAACGCCAATTACTTTGTTTGCCAGAAAAGTTGAACTTTCAAATAAAGAATAAACAAATAATAATATACTCTTCGTACTGTGTTGTCTGCATCGATTGTACATTGTTTCACACCCATGGAGATCCGGGGTTGAATAGGTCTTCAGCTACCCATGTACCCATGCTTGCTGTAAAGAGGCGACTAATGGGATTTGGCTGTCAGTCTCGCTGACTTGGTTAATGCATGTCATGTATCCCAATTGCATGAATTGATGTTCATGATGTCAATCACTGGGTTGTCTGGTCCAGACTCGATTATTTACAGACCGCCGTCGTATAGCTGGAATATTGAGTTCGGCGTTTAACAGCAAAATAACAAACATTGTTCAAGCTTGAGAGCAGAGTCATTCAGTGACCTACATTTGCGTGAAGTCACCTAAATTTTCATTTGACTTGTGTATAAAAAGGATTGTGACGGGGACTTCGATATTCCGTCAACCCAAATTCTGGCACCCGGTTTTTTTACATTAAATTTCTTATTTACCATTTAAACAGACAATCACGCAACGAAAGTTGGTTATTGAGGAGAAAAGACTACTGTGTTTTGAAATTTGATATAGTCCCACTGTAGTGTAGATCTATACCTCTTGCTTTAATTCGGCACCGCTTTAGCTCGAGGTTACAATTGTATAAATAAGAGGTATCTACTCTACTGTGGGACGACATCAAATTTCAAAACACAGTAGGTTTATCTCCATTCTGTCACGACGGCAAGAGCGCTTTGAAAACGGTGCTCTCTTGCAAGGCGTTACAACACAGGGTACAAAGGTCCTATCTTAGAACACTCTGAAAAGGGGTCATGAGTAGTTATATATACAACAAATATCACTAAAGTTCAACTTTAAAATACTCATAGTCTTAACTAGTTTAAAATAAGTGTTAAAAACACATAATTTTTTTCAAAAGGAAGTTGACAAATAAACCTCCAAACTTAGTCCAAAGATATGTTTTAACTTCATTGCAACCTGCTGTGCACTGTTTAGATTTTACAAGTCACATCTTGAAAATCAGCGCGACAAGCCATTTCTTGGAAATCGAGTATGCCATTTCCCTTTGAAGGTGTGAAAGGTTGTAGATAGAGTTTAAAAAATGATGAAGCGAATATATTTCTCAAAAAACGTTATGAATTAACATTCTACTATTTATTTTACAGTGTAAGTCTTATTAGGTACTTAGCAATTACCCCGAGTAAATAATAAACAAATCAAAATATATGCCTCTCCATCCCGAACTTGGATGTGGCAGAACATGACCTACATGACGGTTACTGACTACTCACAACTGTCAATGGCTGCCAATGTTGTTGTTTACATTCTCACGCCTCAGACATGTTACAGGAAGAAACATGACAACCCCTATCAATGGTGTGGTTCAACATTAACCTGTAGATTAACTGGGAATGAGCCTGCTGGTACTACACAATTTATCAATTTACCAACTGGAGTATGACTGATTACAAAATGGTTTGTAAAATTTATCTTGTCATGAATTAAAAAAAAATCAAACTCTTCCGGATAATGTTATATTTTACTTTCATTGTCGGTTGTTTCAATGAGGAAAGTGCGTGTTCCAAGTCTGTTCACCATCAAACATCTCCCTAACAGTTTCATAAACATTTCATTTGTATGCAAAAGATATTCATGCTTACCAAAATCTTGTAATCTCATCATCGAAGCAGTCAGATTTACAGCCTAGAACATCTTATTGTCGACAAAAACATCCAATATCAAACTACCGTATTTCCTCTATTAGACGCTAGACTCTCTATTTATTTCACGAGAGTCGTTGACCCAGCGTGTATTAGAGACCTGGCTTGTATTAGAGACCCATCGAGTAACAGAGGAAATATCGATACGTTTTACAGTTCTTGTGGGTGATTGATCGGCAGCCAATTTTTATGAATCGATATGTAGGCTATCGATGTATACATACTCACTTTTTTGTGTGAAAAGACTTAATGTATTTAAAAGGAGTTTCCTTAGCAAAAGGGAAACCTCTTTTTAACCAATCAGATATCAAGCATTATTCAATGTGATGGAGGAATATCGAATATTAATCATTGACCTAACTAAAAATACCAGTTTTATATTATATCATGTCCGAACAAAAATCCTTACTTCACTGTTATCATGTAAGTTTGTGACATTTGACTTCACCCTGTAGTGTTGTTTAAGAACAGACGATTTAACGTCTCACAACAATGACATAATGTGTCCCAAACATGCTTGCTTCATGCATGACCATCACAAACAAGCTGGTGGGAATTGCTGGTCCGCCTGAAATATTACTGGTCACGGGATAACGGGATAAAGGTCATTTTGAGGTCATCTGTATGGCGTAAAGACTAAATATGCCTCCGCTGGTCTCCCTGGAAATGTTCTATTAAATAAGACCTGATCAATGTGTTTTGAACAAATGAAGATTTGTGAAATAACTTTATTGATAATTGTTTGGGTTTCCAGGTCCGTAGTTCCAAATTTCTAAAATGTGAAATTGTTCTCTTGCAGAGAGTCTGTTATTTCTGTAATTGAACAAATCATACAAGAAAGCCATGTTGCCGCTTTGACTTGTCATTCCGAAAAAGAAATCTTTCACCTTTATATTTAACACATCTGAAAAAAAATTAAGAAATCCGTAAAATAACAAATGTTTTAGGAATTCTGTTTCGTTTTTCATATTTCGACAACTGACCCGTCTTTATTAAATAAGATATCAGTTGGGTGTGTGTCTGGTTTGAGATCAGCATTTTCGTTCTTAATGGTTTGGAGCTCAATTATTAATAGGTGCTTAATTTGTTGGGTTTTTTTAATTATAAATAAAGCAATCGAACTGTAATTCGTGCCTTTTTTCTTTGATGAGTTCTTCCCACCTCTCAGCATCCAGTGACCTCAAGTCTTCTTTTTCTGAAGGCGCACGACTGTCTCCATGGTCTAGCGGTAGAGCGTCTGGTCCGAGAGCGGAAGGCCCGGGGGTTCGATCCCGGTCGCGTCATACCAGAAGACGTTAAAAGATGATAATTGTTGTTATCCTGCCTGGCGTTCGGCATTAAGGGGCTAAAACAAGGAAGCAGTATACTGTTTCTGGGTTGGGTATTCATGTTAAACTACGGCATATGGTATCCCAGTGGGCATTAGTCGACTTTAACAAGCAGCCACACACACATGTGCATGCACGTCTCTATATAAGTGCAATAATCTTGAACGCGACGTTAAGCACCATTTCACCTCATATCACCCTAAGGCGCTTGCCATAAAGGAGGTCCTTTGAAGAGTGAGAGTTGGATTTTACACCGCCTTTCACTGCGCCTGAAACAAATATATCCAATGCAGATCATGCAAGTCTATAATAGTGGGCAAGTCTAAATTACTGCAGTTTCAATTATGAGTCTCTTGGCTCCTTTTATTATTATTTTTAAAGGTAAAGAAACAACTGTTTTCTTCTGTAAAATATGTTCATTTCAGAGACTAGATGTTAGTCTGGATCGTGGCATGGGAAAGAACTTGTGTTTGTAACCCTGTCACTCAACGTAATTCCGAGGATGCGCCTTAGGCTGCACATGTGGAAGGTGGCACATTTTCAGTGATAAATTTCACGGATCAAAATGATCAAAACAAAGACATGCAAACCATTTGTCGTGAAACACGTACAATTCGGAAAAATGCACCCAGTGCATTAACCAAATGCCCATGGAGCTGCACGTAATGCATGACTGTGCAGCAGCACTTTGAACGGTATTAAAGTGCATGGTTTTTTATGCCTGGCATCTGTGTTAATCGAACAGTGACAGTTCAACAACATGCCAAGATTAACAGAAGTGCAAAGAGCAAAGAAACAACGCCATAGGGCGATTGCAGGCAGGGGAGTCCCTATCAGCTGTAACCAGGCTTTTCAATATAGAGCAAGGCACCATCACATCGCCCGTTGCAGATTTCAGAGGCACCGTCTTGATTGGTTAGAAAGAGGTTTCCTTTTTGCTAAGGAAACCCCTTTTAAATGCATTAAGCCTTTTCACACAAAAAAGTGAGCATGTATACATTGATAGCCTACCGTTTCAATTAAAATGGCTGCCGATCGATCTCCCAAAGGAACTGTAAAACGTATCGATATTTCCTCTGTTACTCGATGGGTCTCTAATACAAGCCAGGTCTCCAATACACGCTGGGTCAACGACTCTCGCGAAAATAGCAGATGATCTAGCGTCTAATAGAGGAAATACGGTAGTTTGATATTGGATGTTTTTGGCGACGATATGATGTTCTAGGCTGTAAATCTGACTGCTTCGATGAAGAGATTTTAGTAAGCAGGGATATCTTTTGCATAGAAATGTTCGAAGGTCATCAGACTCGGAACACGCAATTTCCTCATTGAAACAACCGACAATGAAAGTAAAATATAACATTATCCGAAAGAGTTTGATTTTTTTTATATTCATGACAACATGTTGTTTACAAACCATTTTGTAATCAGTCATTCTCCAGTTGGTAAATTGGTAAATTGTGTTGTACCAGCAGGCTCATTCCCAGTAAATCTACAGGTTAATGTTGAACCACACCATTGATAGGGGTTGTCATGTTTCTTCCTGTAACATGTCTGAGGCGTGAGAATGTAAACAACAACATTGGCAGCCATTGACAGTTGTGAGTAGTGAGTTACCGTGATGTAGGTCAAGTTCTGCCACATCCAAGTTCGGGGTGGAGAGGCATTTACCGGGGGGTATATTGATTTTTTTATCATTTACTCAGGGTAATTGCTAACTAAGTTAAAACATATCTTTGGACTAAGTTTGGAGGCTTATTTTCAACTTCCTTTAGAAAAATACTATGTGTTTTGAACACTTATTTTAAACTAGTTAAGACTATGAGTATTTTAAAGTTGAACTTTAGTAATATGTGTTGTATATACAACTACCTATGACCCCTTTTCGGAATGTTCTAAGATAGGACCTTTGTACCCTGTGTTGTAACGCCTTGCAAGAGACCACCGTTTTCAAAGCGCTGTTGCCGTCCTGATAGAATGGAGATAAACCTACTGGTTTTGAAATTTGATGTCGTCCCCCTGTAGAGTAGATACCTCTTATTTATACATTTGTAACCTCGAGCTAAAGCGGTGCCGAATTAAAGCAAGAGGTATAGATCTACACTACAGTGGGACTATATCAAATTTCAAAACACAGTAGTCTTTTCTCCTAAATTACCAACTTTCGTTGCGTGATTGTCTGTTTAAAGGGTAAATAAGAAATTTAATGTAAAAAAACCGGGTGCCAGAATTTGGGTTGACGGAATATCGAAGTCCCCGTCACAATCCTTTTTATACACAAGTCAAATGACAATTTAGGTGACTTCACGCAAATGTAGGTTACTGAATAACTCTACTCACCAAACTGGAACAATGTTTGTTATTTTGCTGTTAAACGCCGAACTCAGCAATATCCCAGCTATACGACGGCGGTCTGTAAATAATCGAGTCTGGACCAGACAATCAGCCTCTTACGACAAGCATAGTCGCCTTTTAGGGCAAGCATTGGTTGCTGAAGACCTATTCTACCCAGCGTCGTCACGGTTCGCAGAGAATATGAATATTGCACCGCAAATGAAAAGACTTAACGAATCTGTGATACCTATAGTTGAACCTACTCCACCATTTTGTTTGTTTGTTGTTTAACGCCGCACTCAGGACTATTCCAGCTATACGGTGGTGTGTACATATTCGTGTCTGAACCAGAGAATCCAGTGACTGATATCATGAGCATCGATCTACGCAATTGGAAAAAAAGATTACATGCATCAACCATGTCAGCGAGCCTGACCACCCGATCCCGTTAGTCGTCTCTTACGAAAAGCATGTGCTGCTGAAAACAAATTCCAACCCAGACGGGGCCTGCTCCATCAAAGCGCTCGCACAGCAAGTCAAGATCTTCCCATGCAACATCTGCTCAAGGTAATTCAAATCTGCAGGTTATGAACCAGTGAGGTATTATGTAACAGATCACGGGAGAGATGAAAGTAACACTGATTTTGCGTTGACCATCGGTCAATGTAACATATTGCTTTGGCACTTGACAGTGGAGTGAAATTCTTAAGGTGGCTAATTAATGGGCTGGTCATAGATTAAAGTTAAGACGTAGACTATAAAACGTCCTGACCCAGAGCTGGAGGATACATTGCTTTTTCATACGACAATGATCCAGTACCTTCTCATCGCAGCCCTGGTTGGCAGTGGTAAGTATAAACACGTCCTACTTTATTGTAAAGATCAACAACTTTTTACAAGTTAACAACGACTCTCAAATCATAACATGTCTAACTGAGATTACCCCTGTGGTCTAGTGGTAGAGCGTCCGCCCGGAGAGCGGAAGGTCCGGGGTTCGAGCCGCGTCATACCAAAAGACGTCAAAAGGTGGTACCTGTTGTTACCCTGTCTGGCGCTCGGAATTGGGGGGCTAAAACAAGGACTGGTCGACATGGAGTCAGTATACTGTGTCTGAGTGGGGTATTCATGTTAAACTGCGGCATGTTATCCCAGTGGGCTAGCACTATAAATCGACATCAATCTGGACTAGTACAAGCAGACATTAACTCACACACACGTGCATGCACGTCGCGACATAAGTGCAATAATCTTGGACGCGACGTTAAACCCAATTTCACCTCTCCTCATCTGAGCTGAAGTAGAGAATTGCTTGCTTCAAAAAGGAATAATAAGTACGTTTTGTTACACATAATATATTCAGGGATCCTATTGGTATAGCCATCGTATTTGTTAAAGTGCTATCCTGTTACACATAGTGACTTGTTTTCATCGGGAGGTCCATTTTCCAGATTACAGGGGTCCTTACCAACAAGGTTTCACTATGAGCTTTTCTGGCACTTTGTTTCAGCCACCGCAACAAACTTCGCCCTTGGTAAACCAGCCACGACCAGCAGCACATGGGTTTCGTATAACGGCTCCCTCGCCACTGACGGCAACACCGACGGTGACTGGAAATCCGAGTCCTGCTTCGCTACAAACATACAAGACTCAGATCCTTGGTGGATGGTGGATCTGGAGCAGGTTATCACCGTCGACAATGTCGTTATCTACAACAGAGCAGACTGCTGCGGTACGTTCATTGCAACCACAGAGAAAATGACTGAATGTCGTTATACGCCGCAGCCAGCAAAATTGCAACAATATTAGAGTGGCTTCAATTTTTCCTTTGCTATTTCTATTCTTTTACCAATCAGTGCTAACTTACCCCGGCCTTCCGTTTTCCCATTGTTCCTTTGCCAACTACCAGACAGTGATAATTTAGTCCTGGCTTCCAGGTGTGCATAACTATCAGCGCTAATTACTGTAGAGTGTTGGCTTCCATTGTCTATTGCTAATCACCTATCGTTGTTATCTTATTACCTTTGTTGTACTTACGGGTACATATATGTGCTCTCTGGCTCATAGCATTCGACAGCTGCTCGAACGTATATAAACAGAGCAGCCAAGGATAAAAATGAAATCAAAACAATATATTAAAATAGAAATCATATCAATGCAAAAACAGAAATTATGTGAACACCGAACTCACAATAGATATGTGAACCCTTCTCACACACAGGAGTCCCAAAGAGGGACAGGTCAGCCGAAATTGCCTTGGCAGAAGGCGACCTCTTAAAAACCTAATGCAACAACAACAACATCATAGCATTCATTCACCTGATGAAGGAGTAAGCATATACTCCGAAACGTTGTGATCCTCATAATAAAGAAGTTGACATCCATAAATTATCTTCCTTATATTAGAGTGGCTGCAATTAATGAAGTCTTCCCCCGTTAAAGTTCCGGGTTGGAATTGGTCTTCAGCATCCCATGCTTGTCGCGTCTTACACGTATCTGCTGCTGGACCGTTCTTATCCGTAATCCCCAACGGGTATATTCTCAGCTAGAATTCCCATTTCATTTGACGTTAAATGATTATGATTAATGTTATGATTTAGCGTAAAATGCGTAAAAAGACATTAATTACCCTCAAACGTGGCCCATTGGCTACTTTCCCGCATTCTCTGACACTCCGCGGTTAGGCTGTCATAATAATGTTCAAAGAGCCTTTTATTCATATATCTTCTTCAGGTGAGAGGCTTCAGAGGCTGACTGTAACGGTGTACACTGAGAACCCTGACGTCGTTAGTGACGCTGAAGGAACGCCGTGTGCGACGTTCGAGGGGCCAGCTGATGACGAAGATGTCGTAACCCTTCAGTGCGAGGGCGAAGTTAGCGGAAGATATATACGCATCACTAAGCAGAAGAGCTTGGAGAACGAGTTGGACCTTCTTAGTTTCTGTGAAGTGGAAGTAACAGGTATGAGTATAGGGCACGCTTCCGATCCACACAGCGTTAGTAGTGCTGTGATAGTCTAAATACAACTTCTTATTTACGACTGTCGTAAGGCTACGAACGCTTTGTGGATGGGGATCCAGAATTAGACAATTGTCGACGTCATTACAAAATATCTTCATTTCAAATGACGTTATTATTGGTGAAAACGTCAACAATGATGTAAGGCGAGTGAAATTATGATTCTTCCACGACGTTTTCGAATCCGGCATTCTGATTGGTCTCCCAGGGGTGTCGAATATACGTTCGAAACTTCTCAATTGAAAAAAACCCAGTAGCCTAACTTCCTAATCATAATTATAACTTTGTCCACACAAACTCGTGTTTACCGAATAAATGCATCTTTCAATCAATTTACATCTTCTTAAAATAACCCATGATATCAAATCAGAAGATTACTATGAACTCAGTGTAACATTGTTTGTTCTAAAACCCTGCAATCCTGACGATCACTTACAGAAACGTCTACCTGTTCCCGTGTTATGGGGGGGGGGGGGGGGGGGGGGGGGGCACGGGTGGCCCAGTCGTCTAAGGCGCCGCGATTCGCTGTGCAGAGTTGCGTCCCCCTGGGCACGCCAGAAACCTATGATTGTGGGTTCGAATCCCGGTTCGCCCCGATTATGTTTCTAGGTTTGTCAGCACCATACCCGTGCTCGTGGGTTTCACCGAAGTGGTAACCGTCTGAGACCTGCATCACTTCGGGCTTTCCTCCCACATTAAGCCGACAACCGCGATATAACTGTAATACTGTTAAAAGCGGCGTTAAACCAAACTCACCCACTCACTCCCGTGTTATGGGTTTCGGGCGCTTAAGAAACATTCGTAGTTTTCTCGCTAATCACAAGAACTGTAAAACATCTCACTCACTTATAAAAGACGACTTTATTTTAAAAACCTGCCATCATCTGAGTATATTTACAATGTCTGTGTGACGGCACACCCGCTGTTATAGCGCGAGTAATCGCGATAAACATGGCCGTCCGATACCGCATGATGCCCGAAACTGTATGATCCGACGATACATATTCAAAACTCCATACCCAGGACTCGTTTATCCGGAATACGGTTAATCGGGTCGACGTCACAAAGAACAGTTCTGGGAGTAAAGGGATTTCACTGTACAACAAAAACCGAATGAACTATATTATCACGACAGTATCGCAGAATGACATTCATTCCTTCGATAACGTTTATCACCATTTAGGGGAATAAGATATATGCCTTCTACTTTCCTAAATTACTGTTCGTTAATTATGATCAAATTAATGTCAACGGTGAAATGCTATATGATTGAGTGAATGGGTATGATTTTACGCCGCAATTATCCAGCAAATCACGGCGGGGGACACCGACAATTGGCTCCACACATTATACCCACGTGGGTAATAGAACCCGGGCCTTCAGCGGAACGAGCGAACGCTTTAACCACTAGGCTACTTCGCCGCCCCTTCAACATGGAGGGGTGGAGATCTATTCATAATGTGTATACTTATATTGCACTGTACTCAATACACAAGGTGCATGTTCAAAGCCCTAAAATTGTTTTCCCGGTCAATAGATCAGTGTGAACTCGTTTCTCGTTCTCAGCTCCCTTGGAAGTATACAAGCTATTGAAGTTAACCTGCCACATAACCATCTCATCCTACCCATTCACTGCTGGGTGAACAGATCTATAATTGAATACTTTGTATAGAAACCCTGAATATATGTTTTCTATTTCGTGCTAAAATCATTTCTGTACAATTCCAGCCAAGTGTCCTTCCGGGTTTTCCCCAATAGACACCGAGTGCCTGAGGTTTGTCCCGAGTTTCGCCACATTCGCCGAGGCCCTGGTAAGTGTTCAAGGACATAAGCAAATCTCTCGAGTTCCGTTTCGAAGGCGAGCTTGAAACAAGTAAATATTCGACACAAAATCGCCCTGGGACCTTTGGTATCACAAGTTAGATGCAGGAAGACCTTATGAACCGGATTCTCTTGACTCCATATACGTTAAAGGCGATGCAACTCTATGGTCCCTGCAGAATCCGTATCCACCCGGGCCCATTTGCACAAAACTGTCTCAGGTCTAAGACGATCGTAACTCCCATACTTTAACAAAGGCTTACGATAGTCGTAGCGCTTAGATCGTTGTACTTTGGGTGGCCCAGTCGTCTTGGATGCCGTCGTCGTTAATGACGCAGCAACTGCGTCAGCAATATTTATTGTTGGCACCCCATGTGCTTCGTTTTCACCATCTCTTTGAGTGATTGTCGTAATTGTTATCAATATTAATTTCAGTTATCAATACATATATATCACCCTATTATCATATGATATATATTACTTTTGCCTTGAGTATATGCAGAAACAGTTATCGTCCTGAAGACGGGTTTTTCTGGATTAACGAGGTTCCGTTGTAGTCAAGGTAAACCTTTGTTGCAGACGAACTGCGAGAGCATGCACTCACACCTGCTGATGATTAAGACGGAGAGCCTTGACAACGCCGTCAGAAACTATATGGTTGGAAACAAACTCAATGGTAAGTTTGTTTTATTACTACTAAGGTAGTTTGGCTTTGAATAGTTTACAAATATATTTTCACTGTTATGCGTCATTTATCGTGCCTTTTAAACGATTTTTTCAAAGGATTGTAAGTAAAGTTAAGGTTTTGTCCGGTACTTAACCGGTTTGGATATTTGAACACTAAAAGTACAACCCGGTGCCCTTGGTCGTCAGAGTCTGACAGATCAAGTGGTTTAGATTAATTAATTTCTGTAACTAATCCTGTTTGCGGAGAGATGGCGCTGTACGTAAGTCATCATTCAGACAAACGGGTTTGGGGCTATTATTTACATTATATGTTTCGAGAGAGGTTCCCAACGGTAAAGGTCCAGAGTACAGGGTTTCTTGATTAACGGGGTCGGGACTTACTGGTTAGCTCTATCCATCCAATAAGAACCAATCACATAAACGCCATATTATCCTAATCCCAGAGAGGGCGTTTTGTTAGCCGGGTGGTGTTCGCTCGTCAGGCCAAATGCCCAGGTTCGATTCCTACATAAGCACACCATTTCAAGTATTCCTCGTCGTGATATTGCTGGAACAAAGCGAAAAAATACATATAAAACGCGTCGTAAAAACACACTCACTCGTTGCTTTCAGACACATACTACGTGGGCGCCATGGACCTGGAGGAGACTGGAGTGTTTCAGTGGGTGGATGGTTCCACCGTCGACGTTCCCTGGAGAAGCAAGAACGCTGGCATCGGTGCCGCTGCAGTAGAAGAAATAAAGAATGCAGCATGTGGCTACTTGAACGGAGCCACCGGAGCTTGGCAAGCCATGTACTGTAGTGAACCTAACTTCTTCATCTGTCAGAGACCACTTTAGTGATTATTTCTTGGGGATTAAAATTGTGGAAAAGTTCATTGATGAGTTTGTATTCATTCATTGTCAGTTGAAAATATTTTTTTCCAATCTCATTAAAATCAGATCTTAGTTCTCGCTCCCGCTAAACAAAGATCTGAGGACATACCATTACGGGTCACGTCAGAACGATCTTTAAAACGGCCAATCAGAGCGGCGCTTACCGGATCGAGAAAGTGACAGTCGGAATGTGTTTTCTGACCATGCAACGTCGAAAAGGTGAACACGGGGTATTCCGAATGACAGACGTGCGAAGTTCCGGGGTAGATGTGGTCTTCAGCAACCCATGCTTGTCGTATGAGACAAAACGATGGCGATTTGACTTGTCTTATCAGATAGTTGATGTCCGCTATAGGCTGAGCTATTAAGTGCCATGTCCACCATCCACCCTCACACATGAAGATCCTTGTTAAAATTGGTCTTCAGCAACCGATGCTTTGCGTAAGTGGCTACTAACGGGATCGGGTGGCCAGGCCCTCTGACGTGGTTGAAACATGTCATCGTATCCCAATAACGTGGATCGATGCTGTCAATCACTGGATTGTCTGGTCCAGACTCGATTACTTACAAACCGCCATCATGTAACTGGGATATTGCTCATTGCGGAGTGAAACAAAACACCCACTTAGAGGGTCCAGAAATTTAGTTGTTCGAGATAACGCAGATACATCTTTGAAAATGTGTGGTGACTGCATAGTTTTCAGAAATAAAGTCTTGGCTACAGTTTTGACCACATATGACTCATGAGGCCCAGTCGTGTAAGGCGCCGCAATTCGCTGTGCAGAGTTATGTCCCTTATGTCCCTTGTGAGTTCGAATCTTGGCTCGCCCCGGGTATGTTTCTAGGTTTGTCAGCACCATACCCGTGCTCGTCGGTTTCACCAAACTGGTAAACGACTGAGACCCGATTCCAACTCGCTCACTACCTGTTGGAAAGGTTCGCCGCCTCTTTCTGATTTAACAAGACACAATCGAGAAGACATTGTTGGGAAATTGGTTCCACGTTGTTAACATGAAGAACCCCATGTTGTCATGCAGGTCCTTGAACAGCCAATCTAAAAGCGATTTTAGCATTTGTGCAAATAGCACATTCAGCAACATCATTCATAACATCTGTTGGTTTGATTTACATTGACATGATATCCCAAAGATAACATCTGACGGTAAAGTGAGTGAGTGAGTATGGTTTAACGTCGCTTTTAGCAATATTCCAGCAATATCACGACGGGGGACACCAGAAATGGGCTTCACACATTGTACCCATGTCGGGAATCGAACCCGGGTCTTCGGCGTGATGAGCGAACGCTTTAACCACTAGGCTACCCGACCGCCCCTCTGACGGTAAAGACATGGAGGCGCCAATGAACATTCCGCATGTAGAAACTGTTATATTTGGGATAAAACTTTCTTTGTGAAGTACAAGTTATAGTACTTCAATGGGTTATTCGAACCCACACTCTCAGAGTGAGACACCTAATCAGCACACAAAGTCAGTGTTCTCACCCACACAGCCACCGAGGCTTCCACAAAATAAAAATCCGACAACTGCTTTGTCTAGATCCCGTGCTTGGTGTAACCCTCTGACAAGGGTAAATTGGCACGGCTCCCATGGCCGAAAGCTATGAACACACAAAGCCATTTAGAAAGTCATATGTGTCAAATGTTATATTTGGGATAACACTTTCTTAGTAAAAGTACTAGAATCTGTACTTAACTCAGAAAGTGTTATATCCAAATATAACATTTGTTACATTTGACCGCTCTCTAAATGGCATTGTTTTGTCATTCAGCATGAACATGGGAAACTGAAGTTGTTGAAAACCCTCCTGTGCACACGCTTCAAGGAGTTGGACTGAAAAGGGTTTGCTAAATGACACTTCATGAAAACATTTATGGAAATATGGCAAACATACTCATAGCCTGGATGAATTCAGTGACTATTTGATAGTGATTTATAAACACGTGCCCATGATATAGTCGGACTCGTGCAATACACACGGATTTTAGCAGAGATTTCTTATAAATATATACCCACACGCAAAAGAAACGCAAGTGGTTTTAAGCAAATAGGTAACAAACACGGAACCCTAAATTGATACGAGTTTTAGCATGTAGTGAAGCCTGATGGTGTTATCAATATTTTTGGTTGCATTTTGGAAGTAAAACGCAACATAAAAAAACGAATCGCCAAAAACGCACGATTTCAATGAATATGTGGGTATCATGCACCCATTTCTCGCGAAATTGAAAATGCACGAACTGTCACGAACTGTAGTGGGTATAAAACTGTTGCCGATTCTTTGACCTACCACTCCTTGGTCAACAATGCCACGCCTAACTCAAATTCAGAGAAACCAGGCTATCGGACGTTTGGAAGCTGGAGAGTCTGTTCAAGATGTTGCCCGTCATTTCAACGTAAACATAACCACAATTTACCGTCTCCTGCATCGATAAAATGCTACACAGACCACAGATGACCTTCCTCGGAGCGGTCGTCCTAGGGTCACCACACCTCGACAAGATCGGCAGGTTACCCGTCAACACCAGCAACATCTGTTCCTAACTGCAAGTTAAAGTGCTCGACAGACCATAGGAACACATAATCAACACATTAGCCGGGACACTGTGAACCGACGTCTCTGTTCAAACAACCTCAGATGTGGCCGACCAGCACGTCGTCCTGTTCTCCAACCACGGCATCGACAAGCATGACTTCAGTGGGCACAGGGTCATCACAATTGGCGTCATCCCGAGTGGAAGCTGACATCTTCTCTGATGAAAGTCGCTATTTTGTCTCCCATGCAAACGGACGAGTCAGAATTTGGAGGCGTCGAGGTGATCGTTTCGCTGACAGAAACGTTGTGGAAAGGGATCCATGGGGTGGACCTAGCGTCATGATATAGGCAGGGATTGGACTTAATGCGAGACTTGGACCCATGTGCTTTCTGAATGTTGGTCAAGCTCGGTGACACGGCGTCACTGCTCAGCGGTATATCGACCAAGTGATCAGACCCCACGTTGTTCCATTTTTTGCACATCAACAACACAATTTCCAGCAGGACAACGCTCGTCCCCATGTTGCCAGAGCTACCATGGTCTTTCTGCAACAACACAAACTCCGTGTTCTACCGTGGCTAGCCCTCAGCCCTGATCTGAACCCAATCGAACACTTGTGGGATGAGGTTCAAGGGCGTCTGCACAATGTGCGCCCAGTCCCTACAACTGCCGATGATCTACGCACAGCTGCTCTGGATGTGTGCAGGGGGATCCCTAGGGCCTTCACAAATCGTCTGATCCACTCAATGTACAGGAGATGTGTGGCAGTGATCAATGCTAATGGTGGTCACACAAGGTATTGATTGACATTTTGGGTATTGACCCGAAACTGTGTAAGCCCTTAACATTTGAAAAAAACAATTATGCCATCTACCTTTTAATCCATTAAACTGTCTTCAGTCAAATATTTGTCAATCTTGCCCTATTAGTATTTCTTGTCTTTACTGTTGAAAATAAATAACATGTATACTGCATACTCGACTTGCGTTTCTTTTGCGTGTGAGTATAGAAAGTGTTTTGTCGGTTTTAATTGTATGGAATCAGCATGGACGATTTGTCTGCTCCCCATGTGGTCTTAGATACACATTTCAGTAGATTTATTATTTTGTTACAACTAGTAGCTGTGCAATGTGATTGGGCTTTGTAAGCCGTTGGTGAAAATAGACACCCAGAAATTTGAATTCAGATACAAAAATAATTGGATTAGGCCCAAGCTTGAATTAAATATCTTGAGGGATGTCTCTTCTTGTAAAGAACATAGCTACTGACTTTGCATGGGAGATTTTGCAACCTCACTTCAGACACCACATATTGGTTACATCCGGGTATTTATGTATGAAATCTACAATGTGTGGAAGATTGCCGAATCTAATCAAAGGCTCCCCCAGCAACAAGCTGGGATGCATCAGAAGGCCAGATATCCAGTCATATGTCATTGCCACTTTCATGAATCCTCGGATTTGCAGTGTTCAGAAAAACACATCGTTTTCGTTAGATATCACCATGCCGTGTCTTAGTGAAAATGACATGTTTAGCCAAGGATTGTTTGAATCCTGTATCTCGCGGCTCTAATCACGTCCATTCATGTCCACAGCAACACCGTTATGACACCTTCGGCGACGTCAACAACATCAGAGATCGTCCCCGTAGTGGCCACTCACCCATGATAACCCTCACCAAGAAATATGGATTTGAACCGCGCATCTTCGACACAGGTTCCAGACAGCAACTTGCACAGCCATGGCAACGAGACGCATCTGCAAGGACAGTCCCATGGCGTCTATGCATCTATGCATCACCAAGGAGTAGCCAATCCCGGAACATTCGGAGAAAGGAGCAGGGTGACACGAACGGTAGAGTGGCCTAAGGCTCCCGCTATAATTTCTATACAGGTTCTACTACACCAAACCAGCCTTCAGTGCAGATCGAGAGATATCTGCAGGCTGTGATTGGAGGATATTCTGTAAGATTTTTATCTTTTTCAAATGTACATCCATCCAGTTATTAAAACTGACCATGTTTTTCTATATTTAGTACTGTCTTTTTCAACATGATGACTTATGCTGAATGTGACCACAGCTATTTTCAAGTAGGTGACATTTGGTGCGAAACTGGGGGTGGTACTTAGCTTCCGGTACTCGGAAAAGGAGCTGGCTAAGCTAGTCATTTTTATTTTTTTTATTCCTGCTCTAAAGCCAAACTGTGCACACACGTACAGGTAATAGCTGTTGAATGCTTAGTTATTTTTTTTTAAAAATATAACGTTACTATAGAAGTCTATGGGAAAACACTTGGTTGTGTGTAACCTATAGTAAATGCAACCCGACGCGTTGAAAATAGTTGCTGCTGAATTCCTTTCACGGCGTCATATTTTGCACGCAGGGTAATCCTCCCCCACCCACCCCATGCTTCCTGTATGTAGGTTTGTGTGTTTCTGTGTCTATTCATATATGTATGTACCTGGGGTTCTACATGATGTCTCTAGCTATCAACTATCATTTTTCTATGTTTTATGTATTTTGTTCATGCATTCAGTCTTATTGTTTATGTAACTGTTTATATATCATATATCAAATTATATTTCATTTAATTAAAATATGAATCTGGATTTGAAAGAAAGAATCAATTGTAAATATATATTTCTACTATTACTATATGTATTGCAAACAAATTTTATATTTGGGATTCTTTGTACAGATTCTAGTTTTTCTTGGGTTCAGTCCCATCCGGGATACATGTATTTCCTTTTTTAACATTTATAAATTGCATTTGTTTTTTTCTGTTAATTTAAAATTTACATCCACATTAATGTTTCATAATGCAACTTCGCATACAGTTTTAGAAATCGAAGTTCACTACGCATCGCACTAAATGAACGGTCATCGTGTGAATCAAGCCTAATTCGTCACGAACCTCAAAGGTCTTTCTGGTTGTGATTTTGGATCCGAAATACGACCCAGTTAAGGAACTATAAGTGTCAGAGTTGGACACCATCGATCGATACGCATAGGCTGGGAGACTTAACATTACACGTGACGTAAATATGTTCCAGTGGAATTAACTTTCTGCAAAGGACACAAACAAACCCCATTGAAGTAGAGCAAGGTGATATAAGCCATAAAGCAGCGCTTGGAATGAACGCTCGATATCTACCTCTAAGCTGACACGTCGTGATTGTATCGCGAGGACTCAAAAATGAAACCAAAGACAATGTTTTCAGCGGATGTATTTATTAAACAGCAAACAAATTTTCATACACAGGTGAACACAGGTGAGGCATGAAATTCACCTTTGCGCACGATATATGTTAAGTCCGCGACAGTGTACACATTTTCCACAAATCACTGTTGACAGATAAAGAAGTTAGGCTCGCTGCAAGGCATTGCTTCCCAATTGTATGTGCTGGTGGTGTTGAGATAGCCACACCCAGACTCCTGCGTCTGCCCCGGGAGCAGAGTGGCGCGGGGGCCGGCTGGGTGCCACGGGGATACAACCAAGCTGCCGTCAACCCAGTGGTACACATCGTCGTCCTCCATGTCGCTGGCGCCAACGTAGTAGTTGTGGCCTGAAAGTAAGTGGCGTTATAGATGAGGTATTAAATAACAAATATACGTGGAGTTGGGTTTTACGCCGCTTTGAACAGTATTTCATTTATATCACCGTAAAACCTGAATTAATGAGGGTCATAAACCTTTACTCCTTTGGTGAAAGCTACGAGAAATTTGTTCAAATGCATGTTGATATTTTGATTGTTCAGTTACATAAATATAATTTGCTTTGACTTTCTTTTAAACTCGACCCGTCCAGTTGTTCACAGAGGTAGTGCATGTCTTTTGGACTTAACGCTGCACTCAGCAATATTCTAGCTATATGACGGCGGTCTGGAAATATCGAGTCTAGACCACACAATCCAGTGGTTGACATCATCAACAGCGATCCACGCAATTGGGATACGATGACATGCTTCAACCAAGTCAGCGAACTTGACCACTCGATCCCGTTAGTAGACAAGCATAGTCGCCTTTTACGGCAAGCACGGGTTGCTGAAGACCTATTCTACCCCGGATCTTCACAGGTCTAGAGGTAGTGTACACATATAGTCTTAATAAAGTGAGACAGCTTGAGAGTATTTAACTGGATTACCTCCCTTTTCTAACTATAGCTTGTTTGTTTTTTGTTTTTGTTTGTTCTTTGGTTAACGCCGCACTCAGCACTATTCCAGCTAGACGGCGGTCTATAAATATTCGAGTCTAGACCAGACATTCCTGTGATTGACATCAGGAACATCGATCTACGCAATTGGGATATTTTGACATGCAGCAACCAATTGCCAGTCACTGAGACTCACCACCACTCGATCCCGTTAGTCGCCTCTTACGACAAGCAAGGGTTGCTGACTTCCAAATCTAACCCGGATCTTCACGGGTACGAACCATAACTAACAACAATTGTGCCTCTGCACCGGGTTCCATAAATTTGAAGTCTGTTTATGCCATATTTGAACTTTTTTGCACGAATTATTTCATGTGTTTACCGCCCAGTTCGTTGCCGGCGATGTAGGCTGCGATGGCGTTGTCGAAGTCCTCAGTCTTGATCATAAGGAGGTTGGAGTCCAGCATCTCGCAGTAGGTCTAAAACAGTGAGTGAGTGACTGAGTGAAGGTGGTATTTATGTTGAGTGGTATTTATGATGAGTCAGCCACAATCATTGGACCATGGTATGTTTTGTTAATACCTCACGTGTTTGTTTACACTACGTTCCTCAATCATCCGTGATTGCTTACGGCCTTGTCGGGCCTCGTCGGGCCTTGTACTTCTCGGTCTCCAATTCCGTGTCTAACCCTACGTTTTGTTTATTTTTGCGTTTTTTTCTTAAATAATACCCAACATCAATATAATAATTGTTTATCCAGTGGATCTTAGTCTGTCCCACAGTTCCCCAACTATATTGTTTCCCCTTCCGCCCAGCCCTAACAGCAATGCAATAACCCTAAACGAAGCAAGTCTAGATTTCATCAGGTCTCTGTATCCCGTCTCGCTGGGGCTCCTTTCAATTTAAAAGTAGTTACCTGGTTCAAATTATATATTTTCACAGATTCAACGTTAGCCTACCCGGACCTATTCGCTTCCATAGCCTCGTTTTAGAAGCGAGTGACGCCACCCGTTTCATGCCTCCTTATCCTATCAGTAACTCCATCCTATTGATTGGACGGCTCTGTTGCGGTAGCGAAATGCTCATAAAATAATGGCGATATTATGCACTGGAAAATTGAGGATGCAACAACCTTCATTATTAATTGTACTTTTATGATCCGTGTAATTGTAACCACGTCATTTATTTCCAGCCCTGGTCGTGGATAACTTACGATAGCCTCCGCGAAAGTTGCGTAGGTGGTGGAGAAGGCCAGGCACCGATCTTCAACATTGTTGAACCCCCTTGGACACACTGCAACATGAAGTGAGGGTTGTTTGTTTGTTTGTTGTAATGCCACAATCAGCAATATTCCAGCAGTATCGAGTCTGGACCAGACATCATAAACATCGACCTACGAAACTGGAATACGATGGTATCATCTACCTTCAAGTCATCGAGCCTGACCACCCGGACCCGTTAGTCGTCTTTTATTTCAACACTAAAAACAAATATTCCGAAATTGTCTATCGCGGCTGAACGTACAATCGAGGAATGATTACAAACTATCAGCCATTACGAGCACCTGATCAGTCGGCTATTTCAACATGGAGTGAGTGAGTATTGTTGTACGCCGCTTTTAGCAATATCGAGGCCGGGGACACCGGAAATGGGCTTCACACATTGTACCCATGTGGGGAATCTAACCCGGGTCTTCGGCGTGACGAGCGAACACTTTAACCACTCGGCTACTTCGCCGCCCCTTCAACATGGAGGGGTGGAGATCTATTCATAATGTCTATACTTATATTGCACTGTACTCAATACACAAGGTGCAAGCCCTAGCATTGTTATCCCGGTCAGTAGATCAGTGTGAATTCGTTTCTCGTTCTCAGCTCCCTGGGAAGTATACAAGCTATCGAAATTAACCTGCCACATTACCATCTTATCCTACCCATTCACTGCTGGGTGAACAGAGGTACATTTCGAGCAAAGTCACTTGCCTAAGGAGACACCACATGTGCTTCTGTTTGTTTGTTATTTAACGCCGCACTCCGCAATATGACGGCGGTCTGTAAATAATCGAGTCTGGACCAGACAATCCAGTGATTGACATGAGCATCGATCCACGCAATTGGGAAACGATGGCATGCATCAACCAAGTCAGCGAACCTGATCACAAGATCGCGTTAGGCGTCTCTTACGACAATCATGGGTTGCTAAAGACCAATTCAAACCTGGATCTTCACGGGTATCGATGGAATGCAGGTCCCGGTAGTCGCCTCTTACGACAAACATAGTCGCCTTTTAGGGCAAGCATGGCTTGCTGAAGACCTATTCTACCCCGGAATCTTCACGGGTCACATGTGCCTCTGTGGGGCAGGATCGAAGCTCAACACACTCAGGAGACAAGCTGCCGTACGCGGTCACCAATCCAACTATTCTCCGCGACCGACGTTGCTTAAGTTCACCTCATTTGTGACCTGTGCGCTGTGCACAGGACCACGTGGCGCCTACCCATTCTGTCCCGGATACCCCAGGTTTCACTCTACACATAATAGATCACCCTATTGCATGCTGTTGTCATGCGCCGGATATTGTCATCACTACTGTAGATTTAGCACGGCGACCTGTAAATAATCACGTCTGGAACAGGGAAACCAGTGACTGAAATGATGAGCAACTATCCACGCCACGTTGAAATGCAACGAGCCACAGGGCCTGACCACCAGGCTATATCCTTCTTCGACCAGTAGGTGATAATGGGCGTGCTCAGCTCGGCATCTCCTTGATCAATAGATCTGCAACTTCTATCCCTTACCATCAACATATCCAACGTTTCTGCCTTACCTCTGGGCTCCTTGGCTTCAATTGTGACCTCACAGAAGCTCATAAGTTCACCGTCCTTGACAATGCGGACGAACTGGCCTTTAACCCCCGCTGGGCAGTTGATGACCTTCACAGCGCCATTTGGTTGAGGTTCAGTGACCTCGCCGCACAGCTGACCTTCTGTGGAGGTGTCATTTCCGGGATTCTCAGAGTATACTCGGATCTCCAGATTATTTAACCTTGACCCTTAACAGAATGAACAGATATTATGATGACGTTGAATTGATCTTGTAAAACAGTATCATCACTTGCAAACCTTTGCTTTTCTTTTGCTGTATAATTAACGCTAAAAACATCCAAATTGAGTATAGACTTCGAGGTGTTTTGGCACAAAACATATCTTTATAAATTATGCTAAGATTTGAAAAAAATATAAGGGATATGTAAATGCAATAATTCTTTCGCTGGGGATTAAGGATAAAGAAATCAATTCTGAGTAGCTTTACCTCCTATCAATGCAGACATCATATATGTACTGGACATAAAGTGTCAAGCCTAACCGGAGAGTGAGTGTGATTTTATGAAGCTTTTAACACTATTCCACCAATGTCACTGTGAGGAACACACGAAATGGGCTCCAAAGAATTCACGCATGTTGGGAGTTGAACCAAGGCCTCCTACGGTGGCCCATAAGGGACATGGAGTCAATATTTTGATATTTCACTTACTTTCATCGTAACTTTTTGCAAATTAACACAATTTGTCATACAAATATGTGATAAGTCATGTATAAGTACAACCGAGAACATGGAAAATGTACTCTCAAGTAGCTATTGAATCGCTGAAATGTGAAGCGAAAATGTCAAAAACTAAAACGAAAATGTCAGAAACAAAAACGAAAAGGTCAAAAACAAAAGCGAAAATGTCAAAAACAACACCGGGGTAGAAATATTATCACCGCGGTGGAAATAGTTTTCTGCATTTTCATTTTAGTTTTTGACATTTTCGCTTTTGTTTTTTACCTTTTCGTTTTTGTTTTGGACATTTTCATTTTAGTTTTTGACATTTTCGCTACACTTTTCAGCGATTCAATATCTTCTTTATACATGATTTATCACATATTTGTATGACAAATCGTGTTAATTTGCAAAAGGTTACGATAACGGTAAGTGAAATATCAAAATATTGAATAATAACAGACTCCATGTCCCTTATGGGCCACCGTACCTTCCGCGTGACGAGCTAACGCTTTAACAACCAGCCTATAACATCGCCACTTTGGGGAGTGGAGGGTTGTCTTAGTATAGTCTGGTATAGAATTGGTTCAGACCATAGGCGAATGGTGAAATACGACTAAAATATGTTGGCGTTTTGTGAAATGCCTAAGTTAACATTTCAGTAATTTTACACATTGGCTGATTTTACACATTGGCTGTCATATATAAGATCATAGGTGCAATACTCGCTATGCTCGACTGTCCCAGACATCGCCACTAACGCTTACCACAGCAGTCGGCTCTGTTGTAGATGGTCACTGATGCGACAGGGAACGCTTGACCAAGGTCCACCATCCACCAGGGTTCATCGTCGTCGTCGGCGGAGAGGAAACAAGATTTCCCCTCATCAAAGTTGCCGTTTGTGTCTCCGTCAACAGCCCGACCTCCATTGAAGACTGACCAATAGCTGCTCTGGGTCACTGACCTGTTCAGGGCAAGGTTTGTAGCGGAGCTTCCTGGAAATCATGGCAAATATTTCTTAATGGGTAAGATAGGTTGTACGCCACATACAGCACTATTCTTGCATTATCAGGGCGGAGTGAGTGTGTTGAATTTAACGCCGCCCTGAACAGTATTTCTGTTATATCACAGCGTGTCAGCTTGATGTGGGAGGAAAGCCCGGAGTGATGCTGGTCTCAAACGTTTACCACTCTGGTGAAAGCCACGAGCATGGATATGGTGCTGACAAACCTAGAAATATAACCGGAACCACGATTCGAACCCACGATCTTACGATGCTTGCGTGCCCAAGGGACACAACTCTGCACAGCCAATTGCGGTGCCTTAACCTTAACCAATGATCATAGGAGTCGGGCTTGTCTGATGAAAGCGACTCTGCCAATTAAGGCTCACCGGATTCTAACTTGCTTTGTTGCAAGAAGGTTGTGAGAGGTTGAACAGTTTCAGGTGCCCGTTTCACGAAGCGATCTTAGGGGATCCTAACATTGAAAAAACAAGTGAAAACTGTTCTTTTGTGTCTTTTAGGCACAAGTGACCAGTGTTAATGAATAAAACACGGTAGAGAAATATACTCTTGTTAAACAGATAGCAACATTGACCTGCGGCTGTCGTAATGCTTTTAGAATTCGTCCATGGTGTAGTGGATAGAGCGTCTGCCTGGAGAGCGGAAGGTTGGTGGTTCGATCCCCGGACGCGTCATACAAAAAGACGTCGAAGCTAGTGAGGTGAGGTGAAATGGGGTTTAACGTCGCGTCCAAGATTATTGCACTTATATAGCGACGTGCATGCACGTGTATGTGTGTGTGTGGCTGCTTGTACTAGTCCGGACTGATGCCGATTTATAGTGCTAGCTCACTGAGATACCATGCCGCAGTTTAACATGAATACCCCACTCAGACACAGTATACTGACTCCGAGCCGACCAGTCCTTGTTTTAGCCCCTTAATGCCGAGCGCCAGACAGGGTAAAAACAAGTACAATCTTTTAACGTCTTTTTGTATGACGCGGCCCGGGATCGAACCCTGGACCTTCCGCTCTAGGGCGGACGCTCTACCACAAGACCACGGAGGCGGTCCTCGAAGCTAGTACTTGCTGTTACCCACATGGGTGCCGTTGTACAATACAATCTTAGCGCTACGACTGTCGTAAGTCTGTGTTATGGTACGCGATTTACGATCACCTCAGCGCTAAGATCGCTTTGTACAACCTCACCCTGGCCCTCGGCATTAAAGGGTTAAAACAAGAAGGACTGGTCGGCTCGGAGGCAGTATATTGTGTTTGAGTGGGGTATCCTTGTCAAACATGGTATCTCAGTTTTCTAGTCTGGATTAGTGCACACAGCCACGCACGGGCGCCATATATTCGTGCAATAACCACCTCACCTCACGTAACGCTTAAACCTCTTTGTGAAACGGGACCCTGCTTGGCCTCAAATTGTGGCCATGGTTAGAAATACATACCTCCAGCTATACAAAAAGCTGCTACTGCGATGAAGAATATCATGGTCCAGGCAGTGATGCTTGTGACATCGTTAATATTCTACCCTGTCTTATACCCTGCAGGCGACGACATACGCCGAGGGCTGTCACACTTCCGCAACGTTCATTTGGCACTATCGCGGACATCTTGATGCTGTGTGTTTATCTGCCTGTAAAGGTGCGAATCTCCGCTCGTTTTAGCGCGCTAATTGGTGATTGTATTGTTAGATACCTATTGCAATATGTCGCTGATGAATTGAGTGCGCACCTGTTGATAAATTATCACAGACGAGGCATTACAGTCAAATATTAATCTCCGATTGTATATGCTACATGAATAACATGTACAGTGAAACCTCGTTCTTCCGGACCCCGAATATCCGGACTCTCCATTTCACTGCTTGGACGGGTTACGTGTACACGAAGGGACAAAGAGACAATACTCCAGCCCCGTGAAGATGTGGGTTAGAATTGGTCTTCAGCAACCAATGTTGTCCTCAGAGACAACCAACGGGAACGGGTGGTCAGGCTCGTGTGACTTGCATGTCATCGTATCCAAATTGCGTCGATCGATGCTCATGATGTCAATCACTGGCTTGTCCGGTTACAGACTCGATGCTTTACAGACCGCCGTCATATTGCGGGAATATTGCTGAGTGTGGTGTTAAACAACAAACAAACAAATTGAAAACAACACTCCATAACCATGATTCTATTGACATTTTTTAATCCGTACGTGAGTGAGTGAGTGAGTGACAGGGTGAGTGAGTGGGTGAGTGACAGTGTGAGTGAGTGAGTGAGTGAGTGAGTGAGCGAGTGATAGGATGAGTGAGTGAGTGGATGTTGTTTTGTGCTGCAGTTTTATCACGGCGGTCTGTCCTGTGAATAGTTGAGTCTGCACCAGGCAAACCAGATGTTGTAGCATGAACACTGACTCAGGCCGTCGATGAAACAAACTGAATATTCTCAGTACAAGCAGTTATAAAGTTATTGCCTGAATATTCTCAATACTAATACATCTTCAATGTCTGCTTTACACTTACTGCCTTGATATTTTCAATACAAATATTTACAGCTACTGCCTTGATATTTTCAATACAAATATTTACAGCTACTGCCTTGATATTTTCAATACAAATATTTACAGCTACTGCCTTGATATTTTCAATACAAATATTTACAGCTACTGCCTTGATATTTTCAATGCCAATATTGCAGCAACTGCCTTGATATTTTCAATACCAATATTACAACTACTACCTTGATATTTTAAGTACCAATATTGCAGGTACTTCCTTGGTATTTTCAATACCAATATTACAGCCTTGATATTTTCAGTACCAATATTGCAGGTACTTCCTTGGTATTTTCAATAGCAATATTACAGCTCCTGCCTTGATATTTTCAGTACCAATATTGCAGCTACTGCCTTGATATTTTCAGTACCACTATTGCAGCTACTGCCTCGATATTTTCAATACCAATATTACAGCTACTGCCTTGATATTTTCAATACCAATATTGCAGCTACTGCCTTGATATTTTCAATACCAATATTGCAGCTACTGCCTTGATATTTTCAATACCAATATTACAGCTGCTGCCTTGATATCTCAACTCCTATATTACAAAAAATTCCTTGATATCTCAGCCCCTATATTACAGCTGCTGCCTTGATATCTCAGCTCCTATATTACAGCTGTTGCCTTGATATCTCAGCTCCTATATTACAGTTGCTGCCTTGATATCTCAACTCCTATATTTCAAATAATTCCTTGATATATCAGCTCCTATATTACAGCTGCTGCCTTGATATCTCAGCTCCTATATTACAGCTGCTGCCTTGATATCTCAACTCCTATATTACAAATTATTCCTTGATATCTCAGCTCCTATATTACAGCTGCTGCCTTGATATCTCAGCTCCTATATTACAGCTGCTGCCTTGATATCTCAACTCCTATATTACAAATTATTCCTTGATATCTCAGCTCCTATATTACAGCTGCTGCCTTGATATCTCAGCTCCTATATTACAGCTGCTGCCTTGATATCTCAGCTCCTATATTACAGTTGCTGCCTTGATATCTCAGCTCCTTTATTACAGCTGCTGCCTTGATATCTCAGCTCCTATATTACAGCTGCTGCCTTGATATCTCAACTCCTATATTACAAATAATTCCTTGATATCTCAGCTCCTATATTACAGCTGCTGCCTTGATATCTCAACTCCAATATTACAAATAATTCATTGATATCTCAGATCCTATATTACAGCTGCTGCCTTGATATCTCAATACCAGCAGACGTCAGCGATAACATCAGTTTTGTTAGTGAGCGAATACAGACTTACGTCGTTTTAGAAACATAACGATATATTCTCTAATATTTGTCTCTAAGATCAAGTAGAAAGTACACAATAGATCACAGGATTGGTCTTAATTTTCTTCCCAGACAACGCCTTTATCTCATCTCATGACCCAATACAATCTATTTTCTCACGAGTGGGGCCTTTTTCGAGGTCACTATTGACGCGTCTAAAAATAATTCAGATAACAAATATCTGTTCTCCCTGAGAAAAGAACACATTTAAAGTTTTTGTCCCCCAAAAAACACGAGAGCCTCTGATTAAAGTCGATGATGGCTGGGTGTTTTTTCTATATGCCAATACTTGGGGCTACGGACGAGGTAAACAGGGTATGGTGGAAGTCTAACCTCACGGCGGTGTGTGTAAACACGAGGTAGTGGAGGTTTAACCTCTCGATGGTGTATGCAAACACGAGGTAGTGGAGGTTTAACCTCTCGATGGTGTTTGTAAACACGAGGTAGTGGAGGTTTAACCTCACGATGGTGTGTGTAAACACGAGGTAGTGGAGGTTTAACCTCACGATGGTGTGTGTAAACACGAGGTAGAGGAAGTCTAACCTCACGGTTGTGTGTGTAAACACGAGGTAGTGGAGGTTTAACCTCACGATGGTGTGTGTAAACACGAGGTAGAGGAAGTCTAACCTCACGTAGATGTGTGTAAACAAGAGGTAGTGGAAGTCTAACCTCACGTAGATGTGTGTAAACACGAGGTAGTGGAAGTCTAACCTCACGATGGTGTGTGTAAACACGAGGTAGTGGAGGTTTAACCTCACGGTGGTGTGTGTAAACACGAGGTAGTGGAGGTTTAACCTCACGGCGATGTGTGTAAACACGAGGTAGTGGAGGTTTAACCTCACGGTGGTGTGTGTAAACACGAGGTAGTGAAGGTTTAACCTCACGGCGGTGTGTGTAAACACGAGGTAGTGGAGGTTTAACCTCACGTAGATGTGGGTAAACACGAGGTAGTAGAAGTTTAACCTCACGGTGGTGTGTGTAAACACGAGGTAGTGGAAGTCTAACCTCACGGTGGTGTGTGTAAACACGAGTTAGTGGAGGTTTAACCTCACGGCGATGTGTGTAAACACGAGGTAGTGGAGGTTTAACCTCACGGTGGTGTGTGTAAACACGAGGTAGTGGAGGTTTAACCTCACGGCGGTGTGTGTAAACACGAGGTAGTGGAGGTTTAACCTCACGGCGATGTGTGTAAACACGAGGTAGTGGAGGTTTAACCTCACGATGGTGTGTGTAAACAGGGGGTAGTGGAGGTTTAACCTCACGAAGATGTGTTTAAACACGAGTTAGTTGAAGTCTAACCTCACGATGGTGTGTGTAAACAGGAGGTAGTTGAGGTTTAACCTCACGATAGTGTGTGTAAACACGAGAAAGTGGAGTTTTAACCTCACGAAGATGTGTGTAAACACGATGTAGGTGCATGTACACACGAGTGAGTGGAGGTTAAGCCTCACGTAGGTGCATGTACACATGAGGTAGTGGAGGTTTAGCCTCACGTAGTTGCATGTACACATGAGGTAGTGGAGGTTTAGCCTCACGTAGTTGCATGTACACATGAGGTAGTGGAGGTTTAGCCTCACGTAGGTGCATGTACACATGAGGTAGTGGAGGTTTAGCCTCACGTAGGTGCATGTACACACGAGTGGATGGAGGTTATCGCCTCACGTAGGTGCATGTACACACGAGTGAGTGGAGGTTTAGCCTCACGTAGGTGCATGTACACATGAGGTAGTGGAGGTTTAGCCTCACGTAGTTGCATGTACACATGAGGTAGTGGAGGTTTAGCCTCACGTAGTTGCATGTACACATGAGGTAGTGGAGGTTTAGCCTCACGTAGGTGCATGTACACACGAGTGGATGGAGGTTATCGCCTCACTTAGGTGCATGTACACACGAGTGGATGGAGGTTATGGCCTCATGTAGGTGCATGTACACACGAGTGGGTGGAGGTTAAGCCTCACGTAGGTGCATGTACACACGAGTTAGTGGAGGTAAGCCTTACGTAGGTGCATGTACACACGATTGGGTGGAGGTTTAGCCTCACGTAGGTGCATGTACACATGAGGTAGTGGAGGTTTAGCCTCACGTAGGTGCATGTACACATGAGGTAGTGGAGGTTTAGTCTCACGTAGGTGCATGTACACATGAGGTAGTGGAGGTTTAGCCTCACGTAGGTGCATGTACACACGAGTGAGTGGAGGTTAAGCCTCACGTAGACGTACATAAGCACAAGTGAAATTTAGCACGTGACAAGTCTATGATTTTTTTCATGATAGATAAGACCCACTGATGACCGAAATACACATTACTGACGTGATCTTTCTTATTTAATATTTATCCTAAGATGGGTAGTTGTAGCCACATAGTCCTTGGTATGTATACTTATATTTGTTTTAATAGTTTCGAAAATGTTCAGATTGGTACCTGTGTTGTCGTAGAACTGTTGAGGCACCCTTGATGTCTGGTCAACCCGTTTGTTCCGGTTCATGTTCACAACGAGCATCCATTACGACATTACAGCCTGCATTTCAGAAATCAAATCTTGAAAGGCCACATTTAGATTTAAGCTGACAAATGAATGTGTGGGTGAGTATGGTTTTACGACGCTATTAGTAATATTCCAGTCATATCCTGGCAGGGGACTCCAGAAATGGGCTTCACGTATTGTACCTTGTGTGGAATCGACCGGCTTCAGCGTGACGAGCGAAAGCTTTAGTCACTAAGCTACACTACTCCGCTCACTGATGAGAGACTTGGACTTCCACAGTTTCGGAACAATTGTTGGAACGAACAGCGATTACAGAAAGTCACTGTATTCTTCATTATTTATTTGTTTGATTGTTAGTTTTTGTTGTTTAACGCCGCACTCAGAATCATTCCTGTAATATGACGGCGGTCAGTAAATAATCGAGTCTGGGCCAGACAATCCGGTGATAGACATACACAATTGTAATACGACTAGGCAATCAACCAAGTCAGCGAGGCTGGCCACCCGAATCCGTTAGTCGCCTCTTGTGACTAACATGGGTTGCTGAAATCAATGTTAACAGGGATCTTCACGGGGTCATCAGGGTCGAACACTCTCTTTTGCTATTCAGCTACATGGAGATCACGGCCATAGGTTAATGACGCAGGCTCAATCACACTGGTTGATTGTAAGAGAGTCATCACACACAGTCATCTTCCCGAGACAAGGAAGACCAGTCTCCACCCTTGTCAAACTAGGCCGGAATTTCTGGTCTTAATCGTAGAGCGACCTGTGGATATTACGACTTAAGTCCTTTCTGTGTCCCTCCTGTTGACCAATCAAACTCCACCTCTCATATCACTTGCAGTTCCTTTAAGCAAAACGGCGGCGCCCAGTCAAGACGATCTGATCGATAATCAAGATTTATATTCACGGGTCTTTGTTCGCTAAGTGCATCAAATTACGTGAGCACTTTAATTATAAACATGAAAAGATTTGGAAAATGTCTGTTGACGCTAAGTTGACGGTACACATGCTTTGCAAATCCTGCGATCAACCAGCAGTCGCCATGTTGTTTACGAACCGGATGTCGAACCGGAACGCGAGTTGCATTATGCATAGACTCGTTAGTCCAGCCAAAATATAACTCCATACTTCCGGCCTAGTTCGGCAAGGGTTGAAACTGGACTGTCACAGTCAGCCAGTTAATGTCGGGAAGACGCACACAGTCAACCAGGACGTACATAGTAGCAATCCAATCCTCATTTGTCGACTCTTGATACATCGAATGACATTATCTATTTGGCCCTCAAATCACCACGGGGTGTTTGAGTATACACAAGTGAGTATATATATGATTAGTATATAATACGCGCTTTGTTGGGATTCCGGGTTAGAATTGGTCCCAAGTGTAAACAAATTGCTTCAAATTTGACTTAAATTATTAACTCGCTTACCTTAAAATACTTAAGACTCGAACCTCCTATATGTGGAGAATTACGTCAAAATTAATAGATAAATATAATAGAGTGTCTAGAATTGACACACGGGGCTATAAGGGGCTATAAACGTGTTCTTCTTAAACAATCTGTCATATTTCACTGGTTACAGCTATTGCCCACATCAATAGGTTTTTACTTAATATAAATGAATTGTTGCTGTTGTTGTTTTTTCGTGTCTCTATGTTCTTTCAACGTCCAAATGCCTATCAAGTACCTGTCCATTCCTTAGATTGAGAAACATGTTCAATATTTGGTTTATTTTCAGGAATCGCCCTAATTCTGGTTGTACCTCTATGTAGCAGTCTCATAATGCCAGGTATGGATCATGTGAAACATATGTGAGTGGGTGATGACTTAATGCCGCTTGGTGCAACATTCCAGCATTATCACGGCGGGGGGACACCAATAATTGGCTTCACACGTTGTACCTTTTTCGGGGAATTCAAGCTCGGTCTTCGGGGTGACGAGTGAACGCCTTCTATACTAAGCTACCCTCTTCCCCTACACAAAGTTAAGGGAGTGAGTGGGCGAGTATGGGTGTATAGTTTGTAAAAAATTTTATTTAAGGCGAGGATACCAAAATTTGTAAACACTGTACCAACACGAGCAATCGAAGCTCCGGCATGACGAGCGAACTTTTTAACAACTAGACTACAGACCCACCCCTTAAAAATATGGACTCCATTCAGTAAGGCGGATTTTGAGTGAGTGAATGAATTTATTTTAACGTCGCTTTGAACAGCATTTCAGTTAAAAAATCCGGCATATCAGCGTGATGTGGGATGAAATCTCGACGTACTGCTTTTGTTTGTTGTTTAACGCCGCACTCAGCAATACTCCAGATACATAACGGCGGTCTGTAAATAATCAAGTCTGGATCAGACAGTCCAGTGCTTGATATCATGAGCATCAATCTGCGCAATTGGGATACAATGATATGCTTCAAACGAACCTGACCACCCTATCCCGTTAGGCGTCTCTTACGACAATCATTGGGTTGCTGAAGATCTATTCTAACCCGGATCTTCACGGATGTCGATGGAATGCAGGTCTGAAAACTTACCGCTTTGGTGAAACCCACGAGCACGGGTATAGATCTCTGACAAACGTAGAAACATAATCAGTACGAATCTGGGATTCGAACCGAAAGTTAAGTGTTGTCTGCACAGCGAATTATGACCGAGAATCATGACCAGGCAGTCCAGTGATTGACATCATGAGCATCGATCTATACAATTACGATGATACGATGACATGCATCAACCACATCAGAATGACCATCCGATCCCGTTAGTCGCCTCTTACGACAAACATGGGTTGCTAAAGACCAGTTCTAACCCGGATCATCACGGGTACGACAAAATGTATTCGGACCCCGTAATCTAATTTATTGCGTGCCATCGTACCCAGATGACATGGATCGTTCTTCGTGCTGTCGCCCACACGTTTACCTATGCACGTCGCGCCAGATTACATGCCACTATGACAAAGCTTGAACGTTACTGACAGTAGCGTAAAACAACATTCACCCACTAACATAAATTTTATAGTTACAGAATTTTTCTGTCTGTATTGCGACGAAGTCAGCGACCTTGCAGACTGCAGTTATACAGAGGCGGAAAGATGTCATGAGGTGAGTTTGTTTCGTATAAAAATCGTCACTTTTCTCGCAGTGTCAGCCTTGTCAATCGGAGGGTTTTGGATTGACTGATGCCTTACACTATTTTACTGCTTTTACGGATCTGTCATTCTGGCCATCGTGCAAAACACCTAGGCCTTTTAAAAAATGCTGGATCCGCCCTTGAAACATCTCATCGTCCCGAGGCAAGAGAGTTAACTGACCATAAAGGCCAAGTTCCACCCTTGACGAACTTGGCTTGAATTCCGGTGTTATAATTAGGCTGGACTAGCGAGTCTATGCATAGTCTTATCAAATTCGCGTAACGAAATCGACATCCGGTTCGGAAACAACATGGATTTCAACGTGCAGATTTCGGTCGACTGCAGGATTTGGAGAGCATGTGTCCCGTGAACTGGGCGTCGACAGATATATCCAAATCTCTTCGTGATTTTAATCAAAGTGCAAAAGTGATTTGATGCACTTGCGAGGTAAGGCCCATTTATTACAATATAGATCATGATTCTCGATCAGATCGTCTTGACTGGGCGCCGCAGATTTGTTCAAAGCAACTACAAGTGATATTTAAGTGGAGTTTCATTGTTCAACAGGAGGAACATAGAAGGGACATAGCTCGTAATAGATACTAATACGATATAACCACGAAATTCAATCCTAGTTCGGTTACGGTGGAAACTGTACATATATAGTCAGTTGAGGTCCTTGCCTCGGGAAGATGGCAAAACCAGATATTAAAATATTAAAACGGTAAGACTTCCGTATCCCCCTCAAAAATATATATGACTAAAATGATTGAGCGGCAATGCATACAAATACAAAATTTGGATGGGAGATACGGGCGGAAGTCTTTCCTGAGAACATTGTGAATTGCATTGTGAACGTGATATGTGTTCCCTGTACCTTTCGCACGTGCAATTCACATAGGATGAACGCGAACATGCGAACAACGCATGTCTCATGCATGAATGTTTTGGTCTGAATCGGTAAGAATGCCATAGTTAGGCATTCATCCATATTTTCCACATTCATCCAAGAAACCGACGACAGAAAACAAACTAAAAGTTATTCCCTCCAAATCAATTTTAATAAAAAATATCGTCAAGTACCGGAGTATGGCGTCTACATAATTAATTCGAGATACAAAATTGCTGTTGGTATGTTGCGAAGGTAATGCTGACAGTTCGGGTAATTCGAGGGGGGGGGGGGGCATAAGAAATGTACTTACATGCTAGCGGGGTACATTGAAAATATGAGAATAGGTCTCAGCCAATCATAATCAAACATTCATGTGTAAAGTAAGAAAATACATAAAATTTATGTGACTTAAACCACAGATTTTCTTCAATGTTGCGAGGGTTTGCGTGTTCGTCAAATTGTTCTGTCATTAAATTGAAAAGAATTGATAAAAATACCAAATTTGTTTAACTACAAATAGTGTCATCAATTGTTGTTTAAGGCAGGTTTACATTTATCGTTACAGGGATGTTATCTGGAGGTTCGTGGAGACTTCAGCGGACATCACCAGCGGATAAAGGCGGGCTGTGGATCTTATAAACATGTTAGTAATATTGCAACCTATTGCCAGAAATCAGTTTTAAAACAATTACGTTGACACGCCACCGTGAGGGGGTTTTGATTGGTCTTCAGCAACCCATGTTGGCGACTAACAGGATCGGGTGTTCAAGCTTGCTGACTCCGTGATGGCATCGTATCCCAGATGCGTAGATCGATGCTCATGATGTCAATCACTGGATTGTGTGACAGACCACCGTCAAATAGCTGGAATATTGCTGAGTGCGGCGTTAAACAACAAACAAAAACAAGCAAAAACTAAGACTGCAGTTTGAGTTCCCACATGGGTAGAATTTATGAAACCCGTTCATAGAGCCCCACTCGTGATATGGCCAGAATAAATTGACAACCAAAGAAACTTTCACAGTTTTAAATCGCAATAGTTTACAAAACACAAAAGACAGATGCATGAAGTAAAATGTATTGAAAAGATCAACATCTCAAAGAAATGAACATCTAAAATGACTGTCATACAGCATCCGATATTGGCATGACAGTTGCCCGAATTGAGGTGGAGTAGCAAAAGCAGACCCCATACAGCCCGAATCGTACAGATCTGTGAAGATTCCGGGGTAGAATAGTTCTTCAGCAACCCATGCTTGCCGTAAAAGGTGACTATGCTTGTCGTAAAAGGCGACTAACGGGATCGGGTGGTCAGGCACGCTGAGAACGAGGTAGCGAGAACTGAGATCTGATATTAATGAGATTGAGAGCAACTCTCAAACCGACACACTCACTGACTCATTCTTTACATTGTAGCTTTGTCACCATCACAAGCGCGGCGATCATGACTTCTGTGACTTTCACGTCTTGTGTCATGGATATTGTGCTGAATCCAATGACTGTAACCGAAATATTTGTGACTTACGTGAGTACAATCATGAATGCACGAGAACTGCGGATATATCAATAATGTTTCTCAGAGGTCTATAGGGACTGGTAATTTATTATATGGGAGAGGAGGGGTTCGGGGTTGTGTGTGTGTGTGTGTGGGGGGGGGGGGGGGGGGGGGGGGGTGGTGTCATGACAGTTCTCTTTCTTCGGACTGGCTAGGGGGACATGAAAACACGTTTCATACGGGGGTCGGCAAAATATTCCAGGATGATATTTCCATTCTGTTATGATGATCCTGGGTCCATTCGCCTAGTAAAGATCCGGGTTAAAATTGGCCTTCGGAAACCCACGCTTGCCGTAAAAGGCAAGGCGACTTTGTTTGTCGTAACAGGCAACTAACGGGATCGAATGGTCAGGCTCGCTGGCTTGGTTGATGCACGTCATCATATCCCAATTGCGTAGATCGACGCTCGTGATGGCCCGATCCAGACTCGATTATTTACAGACCGCCGTCATATATCTGACATATAGGCGCGCATCTTCCCGAGGCAAGGGAATTAACTGAGTTTCCCGGACTTTATTATCAGTTAACGCCCTTGCATGGGGAATATGATAACTGCTTGATGCGTTTAAAACAATAAACAGCAAAACAAACATGTTGATCATATGTGTGATAAGTCAAATAATATGATCAATGGCAAAAACACATGATGGCATGGCAACTTCTATTTTTAGCACTGTACGGTCATTATTCCCCAACAACAACCGTACTAACAACAAAAGCGACGACGAAGACCACTATCAAAACAACACCACCGGCTACAACTACTCCAACCACTCCAATACCTCCTTCAACACCACCGGCTACAACTACTGCAACCACTCCAATACCTCCTTCAACATCATCGGCCACAACTACTGCAACCACTACAACACCTCCTTCAACACAACCGTCCCCGAAACAACAGACAAGCACAAGTGGAACAACAATAACAACAAAAGTCTCAACAACACAGACGTCAACAACGTCGTCGAAACACGGCTCTTCCACCAACAGTATTGTTTCCACAACCGGCTCTTCGCCCCAAACAACGACAGGACGAGCAGGAGGTAAGACGTTTAAATTGTAATAAGACTTAGTTACCAAGATCAGCCGTTTGAACGGGAAGTCAGTTTCCATATGACGTTTCGCGGGTAGAGGCGGATACAAAGGGTAGTTGGTTGGTTTGTTGTTTAACGCCGCACTCAGCAATATTCCAGCTTTTTGACGGCGGTCTGTAAATAATCGAGTCTGGACCACACAATCCAGTGATTAATATCATGAGCATCGATCCAAGCAGTTTGGATCGATGACATGCATCAACCAAGTCAGCGAGCCTGACCACCCGATCCCGTTAGTCGCTTTTTACGACAAGCGTAGTCACCTTTTACAGTAAGCATGGGTTGCTGAAGACCTATTCTACCCCGGATCTTCACGGGTCTGGATACAAAGGGCGAGAGGTGGGGTCTTAACGTTCTAAACTTGCAGCTGCAGGGTGAGTAGGGATGAGTTTGAATCACGTTTCAAAGTTTTACAGATTGAAAAAGCTGAGATCTTAAAAAAGGATAAGAATAGAAGAGCCGCTTCCCTACTTTGAATATCCTTCCGCCAAAACACAGCGCGGATTTGTTTATGAAACGGAAAATTTGTTATGTTTTTTGTTAAGATTTAGATGAGGTATAAACGGGCGGGTAAGGATGGGTTTTCGAATGTTTTGTTTGTTTGTTATTCAACGCCGCGCTCAGCAATATTCCAGCTATTTGACGGCGATCTGTAAGTAAGTCTGGGCCAGAAAATCCAGTGATTGATATCATGAGCATCGATCCACGCAATTGGGATACGATGACATGCATCAACCAAGTCAGCAAGCCTGACCATCCGATCCCGTTTTCGTGAGTGAGTGAGTGAGTGAGTGAGTGAGTGTGTGTGTGTGTGTGTGTGTGTGTGTGTGTGTTGGGGAGGGGCTGTCACTTGATAATTAACGCCACTGTATGAAAAACAAAGGATGGGGGACGAAGCTCGTCCTATATATTACCATTGCATCCGTGTACTTGTTTCAGTGCTGTGTGAAACCTGTAGTGGCCCCATGTGCGGCTTGTTCCCTGTACAGACGGCAGTTCAGTGTTCTGGGGCCACACCTTACTGCATGAACACACTGGTCAACCACCTGGATACAACTAAAACCATTACAAAATCGTGAGTATCATCTACAGTGATTTTCGCCCTTTATGAACAGAGAGGTAGTGGTAGAGCGTCTGGGTCTCGGGTTTTATCAAAAAAGATGTTAAAAGATGGTACTTGTTGTTACCGTGCCTGGCGCTCGGCATGAAGGGGCTAAGACAAGGACTGGTCGGCTCGGCGTCATCATACTGTGTCTGAATGGGGTAATCATAATAAACTATGGCATGGTGTCTCAGGTGGGCTAGCACTATAAAATCGGCATTAGTCCGGACTATTACAAGCAGCCACACACACGTGCATGCACGTCGCTATATAAGTGAAATAATACAAGCAAACATAGACACAGACACAGACACAGACACACACACACAGAGACACACACAGACAGACACACATACAAAAACGCGCATGCACGTCGTCGCTATATAAGTGCGATAATGCAAGCAGACACAGACACGCACACGGGATCGGGTGGTCAGGCTCGCTGACTTGGTTGATGCATGTCATCGTATCCCAGTTGCGGAGATCGATTCTCATGACATCAATCACTCGATTGTCTGGTCGAGACTCGATTATTTACAGCCCGCTGCATAACAAACAAACATGTGCATGCACGCCGCCATATAAGTGCAGTAATCTTGAACCCCCTTTCATCTCACCCCCTTTGTGAACACCATACCCACGGCGCCTGGGGACTAAAGTGGTATACGTCTCATCACATCGAGTGTTTTCCCACCCTAAACCAAGCAAGCTATGGTGATGAGCGAGTCCAGTATATTTATCATAACCAAACTTAGATACCCTGGACATACGAGGATGGGGAAAAGCTGAAACGCCGTAAAATGGCAGAACTATTGTGAAACATTGAAGCAAAGCATAGATACAACAACCAAGTCATCGAGCCTGACCACACGATCCTGTTAGTCGCCTTTTACGACAAGCATAGTCGCCTTTTACGGTAAGCATGGGTTGCTGAAGATCTATTCTACCCCGGATCCTCACGGGTAAGCTCTAAATGAAGCAAGTCTAGAGTGTCACCGTGTTCTCAAACTCCCATCTCGGTGGGGCTCCTTTTCAATTTAACAGTGGTTGCTTTTTTTCTATGAAACATTTATTTTCAGAGACGAAGCGTCAGTCTAATACAACAGCTGAATTGTTCTAATTGCTTATATCCTACAGGTGCGCCACAGTGGAAGCGTGTAGAGCAAAATGGTGGCATCAAACCTCGGACAGGGGCGAATGCACGGGTTTTAACCCAGGTCAGCCTATAGCGGTTGAGTTTACCTGTAACTTCTGCTGTGTCAAAGACAATTGCAACAAACCAATAGTTCCTGCCATTGACACACTTTTCCGGGATTAAGAGGATCATGATGCATGGGAATAGAGATTATATTGTTCCAATAAATTGTTACCAATGTTACATCGATTCTATATGTTACCTTGGGAGTCTGGGGTAGATTTTAGGTCCCCTGTACCCCATGCCGATAAATGAGGCTCGGGTGGTGGTGACGTTTGTGTGTTGTTTAACGCCGCACTCGGCAATATTCCAGCTATATGACGGCGGGTTGTAAGTAATAGAGTCTGGACCAGACAATCCGGTGATTGATGAGCATCGATCTACACAATTGGGATACACGTGGCATGCATCAACCAAGTCACCGAGACTGACCGCCCGATCCCGTTAGTCGCCTCCTACCACAAGCATGGGCTGCTGAAGACCAATTCTAACCCGGATTTTAACGCATATAGGGATTGCTGCACAATATGCAATGATCTGTTTGTGGTTACATAAGTTTGTTTGTTTGCTTTTTAACGCCGCACTCCGCAATATTCCAGCTATATGACGGCGGTCTGTAAATAATCGAATCTTGACCAGACAATCCAGTGATTGATATCATGAGCATCGATTCACTCAATTGATACACGATGACATGCATCGACCAAGTCAGCGACCCTGACCACCCGATCCCGTAAGTCGCCTCTTACAACAAGCATAGTCGCCTGTTATGGCAAGCATTGGTTGCTGAAAACCTATTCTACCCCGGATCTTCACGGGTTCAGCCACATAAGAATGATAGTAGTAATGGCTAAAGAGGTGGTAAAAAGGGGCTCTAACGTCGAGGTTATTGCACTTATATAGCAACGTGAGTGCGTGAGTGAGTTGGGTGTAACGCCGCTTTTAACAGTGTTCCAGTTATATCACGGCGTGTCAGCTTAATGTGGGAGGAAAGCTCGAAGTGATGCAGGTCTCAGACGTTTACCACTTCGGTGAAGCCCACGAGCACGGGTATGGTGCTGACAAACCTAGAAACATAATTGGGGCGAACCGGGATTCGAAACCACAATCATAGGTTTCTGGCGTGCCCAAGGGACGCAACTCTGCACAGCGAATCGCGGCGCCTTAGACAACTATATATAGCAACGTGCATGTGTCTGGCTGTCTCTGTCGCTCTGTGCGCTGGTTGTGTAGTGCTAGCCCCCGGGAGACCTTGCCCCTCGAGGACATGAGTACCCAACTCCGACACAGTATGCCGACTACGAGTCGACCAATCCTTAATCCCGAGCGCCAGGCATGGAACGTATATCTTTCAACGTCTTTTGGGAGACCCTCTATTTCGGTTCGGTCCGATGTATTATTCTTTTACGGAATATGCCGTGTGGACCCGAGTATCTTCGACCATAAGGAAATAGAATAAAGGTAGCAAGATTCGTTTTCCTTTATACAGCAATGATCAAATTGAACGATGGATAAATGATGTAAAAGATACGTGAACGAAAACAATCACGAAAGGCAATAATTATGTTTCAAACCTACTTAATACAGAAAACACATTAACATGAACATATATACATGTTGGTACTGTTACCATGGAAAGAATCTCTGGAACTTGGCCTGGGGTTGATTGTATAAACTAAGAAACTATAGAAACGATACAACCACCTTGTCCTGAGCTCCTCAACAGTGCCGCTTCAGTGTCTCCACTGTGAAGAGTTGTGATTGGTTCAAGCGCATAACCATTTACCGTAAATCATTGAACAAACGCTCGTTAGGTCCGAGGTCCCGGGGCCCTGCGTTTATTCAAGGCAGTTGTTTACATTTTTTTTCAGAAGGGGATTTTAACATCAAAGCCTTGTGTTTTGCTCACGTTCTGTACCTCAAACTTATATGGTATACGGTATGTATTCTTACATTAATTGGTAGGATTCACGGTGAATGTGGAGTGAGTGAGTATGGTTTTACGCCGCTTTTAGCAATATTCCAGCAATATCACGGCGGGGGGCACAAGAAATGGGCTTCACACATTGTACCCATGTCGGGAATCGAACCCGGGTCTCAAGCGTGACGAGGGAACGCTATAACCACTAGGCTACCCGACCGCCCCCGGTCAATGTGGAACCTTACGTAACTGGATTGTGTAGACTAAGGCAGAGGGCCGTTGGACCCGGCCTCTGTTCAAGGAGAGCGTTTATTCACGGATTTACGGTAACTAATTAACACAAATCTTAAAAGCATTGATAAAATGGTGCGATTTGAAGTTAAATTACTGAAATAAAAGTGAAATTCTTTTTTTACGTACACTATCATTTTAGATTTTGAATCAGCGTACGAAATATGATTTTATTTGTGTCCCGCATACCACACTGCTGAGTCCCGAATGCCCTCTAAATAGAGCCCCGAATCCCGCGTACCAGAAAGGAGTTGACAGTCTCAAAACATGGAGTATTGATGCTCACCTGTCCAACATTGATACGTTATCACGGCAATTCCAGCCCACGTTCAGCTGCAAGGGAGGGAACTCTACAGATCTATCTACCACGTGCATTCAACTGCTCATCAACATGTAATCCATTGATTCTATACGTTCATAAACAAACGAAACATAACATTGCTTTCAACAAACTGTAAACAAAGTCATTCCATCATCAACAATTTTAATTGACAAGGATGCCTGATTATTGAAACCAAGTGAACAAATCTCCAAAACCATAATGTTTTCGAAACATTCTTAACAAATATATCAGCTAAAAAACATAACACAAAAAATCATAACATTTCCATTTGTATGCAAATAAAATATAAAAAATTGAGAAAAAGCACAATCGAAAGCTCTGTCGAACCACGATTCACATGACAATATAATCTCTGAGGATGTTAACATTTTTGAAAGTAAGTTAGTTTTTCTGTGGCAGCAGTGGCACGGTGAGGCAGCCTTAAATGTAATCAAGGGAGTCCACACAAGGGCCAGCTTATATATAAATATAGATTTCCTGGAATAAAATGAAAAAGTACAATGCTCACGTTAGACCATAGTTATGACATTAAAACATATTTTCCAATATTAGAATATTAGACCATAGCACTGATATTAGTCCATGGGGCAACTATTAGACCACAGTGCCAATATTAGACCACATAGTGCTGCTATATTACACAATAATTCCAACAATAGACCATAGTACCAACATTATACCATGGTGCCATCTGTAGACCATGGAGCCAACATTAAACTGTGGAGCAATCATTAGACCATGGAACCAAAATTAGACCATGGCACCAACATTAGACCACGGTATCAACTTTAGACCATGGTGCCAACATTAAACAGTGGAGCAAGCATTAGACCATGGAGACCAACATTAGATTGGTACCAACTTTAGACCATGGTGCTAACATTAGACCCTGGTTCCAACTTAAGACCACAAAGCCAACATTAGACCATAGTGCCAGCTTTAGACCATGGTACCAACATTAGATCATAGTGCCAACTTTATACCACGGTACGAACATTAGATCATGGTGCCAAAACTATACCACGGTGGCAACTTTAGACCATGGTACCAAGTTGGTACTACCAACATTATACCATTGTGCCAACCTCAAGCAATCTCCCTGGACCATCATACTGACACTGATATGTGCTGATCATGGCATCAGGGGGTGGGGGGTGGAAATAATACTGACACTGATATGTGCTGATCATGGCATCAGGGGGTGGGGGGTGGAAATAATACTGACACTGATATGTGCTGATCATGGCATCAGGGGGTGGGGGGTGGAAATAATACTGACACTGATATGTGCTGATCATGGCATCAGGGGGTGGGGGGTGGAAATAATACTGACATATGGCCGATTGAACACCATTCAACGAATAGAGCATAACTGCAGTTCTTCTTTGCCAGCAAACTCATGAAATAACCTGATCCATGGGTGACCATATGAAGGTTCCCACTGTGTCCCCAAGTAACATGTTCTTTTGTGCAATACGAGAAAGACTGTTGAGCAAAGTGTGTTCATGAATTGGTGCTAATTATACTTTAAACCTGGAAATATTCAATATCGGAAAGCAATGTTACTCAACACACTACCACATGTGTCTGTGTCCAATTTTTTACCAAAGAAGCATCAGAACTTTTGTATTCCCTTATTTCAGCACTGACGTAGGAACTAAACTGACCCGAATTATATGAAAATATAAAAAAACAGCCAAAACTCCTAGCTGACAGATAATTTCCAATATGATATCTTGACTTTTTAGGTTTCAATTTTTTATTGCTGTTTATTTCACTTATATTAAATTTGTAATAAAACCAAAGCCACCTGACAATATCAGGTTTATTATTCTTTTCAACCAACACCCTGACAAAGAAAGTGTGAACATCAATAAGAAAATGGAGTGCCATAACATGATATAAACATCATAAAATATCATTTGTTAATGTTCTCTTAACAACACGGGGCAAGACACTTCATCCTTTTAATAAATATCATCATTGCCTGTTTTAATGACTGAGAATCAAGGGTACAGAAGCTCACCTATATACAACACAATCACACAAACATTTCCTGCTTAGAAAACAACTAGAAAAGGCTGTGACAAATAGCACTACATCGATAACAAGCTGATTACAATCTTAACTACTCTATCAAACTAATCAAAATGAAATCTACAATATATTGTACTTTATATACAAATCATTCAAAATTTCACACAAAATAGAATGGTTAAAGAAAGAAATTGTCGTATTCTTTTGGTTCAGTGTTGATCTGAGTATAATTTAAAAACATGAATGCTTAAAACAAGGGTTTCAGCAAGATTAAATATGTTTAAGAAAATTTAAATAAATTTTCTTTTAGCAAATAAGAAACTTGGCATGTCTGTAGACTAACTAAAAGCTTAGTCTCATTGGAAATATGAGATTCCAATTTAATGAAAAACATTTCGAGACTGTTATGAAAATTGTCAAATATTCATATTTCTGACTAGCATTTTTTTCAATCTTACACTTACAATAGTTTGATGTGGCCATGACAGTGAAAGGTTAACTGAGAGTATTTAATGAGCAAATTTAGCTTTGAGCATGACCTGGGCCCACCATATGTTTGTAACATCTTCACCTAAATCTCCTCAGAGAGTC